CTCGATACTATCATGATAGTCTAGCAGAAAAATATCGATACTATCGATAGTGCTCTCTTTGGTTTGACACCTCTACTGACGCTGTTCTTCTTCCTTGTCCGTGCCGCGCAATTTTTTCGTCCGGCGGAATTCGCAAATGTGTGAAAAAGAATTTAGCTGGAAATATAACTAAGATTGGAATTACCTACTTGTTGGCGTGTCTAGAGCAGCAGCATGTCGAGCTTTGTGCTGGATAAGGAGGCGTTTGTGCGTCGCGTGAAGCGTCTTTATACAGAATGGAAGGTGAGTGGGGATCTGGCGCGTCTCGGTCTGGTGTCTTGTCTTGTGTCCACCGGAGCCCCAGCCCCCGAGGCAGTTCTCCAGTGATAGATGGCCTTTACATTGGGCCGAGATAAAGAAAAAGTTTAACAATATTGTGAAATTCACAAGCGAATCTGGATTTTCATGTCCCTGACTCGAGTTAGGTTATGAGGTGCGCGCGCGGAGATTACTATCGCGGCTGCCTTGTGGAGATTTTCAAATCAGCCTAAATTTGTATGTGTGTGTGTGTTTATCATCCGCAGGCACCCAGCATTGGCCACGACGATGCGCTGAGCAATCTGGACTGCATCATGAGCGTCGTCGGCTGCGACGAGGATGTGATCTACTCCAAGTCCCTGGCCCTTCAGATCTGGCTGCTTGGCTATGAGCTGACGGACACGATCTCCGTGTTTGCCAGCGATGCCATCTACTTCCTCACCAGCAAGAAGAAGATCGAGTTCCTGAAGCAGGCGCAGAACATCAGCGAAGATGGTGTGCCTGAAATAAAGCTGCTTGTGAGGGACCGGGTAAGTAACGCAGCGACATTCCCCTTCCAAAATCAATCGAATTTCATGCTTCCTCCGCTTGGCAGACGGACAAGGATAAGGGGAACTTTGAGAAACTCATCAAGAGCATACAGAACTCGAAGAAGGGCAAGCGATTGGGCGTCTTCAGCAAGGATTCGTATCCGGGAGAGTACTGCGAGTCGTGGAAGAAGATACTGATGGAGTCCAAGTTCGAGCACGTGGACATCAGCACGATTATCGCGTATCTGATGTGCCCCAAAGATGAGTCCGAGATCAACAATATACGTAAGGCCTCACTGGTGTCGATGGATATCTTCAACAAATATCTCAAGGATGAAATCATGGACATTATCGATTCAGACAGGGTGAGTTCTCTGTTAGGATCAGCCATGACAAGATCACTCATGCAACTATCCCGATTCCCTTGCAGAAAGTGAAGCACACAAAGCTGTCGGATGGGTGTGATGCCGCCATTACCGAAAAGAAGTACACCAGCGGCCTGGATCCCAGGCTACTGGATATGGCCTATCCGCCCATAATTCAATCGGGTGGATCCTACAGCCTAAAGTTCTCCGCCGCTTCGGATAAGAATGTGTTGCACTTTGGCGTGATCGTTTGCTCCCTGGGCGCCCGCTACAAATCGTATTGCTCCAATATATCGCGAACGTTCCTGGTCAATCCCACAGAGGCCATGCAGGAGAACTACACGTTTCTGGTAAATGTGCAGGAGGAGATTCTCAAGCTGCTCGTGCCGGGTGCCAAGCTATGCGAGGTCTATGAAAAGACACTGGGCCATGTGAAGAAGGAGAAATCCAATATGGTCGATAATCTCACAAAGACATTCGGCTTTGCCATGGGCCTGGAGTTCCGGGAGAACTCCATTGTCATTGGGCCCAAGTGTCGGGCGCTGGTTAAGAAGAATATGGTCTTCAATCTGCATGTCGGCATCTCCAATCTCACCAATCCCGAGGCTGCCGACAAGGAGGGTAAAACCTATGCGCTCTTCATTGGAGACACTGTACTGGTGGGCGAAACATCGCCGGCCAGTGTGATGACCCCCTCCAAGAAGAAGATAAAAAATGTCGGCATTTTCATCAAGGACGACAGCGAGGAGGAAGATGTGGACGATAAGAAGGCATCCAAAGAGGATCAGGGCTCGGAGATCCTGGGACGGAGTAAAAGGAACGCTGTCCTGGACTCGAAGCTGCGAAATGAGATCAACACAGAGGAGAAGCGCAAAGAGCATCAACGGGAGCTGGCCCAGCAGCTGAACGCCCGGGCCAAGGAGCGTCTGGCGAAGCAGGGCAACTCCAAGGAAGTGGAGAAAGTGCGCAAGAATACAGTGTCCTACAAGTCCATCAGCCAAATGCCGCGCGAGCCCGAGGTCAAGGAGCTGAAGCTGTACGTGGATAAGAAATACGAGACAGTCATTATGCCCGTGTTCGGCATCCAGGTGCCCTTCCACATATCCACCATCAAGAACATCTCACAGTCGGTGGAGGGCGAGTACACATACTTGCGCATCAACTTCTTTCATCCGGGTGCCACAATGGGGCGCAATGAGGGTGGTCTGTACCCCCAGCCAGAGGCCACATTCGTTAAGGAAGTGTAAGTGTGGATCCTGCATAGATTCAACATTGGCTAATCATCTCCATTCCCTTGCAGAACCTACCGCAGCTCGAATGTGAAGGAGCATGGCGAGTTGGCTCCTCCGTCGTCCAATCTGAACAACGCTTTCCGTCTGATCAAGGAGGTGCAGAAACGGTTTAAAACGCGCGAGGCCGAGGAGCGGGAAAAGGAAGATCTGGTCAAGCAGGATACACTTATATTGTCACAAAACAAGGGCAATCCCAAGCTCAAAGATCTGTACATTCGGCCCAATATCGTAACGAAACGAATGACGGGCAGCTTGGAGGCGCACACGAACGGCTTCCGCTATATCTCTGTGCGCGGCGACAAGGTGGACATACTCTACAACAACATCAAGAGCGCCTTCTTCCAGCCCTGCGACGGTGAGATGATCATTCTGCTCCACTTTCACCTCAAGTATGCCATCATGTTCGGCAAAAAGAAGCACGTGGATGTGCAGTTCTACACGGAGGTGGGCGAGATCACCACGGATTTGGGAAAGCATCAGCACATGCACGATCGCGACGATTTGGCCGCAGAGCAGGCGGAACGAGAGCTGCGACACAAGCTGAAGACGGCCTTCAAGAGCTTCTGCGAGAAGGTGGAGACCATGACAAAGTCAATTGTGGAGTTCGATACGCCATTCCGTGAACTGGGTTTCCCCGGTGCGCCCTTCCGCAGTACCGTCACGCTGCAGCCCACCTCTGGATCGCTGGTTAATCTAACAGAATGGCCGCCATTCGTCATCACCCTGGACGACGTCGAGCTCGTGCACTTTGAGCGTGTCCAGTTCCATTTGCGGAACTTCGACATGATCTTTGTGTTCAAGGAGTACAACAAGAAGGTGGCCATGGTCAATGCCATTCCCATGAATATGCTGGACCACGTCAAAGAGTGGCTAAAGTGAGTCTACCATTTGAATTCGTTCACCGATTGTGTGTTTCATTTGTGTTAATTCTTTCAGCTCTTGCGATATTCGCTATTCGGAGGGCGTTCAATCTCTGAACTGGCAAAAGATCATGAAGACGATCGTAGATGATCCGCAGGGCTTCTTTGAGCAGGGCGGCTGGTCCTTCTTGGACCCCGAATCCGATGGCGAGGAGGATCATGAATCTGCCGAATCGGAGGAGGATGAAGCCTACAATCCCACAGATGCCGAAACAGATGAGGAGTCCGAGGAAGATTCCGAATACTCAGAAGCCTCCGAAGATGAGAGCGATGACAGCGACGGTAATATATTGATGCTCTACTGGCGATTGTGTGTGTTCCCCTAGACAAACGATTTTATTTGTTTTCCAAAAGATCTGGGCTCCGATGAGGAATCCGGCAAGGACTGGTCCGATCTGGAGCGTGAGGCGGCCGAAGAGGATCGAAATCACGATTACCAGCCCACCGATGACAAGCGAAACGGCACGAAATTCGAGTCAAAGAAGGGCGGCATGAGTTCCAAGCACAGGTATGAGAGAGGCCCCAATGGCCACCGTATGGCGTCCAACCCAGGAATGTGACTTAACCTCAGCTCTCCTCTGTTTTATCTTTATCAATTGTTCTCCCCCCATTTACGCACACGTACACCCGAACACAGTCGACGCGACCGCGAGGAGCAGCGATCATCGGCGTCGCACAGTAAAAAGCATAAGTCGAATTCCTCCTCTTCCTCTTCGCATTTAAAATCCTCCAGCTCCAAACATGGCAGCTCATCTAGGTTTGTTAACGAAAACCCACCAAACCAACCCCAACCAACCCCAGCATCATCAGGCATAACGCAAGAGCATCGCATCCCAATACACACCCCCCATATCGCATTTCACACCAAACAAATCCCATATAAAATGGAACAATTAAAGCACAACAATTGGCTTGTAGATTGGATTTTGAGATTCAGAAATTTATGAAGTACATACATGAAAAGGTGGAAGATTCAGAGACTTGAAATAGGGACAGGACCTTTCTAACGTTTTTACTTTCTTGATTATTTTCATATTCTTTGACTGCATCCCCCCGACTTATACCACGACAATTCCCATATTTACTTCATAAATTAATGCGAAATTTCTTTTCAAAAACAACAAAACCAAAAACCCAAATCATCTTCGAATGTTGCTTGCTACAAAATTATACAAAAAAATGCTTCGCCCTTGTGTGAATAATTTTTAAATAATGGAACAACAATTCTCAATCTTATTTCTTAAAGCCCTTCGAAATCGTCCAAGGATAAGTACCACAATCGGGACAAGCATCATTCCTCATCGTCTGGTCACAAGAGCAGCAGCAAGAGCAAGGACTCTGATCGGAAGCGTTCGCGGGAGGACAGCCGCGACAATGGTCACAAGTCGAAGAAGTCGCGCCGTTGAATGTGTTTTACTTCCGCAACTGCTAAGTGTGTTTAAAACTTTCCTGTTATCAGTGTGTATCTGTTAAAATACCCTACCCCGCCCCTTTACAACCTGACCAGCTCCTCCACCCTCCTTTCGCACTAATCCCCCACTCATATTTTCACCGCTTCAAAGTTGTATTACAAATTTAATAATTATAATACGATAATACATGTAATAAATTAATTTAAGATACGACCTACCACTGCCTCTACTTGTTCCAGCTGCCCAAGAGCTTGCGATATACGTGCAGCATGTCATCGCTGTCCTCTCTTCGAAGTCCAGAGTGCTGCTGCGGCTGCTGCTGGTGCTGATGCGGATGTTCCTGCCGGGAATGGGAATGAGGGCTAGAGACTGCGGCAGCCACACTACCTCTGCGACGATGAGCATCGAACATGTTGCGGGTCTTGTTGATGGGATAGCGCATCTTGTTCTTCAGCCAGGTGGTGAAGGCGCGCTCGTTGTCCTGCATCTTCTTCAGCTCGTGCTCGTTGCTCCTGAGCGCCTGCTCCATCACGTACCGCTGCTTGCGGCGTTGCTTCTGCTCCCTTCGCTGCAGCTGCTGGGCACTCAGCCCGTACTCGGACATGTAACCGGTGTAGCGAGGCAGTTTCTCCTGCAGCGAGTGGCGATGCTCGCAGCAGGTCTTGTAATTCATCCGGATCGAGGGCGATGCTGTCGAAGCGGATCCCGAAGATGGTGTGGGCGTGGGCTTGGCCCTGCGTCGGAAGCTGAAGCGGCGTGAATTGAAGAATGTCTTGGAGCTGGACTTGGGACAGGCAGCGGCGTCTTCGTTAGGTGGGACCGAGTCCTCCCTTTTGTAGTAAATGCTTCGCTCGTTCAGCTCAAAGTCGTCCGGTATGTAGCTGGCTACAATAATGGACAAGTCGTCGTCTTCTTCTGCTTCATTGTCATGGTCTGCTGCAGGCTGCACTGGCGAAGGAAGTTCAGGCTCTTCCTCCGCTCCGGTCAGCCTCTCGATCTGTGCCTGGCCCTTGGGATCCAGGGTCTTGTAGAGATTCTTGTAGGCTTGACGTAGCTTCAGGCGGGCCTCGTTCAGAGTGCGTTCCTCCTCCTCGCAGTCGGATTCGGTCAGCAGGTTGGTCAGACTCTTCTGATCCGATTCCTCATCGTCGTAGTCCTGGTCGAATGTATTCTGGCGACGATGGAGGCCGGCAGCCGTGGACGAACCGTTCTTCAGGGGCGTATCATCATCCAGATCCGCCTCATCCACGCCGGAGAAGTCGTCTTCTTGCTCCACAACAATGGCTTCCTCGGGGGCAGGCTTCTGTGGGACTTCTGTGAGGTCTAGGATTTCCTCACATATTTCCTCCTCCACCTCCACTTCGGATTCCTCCGCTGAGGGCTCTGCACTCATCTTGGCCTCCACTTGCTTCATGGCCAACTCTGGAGTTGAAGCTGGAAGCGGAGGAAGCTCCTCCTCGGCAATGGGCTTCAGCTTCAGTTGCGTCAACTGCTGCAGCAGCTCGTCTGGGGGACTGGGACTCTGCTCCTTCGCCTGCTCCCCCGTGGGCTCGTAGTCCTCCAAGTTCAGGGCGAAGGTCACTTTGGTCACCTTGCCGTTGCCATTGGCGGCCTCGTCGGGGGCAAAGAGCTCCTTGTTGGCCTCCTTGATCTTGTCCACAATGTTGTACTCGTTGACCGGCTTCAGGACTGCGGAATAATCCATCAATAGAGGCATGCTGCTGGCAGCAGTGTCGACTTACAATAGACTTCGCAATCCTCGTCCGACTCCGGCTCGTGCTCGCTCATCTCTGTCGGCGGCGGCGGTGGCTTCGGCGGCTCTCGCATCGATTCCCGTCGAGTGTTGGGATATTTTTAGACGCCACACAGGATTTATGATTCGCAGGCGCCAAAACTTTCCATTTCGTGGCGTGCAAAAGCGGCAAAGCACAGCACAGAGGAGCCGCAGTCCCCGCTCAGGGCCCCCGTCACAGGCCAAGCACCCATTAAAGTCTAATGAACTTGGGATATGGATATGGGGATGTGCACTCCAGACATTAGCGGCTGCTCCTCCGGCTCCACCCACTGCCGCTGCCTCTGCGGTTATGGCCAGCCATCAGGCATTTCAATGGCGCCCGTTGCCGTTGCCAGGCGGCCAGCCGCACGCTCTGGATGTCCTCTTGTTTGATCGATGCCTGGTGACAAATTGTCTCTTCTGGACGGGGGTTGGCTTGGATTGGATGGGTAAGTGATTGAATGGGGAATACAAATGATGCAAATGATGGTTGGTTGGTGGGTTGGATAGAAACAAGAAACGCTGCCTTCACTTGGCTTTTATTTCCATGCACTTTATTCCATTTCATTGCCACACTTACTATACATTCCTAAGCAGCACATTTAAAGCTTAATCATCAACGGGCGCACCGAGTCGGGGTCGGATCGGGGCGGGTCGGGTCGAGGCAACAATTATACGTACAATATTCAAATTCAATTCAAATAAGTTCGAAGCTAGAAAAATAATCGATTCGTTTCGGGGCGGGGCTGGGGCTGGGGAGACGCACAACACCAATATAATTAAACCTATTAGAGCCATCGTTAACTTCGTATTGAGCAAAAGTACAAGTACATATTCCATTCCATTGCAAAGCCATTGCCAATTTGATTGTTTCATACATATAATATCATTTCGTTTCATCGGCATCGCCATTGGCCAAAGGCAACTGAAATACTTATCCATTAACCTAAGAGTACCCTCGAGTGGGGCTTTGGAGTTGGGTTGGGAGCTGGAGCGTGTCCACAGTGCGTTTCATAAGAGTGTTGCAACAGGTTGGAGCTTTCTATTTGGGAGTTTTATCTTATATATTATAGTTCTATGTTCCTTTAGTTATGGAATAATTAAGGAAATCGGATAAGTTAAGCTACACAATTAGTAATTGGAATGTTTAGAAGTAATAGAACCAGTTTTGGGCAACATGGGAATTGAAATCGTTCTCTTACAGCTTTGAAACGCACTGTAGTCTTGTGGGTAATGATGGATTTCAATGGGAATGCCGCAAATTAAAGATAAAAGTTATCGCAATACTTTTAGCCATTCAAAGAAATCAATTTCCCGAAGATATGGCAGAAAACAAAAGAAATGAAACTGAAGAAATGATAAATCACGTTGAAAAAAACAATAAACAGTGGATAAAATATTTCTTATCACTATCATAAGTTTGATAGCGCAAAAACATAAATAAATATAACGAATCGAATACTTGAGCCCAGTCAAAGTTTGGTTTTCTGATGAAGTATGTCTTGAATAAACGATATAAAATAAATGATACATAATTAAAATCAGGTTTTTCAAAAATAATATTATTTAATTTGCATAAAAACCAACATTAAATAGGAAAGTATACATACAAAAGTCACAAAAAACTACTCAGATATACAAAACTAAACACATGCATTAAAATTTTGTGTACATTTTGGAAAAGATAAAGTATTCCTGTATTGTATTAGATTAGGCCATAAATCGTATTTATGTGTGTTTTCTTCATTAAATTTATTCTTATTTTTGTTGTGTTTTTATATGTTTTTTTTTTTGTTTTAGCTTTTTGTATTAATACAACCATATTCAGCATTTCTTAAAAAAGAAATTATACAACATTAAGAACTAAACGGATGAGAGGTGTGTAAGTGTGTGAGGAGGTGATTCAGTGTCTGTTTCAGAAAATGTTAATGACTGTGAGATGTAATTTCATTAGAGGACGGGTAAGGTATTTAAGAATGCGTGGGAGGGGGTAAGTCTGGGATAAAGGCGGAATAAAGTCGCGTCATCACTACATTATATTCATAAAAAGAACGTATTGCAATATCGGGGCATGGGCATCGACTTAGATCACTAGAACGAGTAGTAGCTAGGTATTATCATGGGGTTTTGCTTAAGAGTTCTCTCGCCTTACAATCCGCTAAATCATAATCGTTATTCGACGTTGACTAAAGTCTAGTTCTAGTTCTTTAAGGCGCATCCCTGGGCAGACGCTCACTAATCATATAGTACATAGATTCGTGGGTTTTTTGGGGTTGAGTTTCTTTTGTTGGAAAGTCGTAAAACATCGATCGTTTGCTTTTTTTGGTGCAATTAAATTTCAATAAATTACATTACAATTTATACGTATATATATATATAATATTTTATAACTCTAGCGATTCCTCATCTTGTTAGCATCATATACAAAGTCTTTCTCTTGTGTGTTTACTACTTTTTATCTCTTTTGCTTAAATCAATTTCGAGGGTACGTATGAATTGTTTTGCACTTTCTTTTGGGATTCGGGGACATACAAAAACATTTTACTGAGTATAATTTCTTGTAAAATATATATATATATATCATTTATATAAATATATTGCTAAATTTCGATTCGGGTTTTGAGGGGTTTTTCTTTCGGGGAGCTTTGTCTAAACGAAATTTTTGCCGCTTAACACAAAAAACGTACGTTACACAAAACGAGTTTGGGGTTATTTACGATATAGAACATAAAGAGTCGCTTACAGAAAATATAAACAAATGTATAGATTTATATTTATAGACAGGGATCTCCCACTCCCTCTCTCTCTCTCTTTCTGCTCATCTCACTTTTCCTCTCCTGTCTGCTGTTGGATCAACCAATGCACTCCGCCGCAGCTGCTCTGCTTTGTTTATGTGAACAGGGGCAGGTGATAGAAGTCGAACCCTCGATAGCCTTTGGCTGCCAGCCAAATGTAGACGACATGGTAGGCTCCTGGTATAAAGCAAATGAGTCCAGCGACAAAGAACACAACACCCTGCGATGTGTTCTGCGGATCGGCAATGGCAAAGGTGCCCATCACAAAGAGCCCTGTGCCCACAATCAGCAACGTGAAGGCGGCCAGCACTGTGCGCCAGTTCTCGCGCACCTTCGGATGCCGCCAGCAGTATGTGTTGGTCTCCTCCGTGGGCAGATTTCCATATTCCTGGATCAGCGAATCGCTGTCCCTGGAGGTTGTGTCTTCTGCGTATTTGTTATAGCCCCTGGAGAGGATAAAGAGGGCAATAGCATTACAATAAAAAAAAAAACAATTTTAAGCGATTTAAAAAGCTCTTATCAATCAAATTGAGGGGTTATCGCGGGTTTGGACTGCCGCCAAAAGCAAGACGCAATCAATTATTGCATATAATACTCGATTATATTGGCAACGAAGACCGACAAGTGCAGACGAGGCTGGCTTGGCTGTTGAGCTGTTAACTGGTTCCAGCTGACCGCAGGCGAAGGCCATACCCCTCCTCCCCCTCGCGGGACCACGCTTCAATCTCGTCAAGAAATGAGAAACCTTTATGACGAAATTTATGCGCAATGATTTTTTTTTTTACAATTGAATGCCAAATTAGGCTGGACGTCTGCATTTATAATCTCAATAATTACATACATATGGTTGTTGTTGTTGTTGCTGTTACTGTTGCGACACGCCATGCATTGGTAATGGGAGAGCAAAAGAAATGAATGGAAGGAAGACAAGAAGCACGCACGCGCCTGCGGCATCAAAGTTTAGGTAAATTATTCAAGTGTTTAGGTGCTTCCGGCGGGAATAAGGAAGTGCGACTTGAAGAAGGTAGAGAGACTACAATGTAGGGTGCATCTGGCAGTGCCAACAGCTGCTTGTCTGCTTCTTTTGTGATTCACAAAGAGAACGAACTCCAAAATGGTGCCAATAACAGCCCACGCATGCAAACACAACCACATCACACCACAGAGATCAGATCACACATCAGAATGAGACCAGCGAACGAGACCAGACCCGTTTTTGGCATCACATCACATCGCATGGCCACTGCCCCACTCACTTTGGATCCTGTATGCGTATGGATACATCTTCGGTGGAGCGACCTTGTTTTCCGCTCCGCATGGGTGTGGATATCACTGTGGAGCCATAGACGCGTATCGCCTCGTCTGTTTCCTCCTCGAAAGCGTCGTGTATGGAGAAGCCCCTCGCCGCCCCGTTATTGTACATATTTCTACGGCTGCCTGCTGCTATTGTTGTGTATTATTAACGATATACGTTGTAAGTGCCAACGATGGCGCACTGTGGCCGTTTAGGGAGAGAAAAGCGGCACTTTCAATGCTACTTTGAATTCATTTTTCCGCACACCGTATTCGGGCAATGTTCGACGGTTTTTCTGTAGCCCGTAACCGCACCGAAAGTGATTTTTCTTTATATTTTGTATTTCTTTATATTTTTTATTTTTAATACGACCAGTGTGACCGCCGATTTATTGATAAATTAAACCCGTCTGACCCTCGGAAATATACGTTCTCATTTTCAAAATATACCGTAAATATGACGATGAAAAACAACGAACTTAACCTATTTACACCCCTCTATTTAAACAGATGTACACTTTGAATTAATCCGCAGGAAATAATACTGTTTGGTAAGTTCTCCTTGTATATCCTCTTTACTTACAAAAGAAATGGCCATGATATCTTTCACCTGAACTCAGTTAAAATTGTTTAAATTTCATAGTATTCGTGTGTGTATTTAAATACCCACTGGTCGACAATGGGCTAATCTTTCTCTGTCCAAGACTGGAAATCATATTCCTCGATTTTGATATTCGGTTCAATATTACTAGCTAGCAAGGACTCGCAGCACTGAACACATAATTTTATCCAATAGATGAATCAATTTCGTACAAAATTGGCTAATTTTTAGATCTCCTCCTTTTGGGTTCTTTTTAAAATAAGGTTCCCACAAAAAAGGTCTATCAAATTTAACGATTCAAAGAGAGCGGAAAAGAGAGCCAAAACTGATTCGAAGAGAGCACTACTACGCGCCAAAGCAGAATTGTTTGAAAGGAGCGAGTGAAAGAAATCCAGTGGAATACATTTATTTATTTTTTATTTTTAATGCAAGAGACAAACTAGGGATGTTAATATATTGATATATCAAAGTAATCTATAGTTATATCGATGTATGTAGCTCAAGCGAGTGTACTGTATTGTATGCGCCATCGGTTGATAGTTACGTGAATTAATCCTTCGACCAGGGATGACATGCCGTTTTTTCCGACATTTTTGAAAAGAGGTCAAACGGTCAGGAATTCGCGAGTTGCAGCTCAGTTGACGCCTCCTCCTCTTGATTGCCGCTTAATTGCAGCAGTAGATGGATTGGCAGCATTGGCTGTGGCAGTGGAATTGACGGCGGTAGCGATGCTACCACTGGAGGCAGCGGTGAATGCGGCCAGAGCATCGCGATTCAATGGCTTAATGCAGCTCTGCTTGATGTTGATGATCGTCCCCGTTGCAGGGATTGTCCGCGCGGCCATCAGGCCAAATGGCCTGCTGCCGATGCTGCTGACACTGCCACTGATGCTGCCGATGGGCGTTAGCGAGGAGAGCGGCACAATGGGACCGGTAATGGAGGTGGCGGATGTGCTGCTGGTTGATTGGATGGCGGGATTGGACGAGGAGGAAGAGCTCGTCGTCGTCGCCTTGCCCGCCACCGCTATGCTGGGATCGTTGTAGCGCGTCCGCTTGTTTTGCAGCTTGCTGACCCAGCATTCGGTGGCCCGTCGCCGGGCATTGGCACAGATATTGTCCGTCGAGGACTCTCCGGATGCCGAGTGGGGAAACAGCCCTGCCTCCGACTTGTCCCTCGGGAAGGGTATGTGGCGGCGCTCCTCCTGTGTCTGACTCGACATCTGGCGATACGATTCGATCTGCTTCAGCCGCTGCACATTGCACACAGCTGCATTCACCAGATCCCCAGCCGCATTGCCAGGAATCGTCTTTGCATGGGCAGCGGTGGCATTCACCAAGATATCGCTGCGCGACTGCGTCTTTGATTGCGCGAGGATCTGCTCTTCCAGTGCTCGGGCCTCGCTGGCGTCGGTAATGGTGCTGGTGGTGCCAGTGATTCCGGCATTTTTGTTCTGCTTGGCCCTTAAATGCTGCAGCTCCTCGGGCGAACGCTGCTTGCGGAACTCATGGACCAGTGGATAGATATGCTGTATGGCGGATTCCACATCATTCACGCTGGCGGCTATAATTCGGATAGAGCTGAATCTAGAGAGAGCCAGAGAGACGGGGGCCTGGAGACTCACCTGTCACGGTTATGCTTCCCGTGGAGAAGATCTTCAGCGTGGCCTTTGGCATCCGCATCTTGTACGTGACACCCGGATGCAATTCCGGCTCGTAGCTGGCATTCTGCCGATGCTTTGTCGAGAAATTGACAATCTTAATGGCCCAGGGCATGCTGCAGGTGCCCAGAACATTCACGACGCGAAAATTCTGAAAGCGTGTGGGAAAACCGAGTTTCCCCAAGCAACGGGCATACCTTCTGGCCGCCACTTTGGCCTTCAGAATGAGAGTGGAATTGGATTAGGAATTGGATATGCTTTTGATTGGGATTGCTGGTTGCACCTACCATTATCTCAGAGGTGGCGCCTGTGCAGGTGATCCTGCCGGATGACCAAATGGAGGCCGTCGTATAGGGACGTCGCAGCTTCATGGTCACCATGCCGTTCTCCCTGCGATACTCCACATTGCAGCCACGCAGCGCAATGTCCCTTAGCTTGAGGTGGCATCGCACACTGAACGTGCACACCACATTGTTGATCACAATGTCCAGCTCTGGGTCGTCCGTCTCTGCTATCTGTTCCTGTAGCTGCTGTTGGTTACTGATCAGCGCCAATGGCGCATCTGTGACAGGAGCAGCCTCTGCTGACTGGGTGTCTGCCTCTGCTGGCTGGGTGTCCTTTTTGGTAATCGCTTCCGGTTTGGTAACAGCAAAGGTGCAGTTATCCATCAGCATGTCCTGTTGCTCCGTTTTAACGCGCATGCCATTCTGTACGACAGTCAATCTGCCGTTCGCATGCAGATCCCCATTGGCCGTTGGCTTGCGCTGCTGCTGCTGCTGGTGCACCAGGGTGGTGCCGGCGGAGAGCCCGCCCTTGCTAAACTGCGAAAAGTAGCGCACGCCACCGCCAGAGGCCGACGCAGGCGCCGGCTTGAGGATTGGCTTCAGATTGGCCATCGGTAGGTTAACCATTTCGTTTTGCATCAGCGACGAATGGGAGGATGCTGTGGGGAATGTCGTCGACGTCTCTTGCGGATAGAGATGCTGTGCGCCTGTGTGCAGCCTCTGGTGTTGAACGAATCTCTCCCTCTGCTGCTCTAGCTGTCTGGCCACCTGCACCTGCTGGCGATTCACTTCCTCCTTCTCCTTATTTAGCCGTCTGAGCTCGTTGAGGGTACGCTGCTCCTGCTCTCTCTCCCGTTGCGCTTTCTCCTCGACTCTTTTCCACTTCTTCTGCAGCTCTGATTTTGTATCCTTTTCCGCCTCTTCGCGGAGCCGCTTCGCCTCCGATTCCTTCTGCACCAAGATCTGGTGCTCAAAGTCCGACCTCAGCGCCGCCAATCGTTTCGCGGCCTTGGCCTCCTCCTCCTGCTTTCTCTGCTTGAGTTTCTCGTCACGGAGCAGCGCCTGCTCTTGGGCACGCAAGTTCTCCTGCTGCCGTAGTGCTCGCTCCGCGTCACTCTGCTCCGCCGCCTTCGTGCGTAGTTCGAGCAGCTGCAATATCTCTGCTCCTTGCCTTTCAGACTTCTTCTTTGCCCAACGTTCTAGGAGCTCTGGTATTGTTAGACGTTCTAGCGATTCAGCCGACTCAGACGCCTCCTCGCCACCCTCCTCGTCCTCCTCGTCGCCGCCGGGAACCCTCTTACTGTAGGTTTTTTCGCCGGTCATCGGGTCCGAGCATTCGTGTAGGACCTACCTACCTAGTTTTTCGTGATCGTCGCTAAATTGTGATATTTCTTTCACGAATTTGTTAAAAGTGGGCTGGCTCTGACATGATGTCTAAAAAAATGGCATTTTACACTAATATTTACATGAATCAGTGTGACTGTCAGAAATCCAACGTAATGTACCAAAAAATGTATGAATATACCATATTTCGACGTCAAAATATACCGAAATCCATCCGCCTGCTAATGCGTATATTTGATCCGCGGTCACACTGACATCTACTTTATTTTCATTTTGTCGATGAAATTAAATTTATTTAAAAAAATTGTGAAATAGTGGTGAGCCACTGTTAAATAGGAGGCCCGCCAAGATGTCGCGCCACAGGATTGTACGGACGATGGACTACAACGACGAATACGATGGTTACGATGATGTCTACGGACACTCTGTTGATGATGAAAACATCATTTCGCCCACAGATGCCCAACAGTGGCTCTACGACCGGGAGCGCGGCAGGCAGAGCATCTCCGCGTTCATCAGCAAGAACAAGGACATCAAGGAGGAGGGGGAGCACGACGACGAAGCCGAGGACGAGGCCTACGAGAAGGCCAGACGCGACTCGGAGAGCTTCCAGATGCCCGAACTGGACGATATGGAGCAGGCCAAGCTGAGCTCATGCGTGGACGAGGTGCGGAGTGTGGTGGGCGACGCCGTGTCCGAGCGCCGCATTGTGGAGACCTCCATGAAGTTTGACTACGACATACAGAAGATTCTGGACGATATTCTGAACGAGGAGACCAAGAAGTCGGCAAAGCCTGCGCTGCGACCGAAGGTGCCGGTCCCCATTGCGGCGACGACCGTGAAGTATGCCAGCAAGCCCACGCCCCCGGCAAAGATCAGCCTGAAGGAGCCCCGGCGTGGCTTTGAAATTGCTTCTCCCAAGCTGCCGTCCTCCCCTGTGGTCTCCGGCAGGAACACACCCGTGGAGGTGGGCGAAAACGATTTGTCACGCACATCCGCCAGCCTCTTCAAGGTGTCCAAGGACCAGGCCCAACGCAACGCCCAGCAACTGTACGAGAAGGAGCGATCCGACCAGAAGAGCCACATCCACATGATCGTCATCGGCCATGTGGATGCGGGAAAGAGCACGCTGATGGGCCACCTGCTCTACGACACGGGCAACGTGTCGCAGCGCGTGATGCACAAGCACGAGCAGGAGTCCAAGAAGCTGGGCAAGCAGAGCTTCATGTACGCCTGGGTTCTGGACGAGACCGGCGAGGAACGGGCCCGAGGAATCACCATGGACGTGGGCCAGTCGCGCATCGAGACAAAGACAAAGATTGTGACGCTGCTGGATGCGCCTGGCCACAAGGATTTCATACCCAACATGATCTCCGGTGCCACACAGGCGGATGTGGCCCTCCTGGTGGTGGATGCCACGCGGGGCGAATTCGAATCCGGCTTCGAGTTGGGCGGACAGACGCGCGAGCATGCCATCCTGGTGCGTTCGCTGGGAGTCAACCAGCTGGGCGTGGTCATCAACAAGTTGGACACTGTCGGCTGGTCCCAGGAGCGATTCACGGAGATTGTCACCAAGCTGAAGTCATTCCTAAAGCAGGCGGGCTTCAAGGAGTCGGACGTCAGCTTCACGCCCTGCTCTGGTCTGACCGGCGAGAATCTCACCAAGACGGCGCAGGAGGCCGCACTCACCAGCTGGTACAGTGGTCGCCCCCTGCTGGACGTGATCGAGAACTTCAAGATACCGGAGCGCGCCATCGACAGGCCGCTGCGGATGTCCGTCTCGGATATCTACAAGGGCACTGGATCGGGATTCTGCATTTCCGGGAGAGTTGAGACTGGTGTGATGTGCGTGAATGACAAGGTGCTGGTCGGCGCCAGCCGGGAGCAGGCGCAGGTCAAGGTCCTGACCATGGACGAGTTCTCCCAGACGAGCGTCTTTGCGGGCGATCAGATTTCGGTAACGCTGGCCGGCGTGGATATCAACAACATAACCGTCGGCTGCATCATCAGCGACCCGCAGACACCCATTCCCGTGACGACACGCTTCCAGGCCCGCATCATCGTCTTCAGCGTCAAGGTGCCCATCACCATGGGCTATCCGGTGCTGCTCCACCACCAGTCGCTCATCGAGCCGGCTGTGGTCTGCAAGCTGACTGCATCCATACACAAGAGCACCGGCGAGGTGGTAAAGAAGAAGCCGCGTTGCCTGGGCAACAACTCATGCGCCCTGGTCGAGCTGGAGACGAGTCGCCCCATTTGCATAGAGCGGTACGCCGACTTCAAGGAACTGGGCCGCATCATGTTGCGGGTGGCTGGAGTGACGATTGCCGCTGGAATGGTCACAAAAATACGCTGAAGGGGCTGCTGAATTTTATAAATTTTAGTTACACATTAATTTTTGTTTGTTTTTCTAAATATAGTTTGAAAACACGTTGGAAAAGACGGTATATTTCCGAGGGTCACACGGTATGTTTTTTCGGTGAATCCGCGGTCACACTGCATACCACTAGCATTTTACAACACTATTTTCGGTGCGGGTTACGGGCGAGAAAATTGTAATTTTGCCTAGAATTAAAACGTTATCAATACAACAGAGCACAAGCATTCGCGGCCATTGACGTTTTCTTGGCTTTATCCAGAAACCAGCAACCATATCTGCCCCCGAGTCGCAGTTAACACAACAGAAAAGGTAAAACTCCGAATAGAGTTGCCTCTAGCATGCGGGTGCATTGTGAAGTTTTATATCGGCACTAGGTGTTATACACACTTTAGATAAACATTGCTGACCCGAATAAATACAGTCGGCGTGGTTTTCATTTAAAAAGTGCGCAAATTCCGAAACAATTCCAGCCACAAGTTCTGACGAGGGCAGCGCGCTGCTTGACAACTCTAAAAATGAATCATAAAAGACCAAGATAGAGCGAGAACACGACCAACAAAAAAAAAGAGTGCAGCCAGCACCAGCATACAAACCAAAAACCAACCCAAAACCAAACCAAAAACGAAACGCAACAAACGAATTTACAGTGCAATCGAGCTATATTTAAAATACAACAAATTGCTTTCTTTACTCCCCACAGTGCGCTCTCGGTAACAGCAACAACAGTGACAACGGCAGGCGGTGGCAGCGGCAGTGGAAAAGCAGAAGCGCCAGCGGAAATTTCTTTTTATCGCTGAAAGCAACAATTGACGGAACGCACGCACCTCCACGAGAACCTGAGCGGAAAGAGCGAGGGAGAGGCACAAACACTCACACACAGACACACACTCTTACACGGCACAAAGGTTATCATCAATAACAGAACCAACAACAAAATTACTTTAAATATATATATATATACATATAACGTTCAAAAAACAAACAAAAAAACGTTCTACAAGAACAACCACAAAACTGCAACCGAAAAGCAATCGCCGAACAACGCCTAAACTAGTGATTTTTTGTGAGAGAGACAGAGAGACCAAGACGACCAAGACCGAGAACGAGAGAGTGAAAAGTGACTAAGAGAGGAGTGAGAGAGAGAGAGCCGCCCCGCGTTTTAAAATTAAACATTTTGCAACTTCAATAACTCCAAGAGGAATTTGTAACTGGAAACCCACCTGAGCCCGAGTATTACCTGCCGCCTACCTGCTTTTTGGGTCTTACACAAACTACAGCTACAGTGAGAAATGCGTGAATACAAAATTGTGGTTCTGGGCAGCGGCGGCGTGGGCAAGTCCGCCCTCACAGTGCAGTTTGTGCAGTGCATTTTTGTGGAGAAGTATGACCCCACCATCGAGGACAGCTACCGCAAGCAGGTGGAGGTGGACGGGCAGCAGTGCATGCTGGAGATTCTCGACACGGCCGGCACGGAGCAGTTCACAGCCATGCGGGATCTGTATATGAAGAACGGCCAGGGATTCGTGCTGGTGTACTCGATAACGGCGCAGTCGACGTTCAATGATCTGCAGGACCTGCGCGAGCAGATACTGAGGGTAAAGGATACGGACGATGTGCCCATGGTGCTGGTGGGCAACAAGTGCGATCTCGAGGAGGAGCGAGTCGTCGGCAAGGAGCTGGGCAAGAGCCTGGCCAACCAGTTCAATTGCGCCTTCATGGAGACCTCAGCCAAAGCCAAAGTGAATGTGAATGATATTTTCTACGATTTGGTTAGGCAGATCAATAAGAAGTCACCCGAAAAGAAACAAAAGAAACCGAAAAAGTCCCTATGTGTTCTGCTATAAGACTTCCAACAAAACAAAAAAACGAGTAAGAGAAACAAAACAAAAGGAGCGAGCAGGGAAGAGGAGTAGGGGAGGAGAACAAGTATAAGAGTAAAATTAAAAACATTTTCAATTTTTTTCCGTTCTTGTTTCGTTTTCGATCCGAATGCAATATGCAATTATACAATACAACACAATATTAAGATTGTCAAACAAACAAACAAAACAAAAAAGAAATTGAAATAACCAATCTACTATATATACAATACAAGAGCAAGAGCAAAAGCAAAAGCAAAAAAAAAAAACGTACATATGCTGACAATGTTTTATAACTGTTTAAAGTTTTTGTAATTATTACTATTTACTACTATTATGATTGTACTATTTTTCGCTGATTAACCATTAATCAATATGGGGAATTATTTAATATACTTATACACACACATATATATATTATACATATTTGTCGTTCGTTTTTGAGCCGTTTTTTAAATTATGCAACAAATGAAACATTCGTAAACTAAAACATTCGTATTTATTGATTCTTTTCGATTATACTCTATACACAATACGTCTTATATACAACAAAACAAAAACAAAAACAAAAAAAAACCAACAAAGAAACAACAAGTAATATCTATAAATAGAGCCGTATACCTAATGTCATGTCGTTGCTCTTCTACCAATTGCAAAAACAAAGAAGTAACAAAACAAAAGGAAAGGAAAACCAATTCAACTCAAAATCAAATTAAGCTAAATATTAACTTGTACTAGCCTGATAGATGATTGATAATGATGAATGATGATGATAATGATAATATGATGAATCCACATAAAAGCAAATAAAATTGAGAAACAACAAGTAAACATGTATAAGAAGATATTTTATAAAAATATTGTCTGCAAATGATGTCAAAATGTTGCAAACAACCAGAAGAGTAAATGAGATGATCCATTTAGTAACTAGTTTAAAACAAATTTACAAGTAATTGTTTAATACGATCGATCAATCCAAAATTGAAAACAACACCTCCATACACACAAACACACCCACACACACACACATGCATGCCACATCCCAACATATATACAAAAAAACACACACACACACACATACACTCCGGCACGCTCTCAGAGAGCCAATACCAAGGCGTAAAGACGGAAGTGGGACGCACATACATTGACCAGGAAATGGCGCAGTGTTGCATGTTCCGATAGCCACTTCCGCACCCTTTTGCGGATCAGGAGAAAGATCATCCGGCAGGAACCTAGAAAAAAAGGAATGAAGCCACAAATTCTAGTATATTTATGCATAAAAAATGGTCGTGTCAATCCCAAAATGAAAAGAAACCTAAAAACGAAGTAAATTTATAAATATTTCATAATAAACATTGCATAAAAATAAACATAAACATAAACTTCGCGTAGTAACCAATATGCCCTTAAATCAAAGTCTAAACACAGCCAACAACCAACATTGAAACTAATTAAAAACCTAAGCCCAAGCGTATATATTATATACATATATGATAAAAGATACAAATCATTTTTGAATATAATAAAGAAAAAAAAAACCCAACCGTTACAATAACATAATGTAATAATGTAATAATGAGCGTGTGAAATGAATGTAATTGAAAAAACCATTTTTTCGAACTTGTTCCCTTGCTCGCCCGTCCGCTCAGGATCTGCAATGCTGTCGCGGGTGGAGTAACTCAACAGGTTCGAGCATCTTTTAATTATTAATAAATGTATTATGTTTATAAAAAATTAAAAAGGAAATGCAAAAAACAAAATAAAAATTAAATAAATTCAAGTATAAATGGGCACAAGTCATTTGGGGTGTTGGAGGAAAAACACTTTCAATTGAAATTTTGGAAATATCTGTATTTGATACTTGGAATAGTAATACAAGGTAGTTATTCAAATATTTATACATACAATTACAATCAAATAGCCGGCTGCCTTTTATAATTATCATAATTTTTTGCTACTGTATAGCACGCATATTCATTGAAAGATTCTCCATAGGTTTGGAGCTACTTGAAGTTTTGTCATCCATGGGGGGGTAGGCTCGTAAAACTGCATTTGATATGATGTCGGCACACGAATGCATAGTTTTTAAAGGCTCGACTTGTCGGGATACGTACATATGTATAGTATAATAGCCATGCATAGAGTGGAAGCCAGTTAAGCGCCAGGACCACATTGATTTTAAAAAGGGAGAAATAGTTTTGGTTTACATGAATATTTAGCTTCGATTACTGTACAATAAGTTGGTTTTTGGGTTTCTTTATAATGACTAGGTTTTTTGGGCTAAGCAAAGTGCTCTACAGAGATTTCTATTCTTGGTGTGATGCACAATCAATTAACGCATTCAATAATCAGTCCAACTTTGTGTGCTGCAAACTCTCAGGGCTCTAAAGGAACCCCCGGTTCTTGTCTTCTTTACAAATTAACAATAAAACTTAATTTTGCTAATTTGGCAACAAATAAAATGTATACAAATCATATTATAAATGGGAGATATTGCACTGGGATGTTAACGAGGGGTAAAAATTGCACTTTTGGTTATAGTGTGTGGGGTGGGGGGGGCTTTTAAAAACTAGAATAATACAATTATTTCGCATCTGGTTTTTGAGATTGGGAGGAGATTTCGTTCTTGCTTAGAGATTACTTTAAAGGAGATTACTAGCGCACGTGATCGTCACGGTATGGCCATTGAGATAAGATAACAAAATGCTGGACCCCCGTACGTGCCTCACTTGCGTAGCTGCAACTGGCCCTGCTGCTGCTGTTGCTGGGATTGCGCTTGGCTCGACTGCTGCTGTTGTTGCTGCTGCTGCTGCTGTTGATGATGATGATGGTGATGGTCCTCATCGTCGCTGGGCTCCTCGCGCAACGGCAATGAATCGATTTGCTTGGCGGTGGTCACCTTTTTATTGCGCTGCCAGGTGAAAACGCGTGCCATTTGTAGGAATTTCTTGCGCGACATCTTGCCCATGTTCTTGAGACGCTCCTGAAACGGGGCATCATCCTCGCCCTTGGTCTTGCCCGTCTGCTCCTTCTCGAGGGCGTTCATGAAGTCTTGATTCCAGCGCAATTGATTCATAAACTCCTCGTTCTGCAGCATCAGGGCGAATTGCTCGTCTGGCAGCTCAAAGTCCTGCTGGCCAGCAGCAGGTGCAATGCGTAGAAAGCCTGGCGGAAGCACACCCAGAATGGGTGGGTTCCAGCGACGGGCTGTGCTGCTGCTCTGACTCCTCTTTGTGGGCGTGTTGTTCTGGCTATTGATCCTATTGGAGGTGCCCAGAGGCCGCATCTTGGGCGAGGCACCCGTGTTGTGATGATTCGGCGAAGCGCTGGCGGTGGCGGTTAGTAATGCGCCAGCACTGGCTGCTGCGGCGGCTGCACCGCTGTCCCCAATGCCATCCGTGGTGTCAACGAGCTGGACATTGCGCCGTAGGTCTTTGTCCGAATCGTTGAGATTGATGAGACTCTGTTGTGGGGAGACATTAGCATCCAGTTCATTGCGCAGTTTTTCGTTCTGTCACATGCGGTTAGGTTAGTATAGTATAGTAGCTGCTGTTAGTATACACAAGCAAACGCACACACGGACCCCTACCTGATTATCTATGGACATGGCCAATAGGGCATCTATTGTCTGATCCACGGCGCCCAGGTTGGCCCGCAGTATAGCCTCAATCACCTCGCGATCGATGTCGGGAAACATCTTCTTGAAATCGGCCATGGCCTGCGAAAATTCCAGTTGCAGCGTCGACATTTCGAAAAATAAAAATATTTTTCGCCCCCTTCTACCCACCACTCTCACTATAACTGTCTATGCTCCCCTTTGAAAATTAAACGTTATAATTCCTAATTCCCAATTCGATATTTACAGCTGCGGACAAATGGTATGGGATTTTTCCCAATTGCGGACAAACGTATTGGAATTATAAAAATCCAATTGGAGCTCACTTGTTAACGCAAAAATGAGCCATTAACATCACTATTTTTCGCCCCCTCCAGTGTGACCGGGGATTTATCGGTCAAATATACCGTCTGACCCGCAGAAATGGATTAGATATACCGAAACACCATAGGCACTAACCATACAGTTATAGATGTGCCAGTTCACACAAAGAAAGTGGCGCAGCTGAGGTTTCAGCGTACGGTCCCAAGTCTTCGGCTCTGGGGTGGGAAATAAGTACAATATGTAAAATGTAAAAATAAATGTTAAAATGTAATAAAAATTAAAAGCAAACAAAAAATGTTTTTATTGTTCATTGACAAAAGCTGACTGATATGAAACGAAAAATTCGAATTGCTCGCTGACAAAAGCTGACTGATATGACAGATTTGCAAAGTCGATGATGTTCAATCATGTTCATTCATGTCCATTGGTATTCAACCAAGTGTATTCATGTCCAGAGCGGTTTTAGCTGCCATTTTCGATTTCCATACCAATAGCTTGCTGGCATCGATTTTAAAATTTTAAAATTTTACAATTAATCGAGACGATTCAAATTAGTAGCTGGAAATCAGATTTTGAACGACATTTCAAATTAGATTTGTACTGCTAAAGGCATTTTAAGCCATTTAAAAAAATGGATTTTAATTCTATATTTTTGTGCATGCAGTGCGCACTGGTGATGGCTGGATCAATAAATCACAATCAAATGCATTTTATGTGGGTTTCTGTGCATTTTATGATGGCATGGTGGAAACCTTATACTCACGTGATTGTCTCAACTGCTGATAATTTTCAGGCACGTGCTTGCTTTGGTTCCGGAATGAAGAGTCAATTCCGTCTGTCGCGCTTTAATAAGCGTCAATTAGCACTGATATGATTGTCGTTTTGATACTCTATCAGGCGATACTATGCTGCCAAAAAAAAAAAAGACGGACCCTTATCTATGTACGAGTATATCTGTCGGACAAGTGATGATTCTGATTATTCCACCCCCATCGATTCCGGGTGATGTAACCATAAAAATTAATTTTAATCACATTGTCTACAAATTAAGCGTGGGCGAGAGAGATAAGCCAAATTTCTATATACATGCTATGTATGTATTTACGGATCAGACAAAAGGTCAGGCGTGTCAATATACTAGATTTAATTGGAATAATCAACATTTTTTTGGCAGCATTTCTAGACAAAATTAATTACTGTCTGCGGGAATTTTGTACAAGATGAGACGCATATAACATTAAAATGATACGGGTAATTCCTTATATTAGAAGTAACCTTTTTGACTGCGAAAACATGTACTTAAAACATGCAAAATTAGTTTTGTCCTGCCACCCACCATTAAATTTAACTTTGAGTTTCTGTGTGACTTAATCTCTAGTAGATATTGCATCACATTATTCCGCCGAACGAACTCACAGAGCAGAGGGGTCTGAGGTCTGACTTATAACATTAAAGATAAGATCAGCTTGGTTATCTCTGCGATGGACAAGTGTAAATTTCAACGCTATTTTTAGATGTATTTTCGTAACTGCGAGTTTATTTTAGTTCGTCTTGTTGGGTCAACACTTTTTTTTGTATATCATTTAAAAATACCCATGACAGAGATACCCTACCTGATGATGTGGCCCCAAAGACCTATATCATGTGATTCTTACGGTGAAATTTCATGAGTTTGCAATATCCGCTAAACATTTCAGCATCCGCTCTCAGCTCTTAGAAAAAACTGCGAACCGACATTGACCCAATTAACTTTGGAAATGTTCTAGCAAAATCATTGCGAGTTTAATGACCTATAATTGAAAGTGATGGGGGCATTGATCTTCTGGGAATTCAACAATTTTACGTACAGTTTATAGATTGTGTCCAAAAGCCTTGACTCCAGATCCTTGGCAAACTGCCACCGGAATCGAGTCAATGAACCAAGCGAGGGAGTAAACCTAAACCCCAGAGAACAGTGCGGTGCGTGATAGTTCAGTGTCACAAATGTGATTTAATCTTTTGATATACAGTGCCTTAACAAACTAATATACCCAGCACTCTACGCTGCAGCGCAGTCTGACTTTTCGGTTGTTTAAATTTATATGGCTTGATCATAAATCTTGTCTTTATCGGCCGATTTGTCAAAAGCGTGGCACGGTACACAATCGGTACAGGGCCGAGTCCGACTACAACCGACTTAATTCACTTTCTGTTGAGTCCCGAGCCGAGAGAGCCGCACGAACAGTAGTACTACGAGATCAAACCGAACCGATCCGATCCGACCCAATCTGAAGTGTTTAGTTTTCGAACACACCGTAAAGAAGAACGTCGCGCAAGCCAATTGATTGTTCTCATATTTTGGCGAGCAAAAGTGTAATTATAACAGCTCTTCAAGTGCTCCCATTCACCCATTCACAACCCTCCCACAAAACGCCCACAAGAAAATTGGAACCTACCTACGCCTCCTCCCAATACCCAACCCCCCCAATACAGTTTTGTAACATCCGAAGTGTCGTCGGGTTTCGGTCGTCTGTTTGGTGTCGTTGTGGTCGTGTTACCGCGTTGTTAGCCAGGTCTACGAGTATTTTTACCTGTTGCTTTACCCTTTTTGTTGTGCGTCGGTCTTCAAGCGCCTATATAAACAAGTGCTCTCAACGGATTTGCGTTTATTCTGCATTGTCACACCTAACGCTCAAGATTCCCCCAGCGGAGCAAGAAAAAAAGAACACTTTGAATCTGAATTATTTCATGAATGTTTTGTGGACATTTCATAAATATTAATAGACAACAAAAGTTTCACATTATTTAGTAAAAAAGTACATTTACAGTAAAAAAGTACAGTTACAGTGAAAAGTGCTAAAAAGTATAAAAAGAAGGTCAAAAATTGAAGAATTTTTACAATTCTTTGAAAGAACTTGAATTACTTGAAAGGAAGTTGCATTTTTAAGAGGTGAGTTTTGGTAATATTATCCAAATGTATATGTATCCACATATAAATATAACTATTTGGGGGAATATTTTTTTTGTTCAAATAAATTTCTAGAATTCCATAGTCCAATCCTGGCCTTCTTTTGCATGTTTTTTAGTTAATTTTCCATAATTTGAATCATCAAATATGCAAAAACGATCCATTAGGTTCCATTAGACTGGCGCCGAGAAAATGTACTTTTCGCCTATTGATAAGGGGAACATTCATATATTTATTTATATTTTTTTACGACATTCAAATTATCAGCATACATTTCAACAATGTCATTTCATTGCGGGATTTTCGATTAAAATTATTTCAATTAAAATTCTTTTATGCCCCAACAAAATTATTGTAGTCGGCTTATCAGCGCAGGAACGGTGGAAAAGATGTTCAATGGAAAGTCTCGTGAATCAAATATCATTTATAAAATGCGTAGTTTTTATTTGATTTGCTGGTGGGGGGATTCCAACTTAGATTCAGATCCAGATAGCTTTTGTTTACAGAGCTCGATGCAGAAGCAGAAGCAGAACCAAAGGAAAAAAGAGGGCGTGTCAATCGTAGATGTGAACTTATTGTCGTTGATAAGAAAGTACTGAAAGCTCTGCGCGGTTTCTGTGTGTTGGTGTTGGTTGTGGTCCGATATTTTATGACGTGCCTGATGACGCACTTTATTGTGGGGCAAATAAAAGAACGAAGACCATTTGTACGATTTTATTATTATATATTCCCCGTTTGATGATACGAAATGGGTCACAGCAGCAAAGACCCCCCAGCCTAGTTGTGATGCGAATTCTGTTGGTGATTTGTTTTTTTTACATAGCTTAATCTTTAGCTTGGACATGAAATAAATCAAAACAATAATGTCGTTCCATCTCGACGTATAGGAAATTTCTCGTATTCTCTCAATAGCTGAATAAAACTAGTTTCTGGCTGTTCTTCGCTTTTTATAGGTAACATCATAATTTGGCCATAACTTGTCATCATCTTATCGCTTATCGATCATTGTTCGGTTTCAGCTTTTTTTAATAACCATCCATCGAAATCGAACCCTCACGAACCAGGGGCAGCTGTCAAATAAATTCGGCACTCCATCCCCATCCCCATCCCCATGCCCATGCCCATTTCACCTTCTTCCCTGCATAGTTTTTATGGTAGCCTGTTTAACGATTGGGCGTGGCACTTGCACCGCTCGAGAGTTCAATGAAACTTGTACGCGCCTGGCCTTGACTCTAATAATAAATGGAATAGAGATGAATCTTGGCTGGGGATCGCCATAAATTAGCCACGTCACACAATGCATTATCAGCTCGACACCACTCGAACGCCGAACGCCGAACGCAAAACATCGAAAACGCAAACAGTTTAGTGTTCTTGTGCCATTAAAATGCGTTTGCTGCGATTACGCTGCCGCTGCCGCTGCCGCAGCCGCAGCCGCAGCCCCATCAATCATCAATCATCCTGGTGGCAATCGCAGAGCGTGTAAGTCACGAAACGGATGACATTGCGCGGCTAAAGATTATCGCCGTGCACTTGAGATTCGCTTCAGGAGGAGGACGTTTCAGGGAGACGGACCATGAAAAGGAGAAGCGGTCAGTCAGATCTAGCTCAGTTGGCAACAACAAAAATTAAATATATAAAGTATTTTTGGAATTTTTGATAAGTTGAATTCGTTGCGGGGCGACATCAATATGAATAATGAGTAGCAGTTCTAGAGGGAAAGAAAGTGATAGGGGAAAAGCGGTACTAAGTCACAATTATGATAGATCAAAGGGTTTAATTTCATTTCTCTGTAGGTTTAGTTTTGCTCATTTATAGCCAATATAACTCACATAGTTTCCCTCATTTATCTGCAAGCGTTTCACTGCATCTTTATTAAGTAGTTTCATTTCTTTTAAAAGACTTCATCAATCCCAATTGAACTTTCGCCGTTTCTCACTGCTGCTAACAACCCCTAAGCACTAAACACCCTAAATGACTTGTAATTTTTAACACTCACTCAAAGCCAACCCACCCACAACATTAACCCACTGACCGCTCACCTTTAGCATTACGGCTGGCTGCTTGTGGCGTCAGAGCTTGAGCTTCAGCTTAATTAGGCATTAATATTTCATAAATGTCAATTAAGGGATGTCTCACAGACAGAGACACACAGAGAGATAGAGAGAGAGAGGGTCCGCATATCAAATGATGATATTGCAATGTGACCTGATTTCAAGAGCAGGCATCAAAGAAGCCATTTCCATTTATAGACCCAAAACGGAATGGGGTAAAGCCAAAAACTTTCAACTGAAGCTCATCCTAGACTTCATTGAGTAAGGGAACAAAATGCAACGTGACTGCCAGTTTTGAAGTGAAGCCAACACCTTGAGTGGGCAGCAGCCGAAACCCCTCGAAACATTTGCGCATATTTTGAAAACTTTTTGTTTTGTTTGTAATGGGAAACCCTTTGCGTAAGCACTGAATGGGCGAGAGGCGAGAGGGTTGGCCAGAGGGAGGTGCTTAATTGTTCTGGCCAAATTGTTGTTTGCACTTTCAACACCAATATTCACACATTTTGTGGCCTTTCAATTCCGCAGTACATGATGTCCACAACGTGCGGCTGCTCACTCGTCCAGTGGGGCATTGTCATTGTGCTGCTGTCAGTCGCTGCCGGGCCAGGATATGCCATGCCACGTACTGGCCTGCCAACGCAGTTGTTGTTCAGCGAACTGCTTGGAGCGGGTGGTAATGAGGACAACACCTATTATGGCGAGCAATTGGTGAGTGATAGATGCGCGTTCATTGAGGCACCTGCACGGGGACTAAGCCACCTGTTTGCTCCCCCTTTGACTTTTAGAAGTACCAGCAGCAGCAACAGCAGCAACAGAAACAGCAGCGGCTGCCCTCGTTTGCCAGGAAGTGGCCTTCGCTGAGGGATCTCCTGCTGACCACTGACTATGAGGAGCTTGGCGTGCCACAGGATAGCAATGAGCGCGAACTGGTCACCAGTTCCCGTCTCCTGGCCCGTCTGCACAAGCTCAGCGAGAATGGAGGCGGCGAGGAGCTGCGCTACAACCTGGTCAACGATCTAACTGACATGCCCACCAAGAAGATAGTACACAGTCCCTCTCTCAAAGAGCACAACACTAAAAAGAATGTGCAATGTAAGTAAACGAGCCACAATCTACATGTATATATGTATATATAAATCTACAAACAGTATCTTCAATGTGGCATGATTGACTAATTTGTTGATTCGAAACCTTTTTATTTTCATGATTATTATTTGGTCCCAAAAAATTAGTTCGTAAACAATGTAAGTGTTGCATGAAGCAATTCCCAAATCTATTTCATTCGACTAACTTTGTGTACATTTGTGACTTCCATAGACATGTCGCCGTGCCACTTTAAGATCTGCAACATGGGCCGCAAACGCAATGCCGCCTCCTATGTACCCTACTGAAGCGATCTGAAGAACAGAACTCCCCAACAAAAACTTAAAAGTACACCCCATCTCTCCCCCTAAGCTAACAACGAGAAAAACCAACCAAAAGCAGCCAAAGTAAAATAAAAGCAGAAAAATTAACACAATTTGCATTGTCACAGATTTGTGGAACGCGTTCAAATGATGCCAAGTATTGTCTATTGATTTAGTTTGAGAATTAGTAATTATGATTATAATGTATTTTAAACAAATGTCTCGACACACTCTCACACACACACACACACATTACACCACACCAAAAAAAAAACTCCCCTTATCTCTCCCGTCTTATCTCTCTTTCCCCCATCCTACATATGAACACATACAAAGTATTTCCATATTAGTTATATGAATATTATCTATGATTCTTGTTGTATTCGAAATACATATTAAGCAAAACGTATATATTACAAAATATTTATTAAAAACTACAAAAAAAAAACAAAACAAAATAAAAAAAAATATGGCAAAGTTTCCTGAATAAATAAATGTTAGTTATGGTATTCAAGGACCCGAAAAGGGTCGCCAAAAATGTTATCCGAATCGTTTTCGTTTCTTTTATTCAAATCAAAAATCTAATGGCGCCCCCAAAAGCAGGCAACGTTTCGCAGAGAGTGCAACTTATGTGCCAAAAAGTGAAGCCTGCTTTCGGGCTGCAAGGGGAATGCAGTTTGGATTTGTTGATTTTGCAGCTTGCCGACACACTTTTAAAGGATAAAGATATTACTTTAAGATACTTAATTTGATGACAGAATTTCCGACTCTTCATATAGTTGTTTTATATACGTTTTTAGCCTGTAGTTATTATTTTTTTTAAGGTATTTCCTATTAGTTGTTTGTTCTTCTTTGTCTCTCTGGTTATTTTGCACATTCAGATACTTTTGTAGCTTTGTCCTTAAAGTCTTTTTGCTGCTTTCAGATGCTTTTCTTTTCAAATGCATTTATTTCGCCATACAGTAATGTATCTTATGGATAGGTTTGCCCTTCAGGCGATTGCTTTACATGTAAATTATCAGGAGGGCCATTAAAACTGCTCTAGAGTGTGTATTAAATGGATTTAATTGTTTTGTGGTAGTCCGTCTCGCTGATGTTTTAATTACATATTAGATATTGATTGAGTTGCTCATTGCATTAATTACATAGGCAGGCGTGAGAACCAATGATCGATACTTCCAAGAATATTCTTCAAAGTATCTGGTTCGGAGTTTCAGATCATATCACGCAGTCATCGCTGGCTGTAGCCCATAATCCGAGTCATGCATAGACCGACCCCCAGGTTGCGGTTGCAAAGGCCAAGTGCCACTGCAATTTGTTCGGAAATGTCGGCTCAGAAGCTTGTAAGCGGTGGGCTGGTGGGCGTTGCACGTTTCGACTGGCGCTGGTTTGCGGAACCATCAGAACTCTGGCTACAGGATATGAAATATTGAAATCGATCGCGTTTATGGTTAGCAACTTAATGTCATGGCGTCGGCGCCGTTAGCCATAAAAAACGGAACGAACTGAAAAGCTAAACCAGAAAGCAAACAGTCAGCACATTCGACTGTTGGTAGTAAACGCCCAAACGCGTTCACAGGCTGTGAGAAAAATGTTAAACAGCTGGGCAGATCGAATCTGAATCCAAATTCGAATAGAAGTAGTCAGTACTGACGTGGCTGGCTGACTGTTTGACCGCCAGAGACCTTCGACTGTGCCTCACATTTATGCTCTTTAACAGTTTACACGAAGTGCATTTCGATCCGTTCGCAATTACCGACTCTCGTCGAGTGATTCATGCTCAGCTATAACTTGTACACTTGCAATACATCTGTTGTGTGTGTTTTATTTGAATGCAAATTCTATTGTAATTAAACGTGCTTTGCCTGATTCGTCGACAAATTGCTTGGCTGCTGTCGGAGATGTTGATGTTCGAGAATTATGAGCCCAACATGTCAATTTACGAGTACTTGTAGAGAGAGATCGCAGCTAATCGGATAAGCTTCCCACGTAGCTCAGTGGCAGTTGGCTGTTAATTGGGCCACACACAGCCGTCAATGGAAGCGATGCGATGCGTTCAACTAATTGGCTAGGAATGCTTATAAGATTCCAATTATTTCTTGATCCAAGTTCATCAATCAAAGCGCTCCCTGCCTCATTTAAAATTTATATTTAGTTATAGAAACAATTTTCAAATCATTTCAATAGTTTTTCCAGACACACAATATACATTTTTGGTACCCAGTGCCACCGAATCGAACTTGAGGCTGCTAATTATACTTAAACTGCGCCCGCGGGGAGTCAGTGCCTCACCATCCTCACACCTCACGGATAATTAAGCATCAAAGTGCTTGGCTTAGCATTACTTTTGGGTTTCGGCGGAGTCAAGGTCGCATACTAATTGATCAGCGGACCAAAGCAGAGCCACGTAAACTGACGAAAGTAAAAGTAAACCAAATACGAGCACGAGTATGAGTACGGGTACGGGTACGAGGGAATTATACCTATAGAGCTGATCATTTAATTAACTTAATTCAGTTGTTTAAGTCGCTTGTTTAATTGGACTTTCAAATCGTAAGCCCTGGCAAAAATGTTCATAAACTTTTCAACTCTGGTGCTCTGGGGCTGCTCGGTTCAGAATTTTATTTGGAATCGTAACACAAATTGCCTGGGCTGTGGCTGATGGGTGGGGATCGTGGCATTTCTCACACACTCCGCGTGGCCTGACTCAATCCCTCGTGTGAGAAAATTTTAGACTGCAACTGCAAGTGCCGCTGCAACTGCCACAGCCCAGCCACAGAGCCGCAAGACAATCGCAATTGTTTCGGGCTGCCTGTCTGCACTGCACCAGATATGCGCGGGTTTTATTATTATTTGTATGGTTCTGAAACGGCATTGACAAGGCCACACTTGGAGTCGGGTCGGAGTCGGTGCTGCAGTTGCAGTTGGAGTTGGAGTATGATGAAGTGCCAGGGCACTGAAATGAAATGTCGGTGCTTCATGTGAATGCATTAGGCAAAGTGTTTTTGCTGCATTGCCTCCAAAATGTGTTATTTTCGTAGCCGGATTCCCAAATGTGATCAAGCCATAAAAGATTTTCTGGTTGGGGCGCCAAAATGGGAACCAAATATTGGCTAAGATCGAATTAACGACGCACTTGACATTTGCCAAGACCAGTCCCAGCTTCAGCCTCAGCCTCGCGACGTGTGCCAGGCGTTTGTCCGACTTATTGAATTGCCTGCAATCATTTTCATTCATTCATTTATTCATTCATTCATGGCACAAAACGTGCGTAAACGCACAACTCGTTTCGGTTGGCAAAATGAGGAAAAATAATAATGTCAAGCTGGCCAAACAACTCTGCGGAAAACCCATAACAAAAATGGCAGTTAAGATTAGCGAAGCAAGTTTCCTGAGCAAACGTGGAAATCTCCGCTCCACTGGTGCTCCACTGGTGCTACACGATGAACTTGACACATTTTTTCGGTGCTTCAGACAGTGCAAACATTGTGCAAACGAACTAATTGCAAGACTGGACTGTTGCACAACCCATACTTGATGGCTAATTACAGCAACGATTGCCACAATTGTCCGGCCATTACAGAGGGCGAGAGAGAGAGAGCAAGAGAGACGAGACGAGACCCATCCCCCAAATGGGGGCACATTCAAATGGCGTAGCTCCATTAATCACACCGCCTGTCCATGTCTGCCTGGGAGTTGCAATGCTTCTCACACAATCGCCAGAAAAAAAAAACACACACATCACAAAATGAATTGCCTTTTAATATCAAAGATTATAAGCCAAGAACTGTCGATCAATTTGGTCAAGATATTTGTCGATACGTATGTTACCTCGTATATTTATTTATGACTTACGTCTGCACGAAATTGAAATGAATGTTTTGAGGTGTGTTGTTCGGCTTTTGTTTTTTTCATATAATTAATGATCCATTAAGTGTGGAGAAAAAAAACAATTTAAATTGGGGTTATTTCTAGTAAGAACTAAACAGCTTCCGCATTTGTGTCTAATGAATGTCCATCGAGATGAGACATACATATGTTTTGCCTTAATTATAGCTGGTATTTGTGGAATATATGCACATAAATATGTAGTAGGCGGAAGGAAGAGTTTTTCAATCTATTTTTGCACGCAAATATCACTGCAAATCAATGTTAGTCAATCCATATATATTTATCTGTTACAGATAAAATTATATTCTATTCATTCTATTCTCTAAGGGTAAACACTCTAATTGTAAGGTTATCCATGTTGTTTCTACTTATTGAAGTTATGTATTTCAGTGGCTCACAGCTACTTCAAAGTGAATGGCCATCAATTAGCCAAAAGCTCACACAAAATGTCAACTCAATTTCGCCCGGCAACCCATCAAACGCAAGAGATTTAATTATCATCTACGCCTGTCTGCAATTGGAGCGGAGATTCGAGCGTGTAGTCAGCCAGCCAATGTCTTGTTACCGGCATCAAAATGATGGCTAATTGTTATTTTTGCATATGCATTCAGGCGGCTGCTTGCATGTTGTTTGATCACACAGAGAGCGAGAAACTAAAAGAGAGAGAGTGAGAGAGAGGAGAGTGAGAGAGTGAGAGACCTTACATAATAATCTAGTTAACAAATTGTGTCATGTGGAGCAGCTAGCAACCGAGTAACCGAGTAACCGAGTAACCACCGACTCAACTGTCTCGATCTCCCCGGCGCCTGCATCCAACTGAAATCCGACAGAGCAGCTGCAGCCGCCTGGTCTATCCAGCCACCACTTTCGAAAGTCTTTTGCCTACACCCCCCCCCCCCTCAAGAGAGGGGGGAGAGAATAGAAATAGAGGACTTGCATAACCCAGACAGGGGACAAACGGTACTATCGCGAGGGTGTTGGCCTACGACTGCATATAAAAAAGTCATTAAAATATTTAAAAATAAATAATCCCCATCAAGCAAAGCAATCTGCTGTGCATAGTAAAAACTCACGAATTTGCTCCTAGGGGGCGGCCCACAAATGGTCAGCCATCCAGCCATTTCCTAGCCTAAATATGATAGATCTTCAAACGGAGGGGGGGGGCAGGCACAGAGCTCCACTTTAGGGAGCGACAATCATGGTTTAGGCTTTGGGGTGTGTCCGTCCAGTCAAAATGTAAATCTTGGAAAATGGGGTAGGGGAAAAGCTGACGCTGTCTCTGTCTCTGTCCGCTGGCAATTGTGGGTTAATGGGTGAATGTGCTGTTTGAACTACATTACAATGGATAATCAGTTAGTGGTTCGGGCCGGCCTGTTCGCTGGCTCTAACCCGTTGGATTGGTAGTTTTGCCAAGTGGCGAAAATATTTGTAGTGGTAAACCAAACAAAAGACTTGAGCAACATTGAAGGAAATTATAGGAAATTTGTGCATTAAAGATATTTCATCACTCCCCCCAACCAGCTGAAGCACCCATTGTTCTTTGTGGAGTTTCTCTAGAATCTTCAGTTAACACAGTTAACACTTTTAAGTTCATAAACCAGGCACACGCCTTCCGTCTGCCACGAACGGACCACCTCTGGCATGTACTCCTGTCGGGGGATAAGCCTCATGTGAACCGCTGGACTTGCAGACTAGCAACCGCTGGAAATTGAATTTACTGTATGCTGGCGATAGAAACAAGGCGTCGACACCCACGCAGCCAGAGGCAGTGGCAGAGCCAGAGCCAGAGAGTTCCCCCAGAGAGTCAAAAGGTACTACGGTATAACCGATTTCAATCTTTGATTACAGGGCAGCCACACGTCAGTTGTGCAAGAAGCGATTGCCAACAATTGTGCTGCGGTTAACCAACGGGAGCAGAGTGAGGAGTGAGAAGTTGCACAGAGACAGATCATAAGAAGCGGCATCTGAGACATCTCTGTTGTGGTTTTGCCACTCAAAAATGGTTGCAACAACACAAAGTCCAATCGGTTTATATCTCTCTACGTTGAGGCAGGATCATGAGTTGGTACCTAGAATAATGCTAAGCCGGATATGTACATGGCAATGAGAACAATGCGATAAACATTATGGACATGCCTTTCTGAACAATGAACAGAGATCTCCGACATTATCGAGAGCCAATAAATCAGCAAACTCAGCCACAAATTTCAACAGCAACAGAAATAGCAACAGCAACAGCCACTGCGACTGCGACTACGTTTACGTTTACGAGTACGACTGTGAGTACGAGTATGACAATGGGCAAACAATTACAAAACCATATAAAAAGCGAATTCGATACGAGAAATCTAAAGCGGAAATTTTGTAAAGCTGCCACGCCCCCTCTTCGGCCCAGAGCCCCAGTCTTTATGCTGCAGTCTGGTGCTGCACTGCACGGGCTCCATGGGATCGTGGTGGTGAATGCATTGCGAAAATGTTGGGGCAAAATAAAAAAAACCCACCGAATGCAAGCAAAATTCGACCTAAGAGGCTTGTTCCAGCTCCAGCTCCAGCTCCGCGCTGGTCATGGCAAATTGCCTTGGAGTGTCTCCATTCTAAGCCTGGCCAAAGCCCGAAGGTCGTCGTTCGTCGTTCGTCGGTCTTCGGTATCCAGTCCAAGCCTCTGGTTTGGGTCGAACAATGGAGGTGATCTATGTAAATTTCGAGCGACATAATTGCATGGATTAAGCTGTTGTCTGTTTGCTGACGGTTTGGGATCTTTGCCACCCCTACCACCCCTGCCAAAACAACTATATATAATTGGACAGCTGATAAGGCACACGCCCACTGAAAGAGCTGTCAGAGAACCCCAAATCCCGCATTAAAATCTACAATTTTTTTGAAAATTGTTTCCACTGGTATTACAATTTGTAAAAGAAAAGCTTGCAGCCCGGCCACAACAATACAAAAAATTCAATCAAATTGAAATCAAATTTTTGGGGTTTTAACCCATAAACAATTCGACCTTGCGGTTGTCTTACGTGTTTTTGTGGGTGCACTTTAGCAACCGAAAACCGAAAAAGTGGCTCAAAGTGGTGCAGCGGGAAGTTTGAAAGATTTTCTTTAAAGATTTCATGGAACACAATTCCCTCGAAAACTGTATGACAAGCATATGCCATGATTTCATTAATCAATTAAGCTTTTCTTGCCTTTTGTTCAGTGATTGCATTTTGATTTCCAATGAATAACAATCCGCGCTCTGGTCAAGGTCAGACAATTGTTCGATTACTGCAGTTAATACAATTTTTATTTAGTTTCTACTCCCCCCCTCTTTTTTTGTTTGTTCATTGTGGTTGCCACAGCCACAGCAATTTGTGTGGCATTTGCAAAGATCGGTAGGTAGCCGCTGGTCAAAAACTCATGAGTGAGTAAATGTTAATTGCCATGAGTCGAACGCAGGTTGTGTTTCAATACCTTAATTACAATTGGAATTTTGCATAATTAATTTAAATTATAACCCAGGCCATGCTCAAAGTCTGCTGATATTTGCTGTTGACTTGTGAACCGACTTGTTGCGCAAAAGATCTGACAGAACAAAAATTCAAATCAAACGAATGACTTAGGCAACGAACTTGTTTCGCATATTGCTGCCGCATGTTGCACACACAACTAGGAAAGCTGCAAACATTTGCCACTCAATCAGCGGCCGGCAGACTGAGCAACAAGGCAACGCACACAAATTGCTTTAATTACAACAAATTTGCTTGAATATATATCAACTTGAGGCATTTCTGAGCAAAAAAACACTCCGAGAAATTGCTTAAAACACTCCGCAGAAAACACTTTGACGTTTTTTAAAAAAAACTTATAAATTTGCAAACAAAGGAAATATTTAGCGAAATTTTTTCAAGTTCTGCTATATTTATTAAACGATTTCTTTCAGTGTTGGCTGAGCAAATGCTCTCTGACTTTTTAACTGACACCTCCAAATCATGACGACTGCAGCTAGAAAAATATACCTAGTTCTGCACTATTCCACTCCACACAACAGCACTGCACTCCACTCAGCCTCAAGTGACCAGCCCCAGAGATCTCATGACGAGCCAAGATTGAGCGAAGATTGCGACTGCTTCGGGCCACTTGGGCGTTGCATTTCTGCGAATCCGGCTGTGCTCGGATTGAATCGGATCGGATCGGATCTGGTCTGGTCTGGGTGGTCTGCCGGCTTCTGGAACTTCTCGCCTGACTCATAGATTCATATGTGGAACGGATCTACTATGTGGAGTACTGCAATCTTTGAATGGCATAGCATGGGGTGCATAATTAAATCAAAAAGGAAACGAACCGTATGACCAAAGAGGTTTCGCATTCAAAAATTTACTATTGTTATTGTGTTGGGTCAAGACTGGTCTGGTTTAAGCACTGCACTAAGAGTGCGCTTGGTGATTGTCTGTGGAATTTGCACACATTTAAGTAACGGGTTTGTTCAAATCTAGGAAATGCAACTTCTTATCAAGGAAGTGAATAAGGTAATAAAATAAAACCTGTTTCATTTAGAGTACGAAGTAGGAACTTTTCAAGAGAGTTTTAGAGCAATTTGTCTGGGATCAATGAAGGATCTAATGCTGCCTAAAAATGGCTCAATCATCCATCAAAAGCAATCAATTATTGCATCCAATCAGACTCTAATTCAATCCGATTCATTAGCTATGGTGGTGAGTCATTTTCGATTTTTTCTTCTACCTTTATTTACCCTGTGTCTCTTACTGACTCCGCTCCTGTGCCGATTACAACTGTTAGTGATCCGTTACACGTCGCTTGCTGCTGGTCGTCGCTTTGTCGTGATAACCTTGAGACGATTGCTTCAATTTTAGTTTTAGTACGGCCCAGATTAGGACAGACATCCAAACAGACACGTAGATAGAGACTGAAACAGACAGTCAAAGTTGAGCTTAATAATTCGAGACGATTTATTAAATGAGACAAAGCAGGGCAAGTACATCGCATACGAATAGAGACCAGAAAATATGCCATAAAACATAAAACAAAGCGAGGCAGAGCTCGAAAATATGACAAAACAAAGTACTTTTTGGCCTGGTAATGAGTCAGGGTTGCATTGGAGGAGTTTTGCCCATAATGATGTGGCGCCATGCTGCGCCCCACTTCTACAACGTCTCTCCACTCTCTGGTTTAATAAGCAAAACGGCCTACATGGCAATTAAAAAATATACAAACAAAAAATACTCTTAGCATTAGCAACATTAAGTGGAAGCGCTGATCGACGACGCCCAGCATTCAGGCGGAGGGAACAAAAAAATCCATAGAACATAGACAAAATATTGCATGGGAGAGCCACGGCGAACAAATTGCAACATGCCGCAATCTGATGGTGGGGCAGGGGCAGGGGCTGAGGTTTGGGGCAACACCTCCGCCCACCAAAAATGCAATTTTTAGTTGCCATAGAAGCCATTGTTTTGTTTAATACTCGTACATAAATATATTTAGTTTGTGGCTAATTTTATTCGTGCTCGAGGATTTTTCTATGCGAGGGAGCAGTCAGATGGGAGATTCGAGAGGCCATTTCAATTAATCGTGATGGGCGATGGAAACGAATACTCATAGATAGTTAGGCTAATTTAGTTATAGACTGATCATGATTTTATAATTAATATGATTTCTTAATGCATAATAAATGGGGGTTGTTATTGTTTCTCCTGCACTTACTCAGCCTCCAATATATGTATGTATTTTCGGTCTGTTATACTTATTTTAGTTAATTTGGTATAATTTCCTTACCTATTTAATTAGGGTTTTGGGCTGTCTTATGTTTCCCATAGTACGTGCTCCCTTTTGTCAACACAATTCCCAACTATTGTTCCCCTTCCAGACTGTGTCGATCAACAGTTATCTCACAAATCAGACAGCTTCCAGTCAAAGCAGAGAGCAACAAACCGCAGCAGCAGAGTTAGTAATAATCCAAGGTGTGCTAATGTGTGGGTGCTGATTATAGCCACTGCTCTCTGTGTCGCTCTCTTTTTTGGCGTCTCTGTTTTGTGTGGCTGCTCTCATTGCTAGAGCGCTCTCTTGAAAGTACCTCACCTTTATTCAGCACACCTTGGCAGCAGTGCTCTACATCTAACTGAACTTCACTCACTCTCGTTTTTCATACAGCACAAAATTACTGCGAGACAGCGTTGACGTTGGCGTTGGCTTCGACTTTGCTGTTGATGGAGAGAGGAGCGGAGAAGAGAGCAACTTCTTGGGCTTCTCTTCTGCGCAGCCGCAGCCGCTGCTTCGCTTCGCTTCGTTGTTTTTGCTATTGCTGACCGATTCGCTCGCTTTGGCTTCAACTTTGGCTCTCTTCGGTTTGGTGCTTGCCGTAGTTCGTGGGGCCGCTCGGGCGTTGACTTGCATATAAAAGCGGGCTCCTTCTGGTTCTAGTTATCAGTTGAATCCAGCTCAACCCATCGCATACACTCGCGGCTCTAACAAACCGAACTCCAAAAACTCCAAAACCATTCAAATGGCTTTCTTCAAAGTGAGTGAAAAAGGATCAATCGAGTGACGACACACACTACTATATATCCTTTCGCTGTTCTCGTGTTCATGTGCTCAAACCTAACCTCCCCTCCCCTTATTGTGCTCTTTCTCCTCCGTGTACAGTCCCTGATCTGCCTGGCTGTCCTCAGCGTGGCCTCCGCCGGTGTCCTGCACGGCGGTGCTGGTCTCTACGCCTCCGCCCCAGGCATTTATGCTGGCCATGGACATCCTGATGAGGGAATCGACTATCATGTAAGTATGGGATCATTGCCATTCCAACACCGTCTGGTCTGGCCTGGCCTGTGGGCCAGGGTCGTGGGCCTTTGCTTTTGACATTTGGAGATTTTCCCACGACTGTCCATTAGCATAGCTCGCGGCGGCGACGTCGGTGTTGCAAGTGTTGATGGTGGCGTGTGGCATGCACATTAAATTAACACCTGGATCTTGTACCCTCCACAGGCGTACCCCAAGTACCACTACAACTACGGCGTGGCCGACTCCCACACCGGCGATGTCAAGTCGCAGCATGAGGTGCGCGACGGTGATGTTGTGAAGGGATCCTACTCCCTGGTGGAGCCCGATGGTTCGGTGCGCACCGTGGAGTACACTGCCGATGACCACAACGGCTTCAACGCAGTGGTGCACAAGACTGCCCCCACCATCCATCATTCCGCACCGGCTGTGATCGCCCATGCCGCTCCAGTGCTGGCCCATTCCGCCCCACTGCTGTCCCATGGCCCGTCCATTGCCCACCATCTGTCTGCCGCTCCCGCTGTGCCCTATGGCGGCTCTCTGGCGCATCAGGCCGCCGTGCCCGCCTACGGTTATGCCACCCACAACGCCCACGCGCATGTGGCCCACTACTAAGGAGGATGGAGGGAGGATGCCCAGCCACCCACTTGCCACCACACTACCACCACCACCACCCGCACCACACCACTCTTCTGTAATTTATTAAGCACGTTGACGACCTCACAAAAAACCGAATGGAAAACGGATGATCGATCCACTGATGAAGCCTGATCCAATACTCAGAACAGAATCAAGTCATGTCCATCATTACCATGTGTATATAAGAGCGAGGGAGAGGGTGCAATCAGCCCATCTCTCTCTGTCTCGCACTCTATCACCACCCCTATGCATCTGTCTGTCTCCCTCACCACACACCATTGCCGTCTCTGTCTCAGCTTTCGCGCAATTCTCTTTTTGTTTGTAATATTTTAAACTTCTCTTTTTGTTGTACAAAAATGCGAGTGAAGAACGATGAAAGCCCCAGCAGCGCAGCCCATCATGCCACGCCCACACGACACCAACCTGAAAAAAAAAGATGAAGAAAAAAATGAACAAAAACCAATAAAAAAATGAACAATCTATACATATATTGTATTATAAAAAAAAAACAAAACATTTGTGTCTAATTTAAGTTAAAAGCTGACTACAAAATGTAGTGAATGACAAAAACCCAACCCAAGCCCATGTTTTCCTTCAACGGTTCTGAGTGGATCATGAATACAGTCAGGCATACATTCACTTTCCATTGGCAATCGATTCTATTTACTATTTCTAATTATGATGGCAATAATTTATGAAAGTTATGGAAATTGATGGGTAGAGCGACTGTCTGTTGATGGACAATTATCGAGTTGGATAATTTGTGGGCGGTGGGTAGAAAAGGTGAAGGTAAGCACTGCCAATTGATTAGCATTAAATTAATAAATAACAAGCTATTATTATCTGTAAATTGAAGAACACTGTCTGCTAATGTGTCTGTCAAATTGAGACACGTGCATATTGATCGGTCCATGGATTTGGAGTCGCCTTGACACACATTTTGGAAATATTATTGCTCTTCTGATTGTGGCAACAAGAGCTAGTTTATCAAAGACTCTTAGGCACATATGTATAGAATTTAAAATGATTTATTATTGAAAATACGAAACGATCGACAAAAACTGGTCGAAAGGTTGACAGTTCAATGCCTTTAATTTTAAGAGATAAATGATATAAGAGATATCAAATGACACTTCTGAATATCTCGAAATAGCTAGAATATTCGCAAGGATACGCCATTTCAGGTAAAAAGTTTTCTAGCTGTATAAAGCGGAATCCATAGGCAGCTTTTGGGCTCCATTTACTATACAGTTGAAGCTAAGCTTTAAAGCGTTTCTGCAGCAGCGTTAGACAAGCGTTTGATATGCCTGTATACTTTTAGGCCATTTTCTTAGATGCCTTTGAAGTAATCTACTTTTTAGCTAATAAATATTTAACAAAGTATCATTTTATAATCTTGCAAGGGGCGTGGGAGTTCTACAAAAAAAAAGTCGAACAGTGCACATTCAATATAGGGAACTTGTGTACGAATAACTAAAGGTTTTATTACGAATGAGCCACAAGCCTTAGCATAAAACTTGAAAAAATATCAATGTATTCTCACCTCTACTACCATTCTCGATATTACTCTTAAAGAAAATCAGATATTGGTATAAGTCCCAACTCCATTTCAGATATCACTCCAACTGCCATCTGGCAATGTCAATGGTAGTCACTCCCCAAACCCCTTTCATTTTACACACTTTTCACCCCTTGCAAGTAAACCACAAAAATATGCCTCTGCTTTTTCTGCCAGTAAACAAGCTGCCACCCAATGCGGTCACAAGTTCGGGGGCGTCTCTCGCTCTCTCTGCTCTACGAAAGACAATAAAGCATAACTTTGAAACATTTAAGTCAGAAGAGATGCTTCCGCATGCAACAAATCTAGTCATTTCCGTCACTTTTAACGTGCGAACCGACAGCAACAAAGCAAAATATTGATCTCTTAATGGGCACAACGTGGACCTGGCTAAACAAATGTCTAACAATCCGAATAGAGACACCCATGAAAACTGTGCAAATGCGCTGAACGGGGAAAGAAGCGTTTATCCGAGATCTGGGATCAGCGAAGCGTTTAAATGTACGCAAAACCGAAAGAAACAAAAGGGTAAATATCTCATACGTGGAGTCCATTAATTAGCTGAAGTCTAAATGCGACCGAAGAACCGAATCCGACAGTTGCCGCCTTTGGGGCGCGGATTCCAGCACCAAACCAGCAGCAGTTAAGGTCAGGCTGCTGAGAAATGCCGGAAGGAAGTTTCCGCTGGCTAACTAGATCCAACTCGAGTATGGAGAGTACTTCTACTTACCGCAACATGCTTCCCACCCTCCTGAGATCAACACACATTTTGGTTTGCCAAAACTTCAATGTAACTCCGCTCAATGCCGAATGGAATGTAAACTTAGATCGGAGTCAGAGTACGTGTATCTATCTATGTACATGCAGTGCTCCAATAACCTTTAGTTGGCCAGCAACTTCTTCATCGATGAATGACAGTTACTAAAGTTTTAGTTTTCAATTTTAGCTGTTTCTTTTTTCAAGAGACTACAACTAGTTGACATTCAAGATGACTGCCTCAATAAACTGTCGCCAACACGTGCTCTCTATATGGTATCGATTGCAGTCTCTGTCTGAGTACGAGTACGAGTATCTCTCTGTGTGTTAGTCACTCTGTTGTGGGGCAGCATTAAGATGCAACCTCAAAGATATGCATCGATCGATGGCGATACAATTTATAGATAATAAAATAGCTACTGGTCTGGCTTGCTTAGGGGAGTAGAGGATGAGGATGAGATGCCTGTACTCTTGCTTGTCACGCCGAGAGATTTGTTTTGTGGGGCTGTGTGGCACAGTGTGAAACGATTGCAGATCAATTTGTTAGGTTCATGTAAATATTGGTAGTGAAATCTATAAATGGAGAACATTTTTAAAGGAGTTGGCAGCAAATATAAATGGAATTACGGATACGCAGTAACTTTTCTGCCGACATCTCCCAGTAATAAAAACCTTAAAACCACTGTAAAAACGTTAAATGTCGTCTGGCTGTCTGCGTAATTGAAAAATTCCATTAATTAATGAATAATGTTGTTCAAGTAGCGATCGGACATAGTCAAATAGAAGTTAAGTAGAGGCGCGCATAAATAATGGGAAATTCATGGCATTATGTCGCTGGAGAGAAGAGAGCCAGAGCTGTGCATAATCACGGCCCACCACCGACTGTCAGAGTCAATTATATAACAATGTTAACTGGATTATTTGAGCCGTTAATTTGAGGCATGGCAAACAGTCTGCAACAAATTGGCTGAAAAGGTGCGAAGAATTCGCTTGAAATTTATAGCAGAGCCCAGGCCCACAGATGGAGCCGGCAGCCACCCATTCATTTGCATTTTATTACAGCGAACGCATTTGCCACGGGTCATACTGTAACACAGGGCTCCCTGGCTAACAATGGTCACTCAATTGGAGATGCGGCAGTGCGCTGGGGCACTCAACCATGGCCAACTAAGGGCGACAACAATGACAGGCAGCAGCAGCAAGCAGCAAGAGCAGCAAGCAAAGAAAAAGAGTAGCACACCGTCCGCCCACACTCGATCGCTTGACTTGCAACATTCGCACCTTGGCCGGATAGTCATTCCAGAGTCATTTCATTCCCCATGTTCGTGTTGCAAGCCAGTCCCTTGTCGAACGTTGTCGAGTGCCCTGTCCGCTCGCTCTCCATTGTCAAATTAGTCGGTGTGCAAACAAGCTGGAATTAGGTGACCGAAAGTAAACCAAGTCAAAGTCACAATTCCGAAGCGGAGAGGGGAGCCATTTCAGCCATGATCCAAGCTGCTTAAAGCCAAATGTGCGGCCTCATGGCAAAAATTGCACTGCCGATTCCCTTGAGTGCCGCACTTGGCTGCAGAATGGGTTTTGGTTTGGTTTGGTTTGGTTTGCCAATGAGGTGCTATTCAATCTGAAAGCGGGGTCTCCAGAGGGACGAAACATTATTCATTGTGGAAGAAAGGCTGATGATGAAAGCTGCTTCAAAGGATTTCAATCTATAGAAAACATTCTGCATAGAGATATTTATTCAAGTAATTTTTGGATTCAAATCAAGTGCAGCTAGAACCCATTAAACCCCTTCTTAAATGCCCTTCACCCAGACCTATCCAACATCATTAAGATCCCCTCTACATATTTATGAATATTTAGCAAGTTTTTCCTCAACTTAAATATATTTAAGTTAATTCCCAAAAAGCCAAACAATGCATGCCCAGCCACGCACATGTGTCATGATGTCTACTTACAGGCCAACAAAAAGAACTAGAAAAAAAACAAAACACACCGACTGCATATGGAAAACCTTCGAAAAATGCCGACAATCGTTGGTTAGTTGAATTTTCCCAAGTCTAGGTAGCAAAATACTTTGGCGGCATGCAAATTGACTTAATCTAGTATTTAGTTTTACAAAAACCGCAGTCGAAGCCAAAAAAAAATTGGAGACAATTGTTTCCATGCCACTCTGAAGGTTGTTTCAGGCCCTTTTTTTTCGTGTTTCCATAGGAGGTTTTTCTGCCTTTTCTTCTTGGTTTTTGTGCTGGTCAGGTCAGTTTCAGATTATGGCCGAAGCTCTCCCTCCACGCGTTTAATTAGAGTCTTTAGCACCGCCCCTCGCAGCGGTTAATTATGTGAAAATCCACAAGAAATGTTGACCCGAACATTACATTAAAGTAGCTTACATTACGAGTGCTATTAGAGCCGCAAAAACTTGCACAAATCATTGCCGACTCTTTTGCGGTTCGACAATATTTAAAATTAGTTTGGTTGTCTAACAGACAGACCGCAATTGGCACGTTCTCGTTGCGGTTCAAGGATGTGCCTCAACGTAAAGAGTATTGATTGAAAATTTGTCTCAGTTTTTGTTTGCCCCAAGCAATATATTTAAATTATTCCACATCAGACGAGTGTCTTCTTTTGTATCTGTAGAAACCCCTTTCCCAATCCTATCCAGTAGATGCCTAATGCTAATCAAAAGGTCAGTTCTATAACCAGCTAAGGAATACGATTCATTTAATTTGCCGATTGTCATAAATTGTTCGTTCTTAAGCGACTTTTGCTTTCATTTGAGGCCTGAGCCACGTCTAGAGTCGCGAGTCTGGCATAATGCGCTTGACCTTCGGCTGAATGCTGAGAGCCAGAGACCCCATAGAGACCCCGCTGGTGTCCAGTGGCTGGAGTTTTTACTGTAGTTGGCTGCCATTGAAGTAGATCACTGAGAATTTCGCATGTGCCAAATAACTGGGGCCCTCGTATTGTGCTACGCGAACTGCAATTGCCAGTTGCAACTTGACCCGATTCGCATTTGATTTAGTTTGAGATTCGATTCTTGGAGACTTAACGATTAATTTTCGGTTTCGGTTTCGGTTTCAGTTTCGACTTTTGTTACTTGGCTGAGAATTAAGTTGTTAGCTCAATTGGTTTTGCTTTTGGGCCCAACAATCATTTCTTGCAGAAATCAAGGAAATTCATGATTAACTCGAATGATTAATCTCGCATAATTCTGAATGGAAGTGACTGTCTGGGAGACGTCATGGGATTGGTAGCTGATTTTGAGAAATGTGTCGCCAATTGGTAGACAACAAACAACAACGACACCCCATTCAGTCTGTAGGCCGCCGTGCCACCCCATTCAGTGGAGCAACATCCCATGGCTGCCACTCCATGCTGCAACAACATCCAGCTTCATTCACATGGCATAGCAGCACAGCAGTGAGCAGAGCGGGAGCAGAGTGAAGCAGAGCTGGAAAAAGAGTGTGGACGAGTGGGGCAGACTGTTGCGGAAAGGCAGCAGCGCTGTGGCAGAGCTGGAGCACCGCCGTGGGGGCAGCCAGCATTCGCCACAGTTGACTGACTGAGAAATCAAAAGTCTTGGCATTGTGGTGCCTCTGCCGGCTGCTCTGCCGCGCTGACTGCTCTGTCGGCTGCTCTGCCGGTGGCTTTCGCACATTTTCGCGCTTATTTAATGGAAACTGGCTTTCAGAACCGCCACAGTATTCCGGGCAACTTCGCAGCGTTTGTATCTAGTGCCGTTGAAATACTCCAAGTAAATCTTCAAAAAAAAAAAAAAACCTCAAATCCCCCCATCTAAATCCGTGCTCCGTGTTTTCTAACGCACTTTGTTTCTGTGTTTTATTTTTAGCAAATATTTTCGACATTTCAAATCAAATTTGAAACAGAAATTAAATAACCCAATTTAAACCAATAAAATGGCAAATATCTTGTGCTTTGTGATCCTTTCGTTGGCTCTGTTCGCCAGTGTGGCTGTGGCACGACCAGGATATGCTCTGGATTACTATGTGAGTTATTATTGGAATAAAATAAGGAATATAAAGTGTGAAAAGATACACAAAAAAATATATTATCAATGTGAAAGAATGTGGAAATACAATTAAGGACCTTCATGGTCTGCCAAAAGTGAAACAACACTTGGGGAATACTCATTAAAGTCACTCTTTGGAAATATTGGAGGTTATTTCACATAAAAGGTTTCTTCACTGGTGGAATCTGTGTATCAAAGATCCTTTTTCCTTCCTTTTTCATTTAAAATAATTTTCTATAAACTAACTCTTACATTTACATATAATTTCGTATCCTTTTCTGCATCAGGATCATCCCAAATATGCCTTCAACTATGGCGTGGCCGATCACACCACAGGAGACGTGAAATCCCAGCATGAGACCCGCGATGGAGATGTTGTCAAGGGTAATACTGGTGCAACAGCTCCATTAAAAACAATAAATTAATGATTATTTCTATTTGAAAACCTTTCCTCCTCCAGGCCAATACTCTTTGGTTGAGCCCGATGGTTCCATTCGCACTGTGGACTACACGGCGGACTCCATTCATGGCTTCAATGCGGTTGTGACCAAGTCCGGACCCACTGTCCATGCCCAGGCCTTGGTGGCCAAGCCCATTGTGGCCCACAAGCCCATACTCAGCCACTATGAGCCGCAGCCGCACTACGTGAATCATGTGGCACCTGTGGCCGCTGCACCACTGGTGGTGGCCGCCTCCCCGGCGCCCTATGGTGAGTTTACGCCGAAAGCGGCAGGTTTTACGGTTCTTAGTTTGAGGGATTAGCAGCACTTTCCCAGTTGGCCCCCACCTCAATTTCACCTTGGTGGCACTTCTTCTGCGCACCCAAAACCCACTCCTAAAAATCGTAGCTGATGTTTCGTATTGTGGTGCCAGTTCCACCCACCCAATTCCACCTGATCTCTGCTTGCTCTTCTAGGCATGAACACCTATCGCATGCTAAAGCTGTTCAGGCGTCATGCCAACTATCTGAACAATCAATATCGCAAATTGCGCCCAGACGAAGACGCTGATGCTGTTGATGATGCTGTTGATGATGATCTTGGAGTTGATTACTATTCAGCAGCCTACTGAGTCTGCCTCTGAGTCTCTGAGTGCTTGTCGCTGCCTTCTTTTGTACTGAATATCTTACCATAATTCCATTGTAATCATCGTTTTCTAGCTTGAGCCTGGGTGGCAGCTGCATTGCTTGCAAATTCATTTAATAAATTTCATTTAGACGCATCATATATCATACATAGATACGTGCCCAGTCGTGCGGCTAAGCTGAATCACCTGCTAATAGCCGGTACGGGGCGGAACACTCGGCCGACAAATGTGTAACATAACATGGTTGACTAATCCACGGCACGCCCACCCCACGGTTACCTCACTTTTGCCTACGATCTGAGCCAAAGATCTCTTGGCTTTGTTTTTGTGTGCAGTTTGCACTTTCGGTTCGTATTTCCCACAGAGATTATGTCAGTGCATCATCTTTCCAACAGAAAAAAAATATACAACACAGCAGCCACAACACATTTTTCATGGAAAATTGTTGCCTCTTCTTCACAAAAATTTCCATACTCCCTGCCACAGCCCCATAAAGACTTCAGCATAATTTTCTCAATGTCGCAATGCTTTGTTGTTGGGCCGCTTGGGAAATGAATACATTTGGTGAATGCATGTGAAAACTCATAATTGTTGTGGGTGCTGCGGTGCAATTTTAATTGAGAATTATCAGCGAAACGCACAGCCAAAGAAATCAACGCCCAAAACAAAAGACTTGGGCAGCGAACTTAATCACAGGCTCGTTTTTGCATACAAAAACGTGGAAGAAAAGACCAAGTAGAAAAGCAAAGGTAAAAAACAAAAAGATACCCTTCTAGGTACCCCTCCAAAATATATTATTCCTTTTGAAGATATCACCATCAGAAATCAGAATCTGTGCAACATTTCAGCCAGATATCTCTTCTAGTTCGCTACATGGCAAGCAGCTAATCAAAGTCAGAAATACCCTCTTTAAGGGTACAACAAACTAATATCTAATAGCCGAACAGCACCTGTGACCAATTGACTTAACAAAATTCGTGCACAAAAACTTATTGGCAACGCGAAAAAAATAAGTAACCAGCCAAAAGAAATTGCCAAGAAAATTGTTTGTTCAGCATTGACAATTGTATTTTGTTGGCTTTGTTTGCTTTGTGGCGCTACTTACCAGCAATAGCAGCGAAAATGGTCGGCAACAGCTGTTACCACACTTTGTTTTTTTTTTTGTCGGTCATTATTGCAACAAGAGGCACAGCAATCGAAATAAATATAAGCCAGACCCCAAAACCCCGCTGACCGTGCTAATGTCTGAATCTATTCAATCTTCAAGTGTCCAAGCATTACGCCCCAGCGCCCCAGGCTGCTCCCATCCACTACGACTATGACGATGGCTACTACAACCAGGGACAGCAGTACGAGTACATTCCCCAGTACGACTCCGGCAACTACGGACACTATGCGAGTCCCTATGCGGGCCACTACTAAGCCCACACACTCTCCGCGAAATTAATTCTTAGTTTTGTTAAGCAAATTTAGTTCTTACTCTTTCGCCCCAAAAACACTTGGATGGTTGTTTCACTCAGTGTAGCTTGCATTAAGAGCTTTGAGATCTACGCTGAGATCTGCACCACACCACCAACGAAGAGGACAACGACGAGGTTAATCTTACTTAAGTTATGTGAAAATTTCTGTAAAATAAAGTTTCGGTAAAGATCTTTTTATAAGTGGAAATATGACTTTAGCTGTGTTCTTTTCTTGGATATTAATAAACGAATTTACAAACCCAATGGATTAAATGATGAAACAAAAGCCAACAAATATGTTTTTATTTAAATATAAAAAAAATCAACTTTAAATAAACCATAAAAGAAGCCAAGACATGCAAATCTCTACTTTGACTCCAAAGCAAAGACAGAGAATACATTTATAATGGAATATTGCCACATCCTTCTCTGCCACACCTTAAATACAGATCGATTCGAGGCAATGGTTCTAGTCGCCTCCTTCCTCCTTTGCAAACGCTTCTTGCCAGTGCAGCACCCCATGCAATCAGAGGGATAAATTTACTGACAGCTCATCCTCTAAACAATCGAAGGAGTCGCATATTTAGATAACTCAAAACGGATTTCCACACTATATGCATCATTTTGGAGTTGGCCAAAGCATCTGGACTGGCTTTATATTGTATACTTTATCTGCTGGCTGAGCTTAATATATTTTATGTCTGTCTAGCTGGTTAGACAAGATCTAACCAAACTCAAACTTCCATAATATGTACTTTGCTACGCCCCTGCCATTTGTAACAAGCAGACGTCTTAATGCGATTCAACTACCGCTTTGAGAGCCCTCCATGTTGGCGTCACAATTTACACTTTCGCATTAATGCAGCCAGTTTGCACTACCCAATTGGCCAGACCTAAATCGACGTGTCTCATGGCCAATTGAACGCGCTGAAAGCTCTATTTCATTTGCGGCGAATATAGCCATACTCTGAGTATATTAAAAGTTTACTGTTTCCTTTCGGGGCTTTCCCACCAAAGATTTATGTTGACAAAAACTTTTCACGGTCTGCGAAATTTGCATCTGCTTACATAAGCTTCTGTTTGCTTTATTTCTGTTTTTCTTTCGCCTGCTTTCTTTTTGGCTATTCGTTTGGATGGCCCATTTGTGTGGCTTAATTGGCACTCAAGACATTGCTTCCGGTGGCTTTGGCCTGACCCGCGAGTTGGTCAAAAGTGGTAGCAGCTGCTAGACGAACAGAAGCTTTGAACCAACTGAAAAGCTTGGCTCAAAGGCAGAGGCAGGGTTTTTGTCTACACTAAAGTTGTGGAGCAATAAAATGTTCATAGACTACTTTTAGGCGTGTGAAAGGCCGTAGAAAATAAAGCAAACTTTTCAACTAAAATGTATATTAAAGATAAACTTAAAGCATAAAACTACTGATAAGTTGATTTGTCCAATTCGCTGTCATATTCAGTGCTGGCAGCGCTTCAACGTATACTTAATGTTTCAGCGGAATATCACTGATACGTCAGTGGTGTCGCCGCAGCACCACAGATGCAGCGAGTTATGGCCAATCCATTCCATAATCTTGATTGCTGCTAATCTGCGCACATGAAAACCACATAGTCTTAGCTGAACTAAACGTTTGGTTTACCAAACAAATTGAATTTCGATTTGATCTTAATAACTGTTAATGGCTCTGGCCAAGCTGTAATTGCGACCAGTCGTACGGCCAGAGACATTGCACAACGGATGTTGGTGTCGTTGGCTACAAACTGGATGCGTCTTCTTAGTGTCATGTTTGTGGCCCAAGGTTAGAGCCCGACCAAGAACTGGTAACCGGCCGCAAACACTTCTCGGAGCCCGAGATGCTTTGCATAAAACTCAGATTAGCTCGGCTCGTTCAATAAGCGTACGAGTACGAGCATACGAGCGATCTGTGTTGAATGAGTTATGAGATGCATTTGCAACAGAAAGTATTAAAATAGATTGCTCTCCAGTGTGTGATTGCATCAGATCAAGAAACCAGATGGAGTCCAGCCAGAGTCCAGAGCCATAAACCAGACCGTGTCCAGAGATCAGCCACAAGCCAGACAGAGTCCAGCCGGGGTCCAGCCAGAGCTAGAGCCAGAGCTAGAGCTAGAGCTATAGCCACAGCCAGAAATAGACTTGCATAATCCCCCACACTCATTTTGGGCGCATTAAGATTGAATTAAAATCGTTGAGATTTTTCGGGTCCCAATGAAAGTGACAATTAAAAAAAAAACTTCAACTAAAATTGTAACTGTAACTATAAAAAAGAAATAGAAATAGTTAATTTTTGTTGTTTGTTTTTTGTTTGTGTTGCCACTGCCAGATGTTGACGACTCGTCGTCGTCGCTTGCATTTCCTCGCGCGCCCAGCCAGAGGAGAGGTTTAGGCCTCAAGCCAGAGCCAGAGCCAGTGCCAGAAACAGAGACAGAGGCAGAGTATGAACCCGAGCCCGGCCCGGCACTGCCCGGCCAAAGACGTCAAACCTCAATTATAGTTAACGCCGGCAGCAGCAGCAGCCTGCAGCAGCCTGCTCGACTCCTATATATAAACATATGGGCATATAGTATATATGGCTGGATATACTATAAGTATATATGGCAGCGGCACAGGTTGCCCAAGTGGACAATTTAATGTGGCTGTCATGTTAAATGCCAGCCAATAATTTAAGCCTCATTTTCGGGTAACTAAGAAATTTTTCAGTTGGGTGGTGCACCAAAGTAAAGTAAAAATTGCAGACAAAATTGCACACAATTAAAAACAAAACAAAATTCTGCACAGGAAAAGTTTAATCACAAACAATTTAGACATCATTTTTCAATGGTAAGAAATGGCAAAACAAATTAAAATTTCAGCTGACACAATTTCTGCGATTATTCTCTGGCAGCAATCAAATGATTAAAAATTTCCTTTAAATTTTGATTTATTATGGACGAAAATCTCTATAGCAATAGCAAGCTTCAAACTCATTTTATTAATAGCCAATTTAAGATAATTTGCCGTGATTACTTCCGACTAGAGGCGAAAACAAACCAACTTATTAATTGTGGCCCCAACCACGTGCCCCAAACCCACTCAGAGACGATTCGCATTTGAAACAATTTTGCTGCAACCGCAAATAAATCTTAAATCTTATTTGTTGTTGTTGTTCAACTCTCAAACTCTCTTGAACTCCATTTTGCGGTTTTTCTTTGAATATTATGCTCTGTAGAGATAATAATATTATTTTCTTGTGCTTTTTTTTTTCTTCTAACAAAATGAAGCCATAATCGTTTACTAAGCTGCGATCTTCGGAGAACCGGCTGAGCCGAAAGCTCTTTGCCATCTCGGGGTATTATTGATGATTATTATAGCTTCTATTGTGGATTGTGGCTGCCATTGTTGCTGCCTAGATGGTTACCAAATTCAGCATTCATATATTGCAAAACACCTCTTTCGATTCTTTCAGATGCTGGACAGCTTTCAACATGCAAAATCCACAAAATCCGCACACGACGACCCTTTCAAAGTGATTGTCGTCGCGGGGCATCGCATCCCGCGGCACGTTTTTGTGTTTGGTGTTTGTTTGTAAATATATATTGCAAAATGAGTTGTAAACATGTACGAGATGGTTGTCATTGACTCATGAAATAACGTACTAGAACGCTGTGGCAGGTGTGTAGACGTGCTGGTACTTATTAGTGGGGATCCAAAAAGGGATAGATGGTGCTTAAGGAGTGAGGTCTAGAGGGTTAAATATTCAGTAAAACTGGCACTCAATCATTCAGTTTGGTAGAAGATTTGATTCCCACCTACAGCTTCCTTCAATCTCTAGTCTTATATACCCCACACACCCTCTGGTTACATTCACAGCCGCCTGGCCGCTTCGTCAGCACCATATGATGCGTCACTTTTACTATCAGCATTGAAAAATCTTCGTTTTGCTCGAAAACAAAAAAAAATCTAAAGGAAATAAAAACAACAAAAAAACTTCAAAAAAACTTAAAAAAAAAAGGAGAAGAAAAACCAAAAAATAATACTACAGAATAAAGGCGAACATCGTTTGCCGATTTTACAGCTGACGAGCGAAAGACAGACATCGCAGATGGGGGGTGCTACGGGTTATGGTTATTATTGCAATGGATTTTCGAATTTTGCAAGGCTTTATGTGGTGCCTGCCTGCCTCTAGTGGCTGCTGCTTCTGCTGCCACAGAGGTGGAGGCAGAGGCAGAGGCAGAAGGCAGGGGCAGTGGCAGTGGCAGAGTGCAGTTTTGTTGCCTGTTTTTGTGCCTTTTTGGCTGGATTGTGTGATGTTTGAAACTAATTTGCGGTTACAAGCGCGGTCGGGGCTCGTTATTTTGTCTGTGTGTGTGTGTGTATGTGTGTGTATGCTCGTAGTACCCGGAGTAGTCCGGAGTGCACCAAAGTGCGGCATCATGCCCTTTTGTTGTTTGCCTGGGTGCTTATTGAATCCGATTCGGGCCATGAGGCACTATGGACTTGCAATTATTGTTCGCTGCCAGAGCAGAGCAAAAAGTTAATTAAATCACATTGAGGCGAGGAAGAATTGCACCAGAGAATGATCTAATTTTGCACAAAACAAATACGATTACTCGCAGATATCTATAGCAGATGCAGATACACTGTATACACAGAGTTATGTATGTGTTTTTTTATTTTTTTATGTGAGGGGGTATGTAATTATGTCTTGCCACGATTTTCGTGCTGTCAGAGAATTCTCTTCGCCCCAAAGTTGACAATCTAAAATCCCAAGACAGATCTCATCTGCCTCCGCAGCATTGGAGATGGGGAATGGTGACTGGGTGAGCGTTGATAAACCCAGACAGAGTGCACTCCAAACACTTCAGAGCCCGCGTGGCGGCTAAGCAAAGTGGTTCAGTTTTCAAGTGTTTGCCATTGATATTGCTGCCTACACATACAGTCTGCCTGCTGCACTGCTGCAATCCGTACTGCGGCAAAAGTAAGTGGCACCCTGTTGAAGGAAGTAGCAGTACTCTTTAATCTTTTCGGACTTTCATTTCTCAACAAATACTCAAAAACCTAATGATGAAAAATCTTATTAAAACAAACCCAGAAATCTGTAACAATTACTCATTGAATTTCAATTTGCATAAAGCAAGGTTCAAAAAATAACATAAATTGCCAGACATCGTCTGGGGTTACTCAATCAGTTTTAGTTTCAGTTTTAGTTTTAGTTGCAACTTGCAGTTGCAAGTGACTGTGGCTGTGGCAGTTCCCCTTCGATTGGCCCAGCCAACAACTTTCATATGCAAAACAAATTCTCCATGATTTTCCATGAACTTCACTTTGCATGCCCGCCACATTTTCCATTTCGATCGGAGGTTATTTTATTTTTGTGTCTATTTTTTTCATTTTATTTTAGTTTTTCGGCAAGTTGTGGCCTTTTTCCGCAATTGTCGCGAACAATTGTCATTGTCATTGCTGTTGCTGATGCTGTTGCTGATGCTGGGGGCTGCTATTTTTTGTTTTTGTTTCCATTATTTTTAGCTGCTTTTTTTTTGGCATTCGGCCTGACTTGAGATTTATATTTACCCGCTGCCCATTTGGAGCACATTATGTAAATTTTCTGTACATTTAAAACGGGTTCGCAGCTTTTTGAAAATTTGTCGGTTGTTGCTGCCGCCTGCTGTTGCTGCCTCCTGTAGCTGCCTCCATCTTTCCCATTCCCGTTCCCGTTTTGCGATTCGTATCGCATTCGAGTGCTTTTTCGGAGTGCTGTCCTAGCCATGCATTTTAATTGGTAAGTGCAGCGACACGACCAGGCCAGGAAAGCCAGGCCTTAAAAGGCCTTCAGCCGCGACAGTCCCTGACGGCTTCTCTGACTTGGCAAAGAAAGGTCCACAAGCCGAACGGTGAAGTGAAGTGAAGTGCTCACGAGAGCGGCCTTGAACGGCATCTTCTTCTTTGTACCCATGACATTATGTAAGCGACTCGCCAGAGGCAGCGCAGCTATTTAGAAGGGGAAGTGCAGTGGTGTGGGGCGGAGCTACTGGTCTTGAAGTGCAGTATAAATGCGGAAAATAATCCCTTATTCATATATGGATCGTAAAAGGTTGGAGTGCGGTGCGCAGGAGCACTCAGACCACAAAGGAGTAAGCGAGATATAGCAGGATTTATTATAGATACAGCATAAATATTTATTGCTTATAACCCATTCGTGCTTCAAGCCGTTTCAAGCCACAACCGTTATTGGTTATAACCGCTTAAAGTCTGGACCATTTCAAATCATAGTGCAACCGATTGGCACAGCCATTATAAATTATACAAGATGTATTTTGTAGACTTGAGACTTGCAAATGTTTCACTTGCTTTATATAGATTCCATCCTTGTAGCAATGCCAGGAAAAGTTCTGCAACCGATTTCTATCTGTTCTATCCATATAGAAATCTTAGGATATCTTCTTTGATCTGTTACGCAGATCTCGAGTGTCTGCAATATTACTCCACAATTAGTTAGACCTTACCTTATTTCCATTTTAATTGTTTTAGCTCTCTGCCTCTCTCTGATTTTCTTCCGACAATTCTCTCTCTCCGCTCACAGTTTCCATATTTATTTTCCCTGCCTGCCCGCCCGCCAACCAGCAGGGCAATTAACTAAACTTTGTCGTAACTTCCCCCCCATTTACAACCTAACGGTAGCTTAGCATTGGCGACGACATTGGCAACGATGGGGCAGGCGGGCCGGCAGCAGGCAGCCTCCAGCGACAGCAACAACAACAGCAACAAAAAACCATAATGATTTATATAAAGATAGCAGCAAATACTTGTAGCACCGCGACTAAGGTTATATCGTTGGGCCCCCACTTGAGCACGATGCTCGGCGACAGTCGCTGTCGCAGTCGCAGTCAGGCCCCCCTTCGCCATTCCGATTATTCCGATTGTCGGAAGGGGAGGGATCCAAGCATTCAAGCATCCAAGCATCGCATCAAATCGTATCTCGAGTGCAGGCATCGAACGTTGAGCAGCCGCATGTGAGACAAGCACCCGCATAGCTGAGACTTGCGAATGGTCACCGAACGGAGTTCGGAGTGGGTTACAGGAAAGAGGGTAGAGGGTGGCTGGACGGGGGGGACTCACTCGGAGGGGAAGTGCCACTCGGTGGCAGTGGCGTTCATTATATAAACAAAGCAAGGAAAACAAGAAATCTGGCAACAAATCAATAGAAAAAAGTGCTTTTATTTGATGGGGAACAACGAGAGAGCGAGATAAAACTGCGCCAACTCGGTTTCCGACCAGCAGCAAGCAGACACTAACTGACTAACTGACTGACTGACCGAATGAGATCGGAGATCGTAGATCGGAGACCGCAGACCGACCTGGCTGCTGCTGCTGCTGCTGCTGCTGCTGGACTACTCTTACGACTCGTAGTGCCACTCCGTACTCCGATTCCGATTCCAGCTCGGAGTCGATCCAGTTATGAATAAACATTTGCCGCATGTTTGTCTGGCTTAATGGAGGCGCGTGCGTCTGCGTCTGCGTTTTGGATAACGTAAGAGAAATGAAAATGAAAATGAAAATCGTTTGTTGTCTGCCACACACATTTATTTCTGTTGCCATTTGATTTCATTCCGTTTCATTTTCGTTTTCATTTCATAGCAATTAGCAAGTCAAAAGGAAACAAGTTGTCCTGCTCGACAACTCCCCAGTTCCAGGTCGAGTTTTTTTTCCTTTGTTGCCCACTTTTGGCCCATTGCATTTTGGCATTTAACCAGCGTCGCGTCGCGTCGACGTCGCGTCGTCGGAGATGGGCCAAAAACGTGCCCTGACCCACCATAGATTATCCGTTCGATTCCTGTGAATTGTGAATTATGGGACTCGAACTCTGCAATTAACGAAAGTTTTTGGGGTTTTGCTTGACTGCATTTTCCAGCTGCAGCCCAAAGGGATAGATTCAGGCAGATTTATCTGGACAGCATTGCACAATCCGACAAGGGGGCGTATGCGTAATGCAGCCTATGCAGCCTATGGCCAATCGAAAGTTGTTGTACCTCCAAAACTTGCTACCTAATTAGACAATTTCTCTATTACTGAAGAGAATTCGATGGGAAGCCAGCTGCAAGTCTCTGGATTTTGCCTTTCACAAACATCTGTCCGCCTTTTTTTGGCGGACAATTACAGCTGTAACTAATCAAAAGGGCATTGATTTTTATGAACTGTTGAGCATCCCAAATGGAAGACCTGAACGTGGACGATGGCTGTGGCGATGGCGATGGCAATGGCGTCACCTGCTGTTCAAATCTTTGCATTTGCAGTGAAACGTGCTGCAAAAAGTGGCGAGGAAAGAAACAACAAAAATAAAAACAAAAAACAACGTTAACCATCATGATGCAAGAGAGAAAGAAAGTTTGCAACTCGTGCCTCATAAACGGCAATCTCCGGACAGAGCCAAACCCAGGAAAATCTCAGCATCAAAAAAAAAAATACAGAAAAAAAGGGACCCAGGCGCCTGGGTCAGGCCAATCCAGTGGAGGCCCCCCCGAGTCACGTTAGGGCATGTTAGCCAACCGCCAGAGATCGGCGTCTGAGATGGAGTTTTGGCCATCCATCCATAATGTGCATATTGCCGTTGAGTTTTTTTGCGCTGTTTTCGCGGTTTTTTTTGGCATTTTTTTGTTTTTGTTTTTGTTTTTATCGAGTGCTCGCTTTTTGACACTAAATTGCCTTGACTAAATCCATGTCCATGGCGGCGATGGCTTTTACCTCTAACGAAGTGTGAAAGATGCCTGGTCTTTGATTCGATTTGATTGCCCAACTGTGGCATGCACTCCACACCACCACAGCACAGCACAGCACACTCTGCTGCAAGGTTCGTTTTTGCTGCTGCTCCTGGTGGTGGTGCTGCTGCTGCTTGCACCGTGAAGATGTAGTTAACAACGTGACTATGTAATCAGCATCAGCCACTTGCCACTGCACCAGCGCTAGGAAGTTGCTCCGCTTCGAGCTTTCAATCGCTGCTGCTGCAACTGCAACTGCAACTCTGCTGTAAAGTGCAAATGATTTTCACCCCGACCACACCTTCTGGTCAGCCTTTGGACAGCCCCCTCTGACACGGCTGTCGTTTCGTTACGTTTCTAATCAAATTAATTTCGGCAGCAACTCATGACCACGTGTCCGGTCAGGATGGCATTTGGCTACCTCTTACTCTGTCTCTGTCTGCGTCTATGGCTGCTGCAACAGATTGCGCATACGCAGCGTGTGATGGCAGCCTACATTGAAACCTATAACGACTATGGCCACAACCATGATGAGCAAAGGGTGAGTGTGGGAACCGTTATAAATCTATTTGTGACCCTTCATTGTCTCTGCGTCTCCCAAAACAGCTCCACTACTCCCATCAATATCACATATCCGATCCGAAGAGTCAGGTGCACATCCTGCATCGGGAACAGCGTCGGGGTGATCATGTCCTTGGCACATACAGCCACCTGGAGCCGGGGGGACACATACGCAGCGTTCATTACGAAGTGCGTGGACCCCATCAGGGCTACAAGGCAGTCATTCAGCAACGAACGGCCCACAGTCGAGTGCATCAGTCGCTGGAGTTTCGGCGCAAGCAACCGCCTCGGGCCCTGGCCCTGGCGCAGCCTGTGGCATTTGTGGTTTAAACCGGACCCCAAAACCAACAAAAAGCGGTCTCTGGTCCAGCGTATTTGTCTCATTTCACGCATCCTACAGTAAATTACAAAATGTTTAATTGTCTTTCAATGAATTCGCTGAAATGTTAAGTGAATTTCGAACTTGAAATGTAAATTGATTTCGGGCGGTGTACATGAAATTGTACGAATTATAAAATGTACGAGCACATACATAATTTCAGATAGTAAATTAATCAACGTGAATGAATAATTTGGCAGTGAACTGAGGTTTTATTTGAAGAGTTATAAGTGGGAGACCATGGGAGAACATAACTTCAATTTAATTCACATCCCCCATTTTCCCCTTCCTAATTTAACTTCACAAACACTTTAAGCTTGAAGCAAATTACCTTTAATTTAGTATTTGGTTAGTGTGCCTGCTCAGCTGCTGAGCTGATGTTGGCTCACTTTTCGAGCCATGCATTTCGAGCTTAATTATAATTAATGAACACCGTCCGGGGCTATTGTTGAGTTGTATCTGTGGCAGGCGGCGAGCCATTAAACGTAAGCAAACATGCTCATAAAACCCGTTGACAATCCAAGCCACTGTTAACGGCACAAAACCGAAAAAAAAAAAAAAAAACTGTACGAATATATTTCATATATTTAAGGTGCAGTTAAAAAACGAATTATTGTATTTTTGTTGGTTCAATATTTCGTGCTAATTATATTGTTTCCATGGCTGGGGTACTAGTACTGCTGTTGCCGCTGCTGCTGCTGCTGTTGCCTTTGACGTCTGGTGGTCAGGGTCCGGGTCTGCGATCACAGGCCGCTCTATGATCAGCGGTAAATGATGGCCCAGCGGCTGCCGTTCAACGACACTGCTAATTGCACTCTGGCTAATTGCCAGGGGTTGTCTTTCGGCTGGCTGGCTTGGCTTGCTTTTTTGCCTTTGCCGAGTTTCGTGTGCCCGTAGGCTATGAAAAGTCGCTCAAGAAAGTGCCAATCAGTGGGGCCGGGGCTCCGTTATTCCATTTGACAGCTCACCTTGTCCCGTTTGACCTTTTTGTTGTGACCCCTGGAGGCAATTAAAAGACACTTTAGGCGCCATCTCACTCACGCTCTCTTGGCACACACACACACACACACACACACATGCTCCCTGCCGCCTCTAGTTCGTTGCCTAAGTCTTTTGTGTTTCGCCGAAAGCCTGTACCCGGGGCAATAGTGGATTATATTTAGGGCCAAGCTGTATTGTTGTAAGTTTATGCGACAGCGTTTACGAGTGCATTGAGTGTGTGTAATTACTGATTTTAATGAACAAACGATTCGTTGCTCTTTCTGTTTGATCTGAGACTCTAAAGGGGTAATTTTTGACTGACACATAATCTTTCCTTCCCCCATGGCTCTATGGGAACTTCGCCAAGATCGTATAAAAGTTACAAAACAATTCTCTTTCCACACTATTCGCTATGAGAGGGTTTCTTGAACATTGCGAGTATTTACCCCATTAGCATTTGGTTTATCGTCGAAAGTTCGACTCTAGCATCGCTTCAATTAGGTTTTATTACGGGGTGTTTTCTTTATTAATAGTTATTTACAACATTTTGTGGGCAAGTCTTAAGCTTAACTTTTGTTTCGTGTGTATTTTTTTGTTTTTCACTTTTATTTTTTGTTTTTTGTTGTTGGCCCGCCCCGCTGCTCAACTGGTCTGTAACGAGTTTTGCAGCTCCTGCTCCTGCTTCTTGGCCAGCTTCTCCTTCTGCTTCTCCATCTCGAGATGCAGCTGGTGGAGCCGCTTCTGCTTGCTGAGCTTCTTCAGGTGGGCGCTCTTCTCGTGTGCCACCTTGTAATTGGCAATTGTTGTGGGCTGTATTGCCGATGATGTCGAGCTGGTGTCTGCGTCTGATGTGGCAGATGTTGGGCTGGGACTGGAGCTGGGTGCTGGCGTTGTGGTACTTGTAGTAGTAGTTGTAGTTGATGTTGTTGAGGAACTGGAAGGCAGAGCCTGCTGCTGTTGCTGCTGCTGGGCCTGTGCTGCTGCTGCCTCTTCTTCGAGCTGCTTCTCGAGCTGCGCCTGCCACTCCAAGGCCTTCTCCTCCACAGGCAGCTGCTGCAACTGCAACGAGATGATGTATGCGATTATGACATGGACATGGACATGGACATGGACATGATTGCAGATGATTGTGAAAGGGAGAGTGAGCGGGATGTGTACGAGTGGCAGAAAAGCATTTACAAAAGCAATTTTTTCACGTGGGGTTTGTGTTTTCGTTTTGTTTTTTTTTTGTGAGGCTCGGGCTTTAATCTCTTGTACAATTTCTAAATATATAGATCTAAATGCATATCAGGTAGGTGTACGTATATATCAGTAGGTGTATTTGTGTATGTATATCAGTAGCGCAGATACCGCTTGCGGCTCTCGTATTGCCTTACATAGTTCCAGGGATACGCATGCTTGGCCGCCTTCTCGTAGGCCTTGTACTTCTTGGTCTTCGCATTGTACTTGCCCTGCTGCTTGTCGGGCAGCACAATGGCCGTGTACTTGATGCCCACACCGGGCACATACTGTGCCGCCAGTCCGGGCACCGATGTCACTCCAGCACCGTACACCGTGCTGGCCAGCTGTCCATAGTTGATGGAGTTGCCCCTGGGCGGCAGATTGTTGTAGTTGGGTGGGGCATAGGGTCCGGCGGGTATGGCCCAGGTGCGAGGACGGGATGGCGGCGGCAAGACGTACCTGAAACAGTGAAAGGCAAACAGTTCGAAAGGTGAGACTACCATTCTCCTCCTGAACTCTCTCTCTACCCCCTTACACTTACACATAGGGATTGGGATTGGGTGTGTCATTGGTTTGATCCTCCCAGACGGGCGCCGGCTCGCGGTACGGCTTCTGCGGCGGCTGTGGCGTGGTTCGTGGCGGCGGCGGCGCTATCGGTCCCGTGTTCGTGCCCCAGTCCACTCGTATGGCCTGCGTCTGTAGGCCGAGGCTGGCGACTGTGACTAGCAGCAGGCATGGAGTGAGCTGCCAAAAAACAAGTAACGCATTTAGCTGGCTTACAAAGGAGAATCTTCATCGTGCTTTGCATTATCGTGTTTGACAAATTGTTACATGGCTGTGAACAAACGGCCTTCAAAGGTGGCCCCCCCCCCCCCCCACCCCCTCAACCGCCCCCAATTCATCTCAATTTGCGTGTTTTTTACTTTCGCATAAAACTCGCTTCACCTTATCAACAAACAAATCGAAAACCACATCGATATTAATTAAAAAAGCTTTATATAGGCGCATGGCAAATTGTGGGACACAACACTCCACTCTGGACTTGAACTCGATTCGAGTTGCGTCTCGTATGTAATAATGGCAATTACATCAAGTAATTCCCTCACCCCCCTATCACCAATTCCAAAACAATGTCAAGTGTTCAATGCGCTGCAGCTGTTTCTGTATAAATAGAGAGCCTCAATTGTTTCTTGATTTGTTGTTTGAAGTTAAATGTTGAAAAAGTGCTGAAATGTTCCAAGAAATTGTTACTCCATTGCCTTGCACTTTGGCACTTTGCACCGCCTATGAATTATAATTATTTATATATATATACATATACATATTTATGGGGCCCACTGTTTGTTGGGTTAATTGAATCTTTTGTTGAATCATTTGCTCGCATAATTGATTTATTGTTGATTAATTACATTCAATTCATTTCGATTCCATTTTAATGCGATTCGTTATTGTTTGACACTTTTTATGCTCGGCTCTGCTCGGCTCGGGTCTGTTCTGCTCTTTCTGCGACTCTCAAATCGATTACAATGGGACACAGGCAACACAACGCAACCCGCTGCAGAATGCGACATTATTTATTATTCTGCACTGCCTTGTAGTTATTTTTATTGCCGTCTGGGTGTTTGCTTAACTAATGACCCATTAGGAAGTGTCTACGGTGCCGCGCCGCACCGCGCCAACAAAACGCACCCGAAACGTGTGGCAACGCGGAACAGCAGCGGGTGTGGTGTGGAGCGGGCGAAACCTTTACTCCAAAGATTGGTCAATCGTTGTGTCATAGCTGGCATTTAGTGTACTGCCCGCTAAGGAGGACAGGCATCTGGCAACAAATTTGTCAGCAGAGGTAAATGCCAAAAATGGTATCAATATCAGAGATTTATAGATTCCTCCATTGAATAGCTGGTAAATTTTGGCGCTTGGGGGAAGCCATGGGAGTGGTTTTTCGCGTTATGATACTATAGATTGAAAGCTGCACAAATATGTACATTGAAATATGAGTGGTTTTCTATATGATTGACTTGTAAGTGGTAGGTTTCATATATGGTGCGTGGTATGGGCACTTTTCTAGTCAAGTTCTTAAAAAGAAAGATTGTTAGAACGGCAGGAAAATGGAAATACACATCGAAAGGTTATGTAGATGTCAACCAAAGTTTGTTGAAAGTTTTCTTGAGGAAGAAACTCTGATGAGAAGTCTGATGAATAGATACAAGTACAGATACAAGTATTCCCACAAAGGTATTGCCATTTAGAAGTTGGTAAGTGGCTAACATTCTTGCCAAATGATTTACGACATTGACATTGTAGGTTGGGTCTTTCAACGATACGTAGAATCAAGTACATTAACTATTTCCTTATTAAGCAATTTACTAGCAAGAACTTGGGGCGGGTTGGGTCTTGGCTATATGTATCTATAAAGATTTATAGATTACTCAATTGTTTGCCGGGAAAGTAACCTACTGGCCATATGCATAATCTGAAGCTCTCTTTTCATCATGCAAATTCGCGTTATCCACTGCCATCTCCAACTCCCCTCTGCCTGCATTTGTATGCCTGCCGACAGCGACATGCAAGCCCACCGATTTTATTTATTTTTGTTACACAAGATTCCATGCAAACCAATTGCTAGCCTTGTTTTGGCTGCAACTTTTTTATGATGTCTTATGAGAGACTTGAAAAACTCACTTCACCAATCGGTTAAGTAGAGTAACCCCTCCAAAAAAAAAAAATAAGCAAAAATAAATAAAAGCAGCCCGAAAATAATTGTCATGTGCTGTGTGCATCGATCGTCGATCGTCAAATTGTGGCCTTGATTTCAGCATGCTTTTATGATTGCACACAGCAATGACACACAGACGGACAGGCAGACGGACGGACAGAGCCGAACGGGCCCCGAACAAGTACGGGTATTGCTGCAACCCGCATTGGCTATATGCCAATACTCGTACTTATGCCGTGTGCATAACAAAATAAATACTTGTCAATGCAAAATCGTCAATCAATTAGCCAAATCGAGCCCCAGACCGTCCGACGACAGGCTTGCCTTACAGTCGGGAGCATCATAATTGCTGGCATTAGTCGTCGTGGCACGATCCACAGCCATAGCCAGCATTAAGGTTAGGCTCTGGCGCATGACGTCAAAATTCGATTCATGTGCCAGCAAATCTGCCCGATCATAGTTGTCAAAAGAAATATGTATGTTTTCGAAGCAGCAGCAGCTATTCAGTGTGATCTCAATGGAGATGGAGATGGAGCTGGAGGATGGAGTGTGGAGGATGGAGTGTGGGGGGCTTTGGCATAAGCCTTTTAATGGCTCCAGTTTGACAAGAGCTGTTATTAAGTAGCATGAGATGCCATAAACTCGAATTTGTGTAACAATGGTCGCCCTGCTGCTGGTTGTTCGTTGTTCGTGTCACTTCCGACAGACATAAATGGGCTCGAGACCCTGAACTTGAGAGAACCAGCTCGCCAGCTGGGTCGCCGCCCCCTAGGAAACCGCCAAAAGCAGCCCAAGCGTGTTGCTAGTTTTCTTCTGGCTGGTATCTTTATGGCGCAATGAATCCATGAATTGCGACGTTTGCAAAAGTGTTTTCTTGCAGTTGAACGAACTGCCGGAATGGCCGGGGCAGACTCTCCTCTTGTGGGGTTGCCTTAATTGGATGGGGCGGCACTCCTTCCGCTCTGCTCTGCTCTGTTCTGTTCTGCTCTGCTCCGTCTCGATCTTGATCTCGTGCTTGATCTGAGGCGTTTACCGAAATTCTGCTCACTAATTAAAAACAATCAATAAAAGCTCCGCGCAAGTAACCGTAATCGTAATCGTAATCGTCGCTCGTACCACACTCGATCCATTACAGACCACGGCATTGCACCGCATTATCATTAACTTTGATTAACGCAGTTTAGTACGAAAATAATCATTTATTATCAAATGACTGGCCCGGCCGGCAACAGCAACGGGCTGCAGTTTTTTTTTTTTTTTTATGCCTTGGCTATAGGTTTCTTGTTTTTTTTTTTGGTTGGTTGCTTTGTTTTCCGATCTAAGCTCAAATTAAGTGCTTAGTCAAAAAAACAATATTTTTGCGAAATTTTTGTGCAGCCCAAAATGTATTTTTTTGGGTCAAGCTTAGATTTAATTTAATATGGAAAGAAAAGCAGCCTCCTTAGCCAGCTTGTTGTCTGTCTATCTGTCTGCCTGTCTGTCTGTGGTGTGGCTAACCACTGGCTAAGCAGCTGTGGCTGTGCCCCTTGGACAAATCGCTTAAGATCTCCCGTGCAGCCTGCTTGCGGTGCGGCTCTGTCGCCTAGTAAATCTCTTTTATTGCACAACATTATCAGAGATACTCGTACTTGTGGCAGTCCCAGTCGCAGTCCCAGTTCCCAGTTCCCAGTCGCAGTCCCAGTCGATGGAATCGCTCAAAAACAAAAGCCAGACAAATTTTAACGCTTGCATTTGGCGTGTTCAAATTGTAATTCGATAATAAGTATGCCATAATCATTTTTTAAACGCCTTAATTGAAATAATTTATATTGGCTTATGGGGCTTATGGGGGTAGCCCCAATCGACCTACTCCCCTATCCCCTATCCCCCATCCACCATCCTCCCCACACCCATCGATGGATACTGCTTGTGGGTCGTGCGGGCCGGGCCGTAAAACTGCAATTTAATTATGAATATGGCTTATCGTATTTCTTGTACATATTGGGGAATATTCGGGCTAGATCGTTACGAGCCTTCATTTGTGAATTGCATTTTTCGCAATGCGGGTAAAAGTTGAAGCTGAACAATCGCCTGTGACTCTGGATATGATAAATGGTTATTCCCCGAAAATTAACACTCGTTCGCTCTAGTGTATGGGGGCGATGAAAGTAAGTCAATGATTCGTCTATTGAGGAATCGGGGTTAACGGAGTTCAGAGCCACAGAAACCAAAGAGCAGCAGTGACAGCGATCTGATTAATGAAAGAAAAGGAGAGTTAAGTAAAGGGCAAAGCCGCTCATTCATCAATCAAAATGCTTTCAACACACAATGCGAGTATGGGGGAGAATGTGTGGAGAATGGACACTGCATGTAGTGGGAGATCTTGCATGGATTACTCAAGCTATAAGCGGCTTATTTTATTATTTGTTGCAACGATCTTCTTTATATTAAAGCGTTTATAATGCTATTGAAACAGTTAAAAGCATTAGAGGGGGATTAAAAGTATCAATGCATCAAAAGATTACCAAAAGCATCCATGAAGAATATCATATATTAATTAGTAGAAGATCAAAAGAAGAGCAACAAATGTGAATAATCAAAATAAGATGTTCCAAAGAAGTTTATCCGCAACAATTGATAATTGTTAGATTGCATGAAATGTTTTTTGTTTAGTGATCTTTAAATATAAATGGATTTTCCAGTGGATTACACACATCTGTGTAGCATCCGTTTGATCAGCTCGTTATTCCGTTTGAACAAGAACCACCAGAATGCAGATTAAAAGCATGGTCTGGTAACTACATAGCACCGCCACATACTCGTACACAAATCAAACAAAGTCGGAGCTACATGTGATGGTGGGTGTGTGCTCTGCCGAACGCGTCAGCGTCAGCGGCAAAATATCATCCATAAATCTGGCTTTCCACTTACGCGAGTCCGTGTACGTGTATCTCTTGTCCGAACTTAATCGTAAATTTTACATCTTAATGGGGTTCTGGTGCAGAACGTGAGAAGACATCCGGCAGATCACTGAACTGGCTCCAACTACCCGCACAGTGCGGCGCGGGTATATGCCTGACTGACCGGCGCGTCGGTCTGCCAGTCTGTCTCCATCTACGACTGACCTTCGCTCAAATCGAGAATCATAAATAAAGGGTTTAAGAATAGCAGCAGCAGCAGCAACAGCAACAGCAGCAGCAACTTGGAGAATGACTTCATCTGCCTGAAGTCGAACAGCCGAAGCGTGTCACGTAATTAGCTGCTTTATTACAACGCTGACCGGGCCATCTGGCCGCTGGCTCATTTGCATATAAAGTGCTTGCCTAGCCTCCGATTCCGATTCAGATTCACTCTCGGCTTTTGATTTAGATTCAGCTTCAGTTTTTCCAGTCATACATACTCGTACATACTCGCATATCCATCTTCATCTTCATCAGGCGGTGCGGCGGAGAAGTTCAAGGCTTGGCAAATTGTCGCTCACTCAATGCAACAACCGCAGCAAACCATCCATCAATTAACTCGCAGCGGCCTTGATAAATCAGAGAACAAAACAACCAGACAACATGGCACATTGCCAGTGGCAGCGCACGCCCGCCCCCCGTACTGCCTACCTGCCTGCCTCCCTTTGGTGCCACCCTCGGAGCGCATTAAAAAGCTGGCGTTAAATTTGAACATGGCTCTTTGACGCCAGACCATTATTTTGTGGCTCAATCCGATCCCCGCCACACCATGCCAGATGTAGTTTCGTTTTACTTTTTGGCTGCGCTCATTTGTCACAGCGCAAACTTGTTTAAATTTGTGATGTTGTCGCCAGCGCTTCAAGCATTTGTTTGCCAATTTTTTGCGAGCACTACTTTTCTTTTTTATTTGTATACCCTTGCATGGGGGTGTCTGGGCACTTTAAGCAGAAGTTTGCAGGGCAGACGAGTCTCTCGGCTCTCTGTTACTCGCCTATCCTGCAGCTACCGGAAGAGTTTTCATACAATATATAGACCTGCAAGGGTATCACAAAACTTGAGCCACAAAAGTTAGCCTTCCTTTTTTGTTCTCTTGCCTATAATTAAACTCGCTTTGCATTGCATTTGCTTGGCACTTTACCATACCAAAAATAATATTCAATTCCAGCTTCCTCATCAGTCAGAAGCCATGCAGCTCAACCAGGCCTAACCTTGTGCGGGGAGAACGTACAAGCCAGCCCCTTTGATCTCTGCGTGGATCAGCGAATTGGTGGCTGGTGGCTCACTGGATTGGTGGCTTGTTGGTGTTTGTCGGTGGATCGCTGGAAGATGTGTCTTGAATTATGATAGTTGATTGGCAGCGATTTGTCTTGGCTTCGGTGAAGGTGGCTTCGTGTTTCATATTTGCTCACATTTTAGAATGTCTAGCATCATCCAACAACACTTTGGCTATTGCATAGTTAAGTCGAGTGTTTGCCAACCGAATGGATATGAAAATGTTGAAACCCGTTGAGGGTGCTTCATAAATATATTTTTTGACAGTAAATGGGCCATTGACATAGCAGAATAATACCCCCTTAACTTTCCCTCTCTTTCCCAATAGAGATTTCTATGGTTCAATCTATGGCTATATCTATTTAATTTGCATACTTTCCAAGCCCTAACGAATATACATAAGTATGATTATGCACTTTGATTAATTGCCACAATGTTCCCATGCTATTTGCTGCGAAGTTCAGCCCAAGTCAAGTCCACAGCCCAAAACAAAAGAATATTCAACAATGTCGATAAAAATCGATGGCCAACAAACAAACAAAACCAAATAAAAAAAAATAAAAATAAATGATTTGCGAGTCAAATAACCAAAATTTATAAGCAAACCAGACGTGGGAGTCAATCAGCCAAATAAATTGGCGCAAAAAAAATACGAGACGAAATAAAAAGGTACACACAAAAATTCCAGAAGGTAATAATATATAAGTAGACATCATGTTGATTTCAATTACGTTGGCAAAATGCTGGCCTGCCCTGCCTGCCTGCCTGCCAATTAATGCGCATTTTGAACCTGCTCAATGGGGTTAATGAAATTTTGCGATGAATCTACGATATTTATAAGCAAATTTCTTGTTTCTCGTAGATCCCTCACCTCAATGGCAATGACTGCGTGGGTGGATGATTCTACTTACAAGACCCAGTCATTGTTCAGTTCAGTTCGTTCCCAGCCAAAATTGACGGAGCAGAAAACTTGACCTTTTTCGCGGCTAAAGCTGATTTCACTCTTACGGACAGAACATGCAAGGGGCGTAGGCAGCCCGGCTTTTAATTAACGCGAAAAATTGACAAATTAAATATGTACCTCCTTACAGAAGCGTTCACAGAAGCTGTGGCAGCAGCGGCAGCATCACGAAGGTTAACCGCTTCTCTCTGAAGTGTCCTCAATGAACTTAGCTTCGAGTGGAAATATTTTTAATGAAACTATGCTTGAAAAAGTTATGGATTTAACACCTTTATAATTAAAGTCTGCCTGCTGTGAATGTTCTCTGGAATTTGGCCAAAAGTGAACTCCACTTCCATTAACCCAATGAAATCTTGGAAAGCAAATTTCATCAATCTTTTTTGTCAGTTTAAGGAATTTTTGGTTAATTGTCAATTATTCTAGGCTAGATTGCAATCTTCATAAATAAGTCTTAGGGTATGCCCCAGGGTAAACAAATGTTTTTGTCAGTGTTACCCATTTCTGGTTTATGCTGGCCACTCGGCTGCCTGCTGCCTGGCTGCCTGGCTGCCTGGCTGCCTTGTTGCCTGTTGCCTGTTGATTGACTCCATCTCGATAGCAGAGGCTCATTGAATTTCTGGCATTTTGGGCGGCACAGTTTCGCAAAAACGAGAGAAAAGTAGTGGAAAAAGACCGAGACTGAGTAAAAAAACAAAAACCTTCGAGACGTAATAACTTGCATTTTGAGTAGGGCACTCGAATGCGTCTCGCCGCGGTCGTTCGTTTGGTTTGGTTTGGTTCGCTTGGTGGCCCCGACTAACCTGGGCGCTAATCATAAATCTGCAAACGCAACTGCAAGTCAAGACGCCTAATCAGTGGTTACAGACCCCAAAAGTTAATGCCTGTCAGGCAGTTAAGTGTTTTGAACTTTTCGACTGGAATGTTGTGAAAATGGGGGGGGAGAAAAAATAAATAAATCGTAACAAATCGAATCCAATCGAATCGAATCAATCGAGTGCAAAACAATGGACTCCATCGCTGGGCCCAAGACAATGGATCGATTGGATTTGTGTTCAGGAGGTCAATGTGCTACCGTTAGAGTTGAACAAAATTATAGTTTTGAACCGCAGCAAAAGCCTCACATTGATTGTTTTCCAAACAAACCAAAATCGCCTGTTAAATTGTATAATTAGGTGCTTTGTTGGCATTTCTGCATAAAATAAACATTAGCCAGGGCATGTAATGCTGTTAACCATTATGTACGGATCCAAATATTTGTCAATCCAATGCGATAAATTTGAATTACAATCAAAATGATAACCGTAAGTGCATGACAAATCACTTGGCTTGGCTTGGCCTTTGAGAAGTGTTGAAAGCGATATTAATGATATTTTCTTAATTTGGAGCTGAAGATCATGCAACTCCAATTTGGAATGTGAATCTTTGGATGCGTTTGAGGAAGTCATTTAAAATTAACAATAAAATATGAAATGAGTAAATGGCATATTAATAAATATACTTATGCTTGTCTGCGGTGCGCTGCGGTGGGGGGGCGCTATATCAGCAAATATATACATATACATACATACATGTATGTATAATCGAATACGTTAATTACTTAAATGATGTTGCACAAAGTATTTGTGCCTTTGCCTTTTGCCTGGCGTTTATTTTGACAATTAATGACGCTGATTTCACCAAGACCATACGGACGAGTGTGAGTGTGTGTGTGGTGTGTGTTCGAATTTCGTTTCCGGTGAGACATCAGACTCCACACAAGCCACAAAAGTCATTACCTAAACAAACTTGCCACAAAATAATATACTATATGCACACAATGATGCGTACAGAATAAATACACATAAGAATTGACGACAAGCCACCACACCACACACCACACAGCAGCAAGCTGATTTTGTGGGTCATTGCCTTGTCGATTGCTGACTTACAACAAAAGAAAGATAGACATACGTTTGTTTGTTTGTGGCTTGTCCTTGGGCTAACAGAAATTATGGGAATCCACTTGGGCATTTATTTAATTACTTATTTAAGAGTAGAAATGTTCTCACAGCCACGAGTATGAATGAAAAGCAAATTCTCTTTAAAGAGTTCTTTCCGCAATTAAGGGAATACCCAGAGTGCTGTTATTAGTCTTATTTAATAACATATTTAAGTTAGCTTGAGTGAAGAAATGTTAAGAATTATTCTGTAATTGTAAATCGGCGTGAGAACTTCCCCAAATTATTGAGAATTCTTTTTAAGAAATGAAATCATTATATATATCCGAGTAAATGTTCTCACACATGTCAAAAATATTTTATTATAAAGTAAATTCCAAACCATAAGTACCCTTACTTCTCTTCCCCTTCCCCCCCATACGAGTATGAGGATGAGGCAAGGTCCAATGACACGCCAGAGCCCTGATACCTAATTAATGCAGTTCCCTGGCGTGTGTGACAATTTCTGTTGTTCAGTGTGCACACCGATTTAATTACTTACTCCAAAAAATTATGTGTGAGAAACCAAATATTCGAAATGTGCATAAATATATTGTATTCGCTTTGATTGAGCCAGAGCACAAAAGAAACAATCAGCAGTTGATTGCGGGACATACACGTGTTTGAAATCAATTTACTAAACGGCAATATATATAAATAATAATTGAAAATTACTTACCATTTTGTAATTTGATGTGTTCAAATGAAACTCGAAGCTTCTAAGTCGATCGAAGCTGCAAAAATATTATATTTGAAATGTTTTTAAAAGTGATTTTCGTATTTGACAAACAAAACACTTTGAGGGTCGGTCGCAATGCGAGTATGCACAGAAAGTTGTTTAAGATATTCACAGAGATTTGGCATTAGTTTTTCTAACAGCCAGCAACCAGCAACCGATCGACTGACTGACTGGTCAGTCAGCCTCAATCAAACATCATTCCCCACTCCACTCCACTCCAAACAGACAGACAGACGCGACGCGTCAGATGCCTGGTAATTGTAGACGACTCTGGCATATCGAATGACATGTGGGACAATAATATCAAATCAGATTTAAGGTAAATATCAAATGGAACGGGCCGAGGCCCGCTACCGCCGCCTTCCATTATGCAATCCCATTACTTAGTTGGACCCTAGTGAATGGTTATTTTTTTTTTCTTTTTGGATTTTTTGGCGCTGATTGTGTTGGCGATGGCGATGACGATGTCAGTTTGGCGTCTCAATTGCCAAGTGCCAGTCGGTCCGTCCAATGGCAGCGCACATTAGGGTATCGAGAGCGAGATCGCGACCGAAATTCGCTCCACAAATGGACAGGGGCAGCCTGATAACAGAAAACGGACACTACTTTTGGGCGGTGTCCATTGATGGCGGGGGTGACTACATGACCGAATGACGGACCGACGACGACGACGACGACCTAGTCGCTGGCAAAAGACACGATCTGTCGCGCATGCGTAAACATTGGAACCAATTTAAATGTCCATTTTCTTGAAAATTTAAGGTACGAGTAATTTTCAATTGCCTTTGGGGTCTTGCGGTCGGTTTTTTTCTTTTTGGTCCGCGAACCAACCCAGCAGTGTCGCAAATATGTAGCCAAATGTGAGCCACATGCCACGCATTTTAAGTGAGTCGGCTAACTCTTTCGTTTTGGCATCGTAAATATCCCTGAGACTGTGTCTTTTTGAAGAAGGCGTGCTTGTATGTGGTTTACGAGCCACCGCCAGCGCCAGAGCCAGAGCCAGACCCAGACGCTGATGCAGACGCAGATCAGGCCCAGAAGCAGACGCAGGCCACGCCAACGACAACGCGAGCCCATGTCACGGCTAACACTCGGAACGTGACTATATAGAAGCATGATGTGTGAACGCCTCAGAGTTATCAGTGCTGGAGGAACGTAGCCGAAACTTTGGGCTGGAGGTCACGCACTAATCGCAGCCTAGAATCAGTCGAAAACCCGTTTTCGAGGTGTACTCGTAACCTTAAGTGGGGCTCTTAGGCTCTTGCGCATAAATTTAATTTAAATTTTTATATATTGCAGATAAACTAGCTGAGAATGCGGCACGGTATTCAATTTATTACGTCGTCTGTCCATAACAAAACAAAAGCAAAACTCTCAGCATCACTTTATGAGGTTCAACTCTTGACAAAAACGCGAAACCAATTTGTGCAAATTAACAAGGTTTTTATAATCACACTTTGCTCTCTCGCTATTGCTTGGTTTTTTATACATATTCATAGTCATATTCATAGTCATGGGTGGGCAACACCCAACTTCAAGTACCCACAATTATCTAAGAAAATGTTTCCGGCACATTAAAAAAGGAGAAAAAGCTATAAGGCATATGTAGATGAAACCAAATAAACTATAAGTGTAAGTACATATAATACGAGTGTACATATCTCCTATTATATAGTTAGCATGCATTATGGCCTTTTATTTCAGTCATTTCAATGTTGTTGCATTTAACAAGGCAACAAGCACTTAACCAATTTTATATTTTGTATTTTCAGTTGAGTTTTCCCTTCTCTTCCTTTTTATTTTGTTGGCCAGATGAAAGATTCATGGGCGAATAGTTTAATTTATGGCGTTTCTAGTAAACTGATTTTTCCTTCAGATTCGATTTTTGGTTATTTTATTTGACAAATGTTTTGTTGCAGTGCGTGCCACAAAATGGCTGGAAAAAACGCCTTCAATTTTTTATTTATCTCTTTTGGAATTGATTTATTTATTTGCATAAATTTAACACGCCTGTGACGGCAGCCGCAGACCCACTCGGAGGCGTAGTCCAAGTCAGAGTCGAAGTTTTGGATTGGGAGGAGAGCCTGCAGGCTATAAATTGTCTGCATTGCTGCACGCAAGTTTGTTGCCCAAGTCTTTTGTTTCTTGTTTCGTACTCCTTTTTTTTATTGGTTTTTGGAGTGTCGTATATGGTTTTTTTTTTATTTTTAGCACTTCACGAGAACCTCACAATTGCGAATGGTTAACACGGGTTTTGTTTGTTTCGAGGCTTTTGCATCATCCATTGACACGGCGGCACATACTTTGCTGGTTACAGATGGATGGACGAGTAGTATCTCCTGCTATGGGTAGGGCAAGCTGCTGCTGCTGCTGTTGCAAGTTGCGAGTATCTTTGAACCGGAGTTAGCGCTAAGGCGTGACAAAACAGTTGGAAGACCCGGGCCGCACTGAAAGCAGCGAATGTGGTAGCATCAGCACAAAGTCTCCGTCTCCCGGTTTTTCATTTTCGTCGGGCGCCTCCATCTGGTCATCAGCTGGTTTCGCGAACGAACCCCAAGACCGAACAACAGCCCGAACCCACAGCCCGAACCCCCAGCCCGAGCCCCATGGCCGAACTCCACAGCTCGACCCCAAGAGGAGCGCCGCTGTTTTGTTCGCTTTTTGTTTCGCTTTGCAAAAATGTTGCCAGAGAGCTTGTTTTCCGCCAGCAACATTGTTGCTAGGGCCGCTTCCGGCTGCTGCTGCTGCTGGCTGTGGCTGCACAACATGCTGCTGGTCTGCAGCTAAATGTTGAACAAATAATTTAATTGATTTTTGTTTTGATATTTAAACCATATAAATGCTGTTAGATGAGTAACGACTATAAATTAATACTCACAAATATGAAATTTAATTGAAAATTAATGATAATTTTAAAGATATTTATGAAGTGGCACAGCAGGATTCCCCCGTTCAAATGTTCATAACAAAAGTTAAATTAATAATTATAAAAACCATATATATATAATATAAGTGTGGTTCAATGCGTAAAGTGTATAAATAAATACTCAAATATATATTTTAATAAATAATAAATGATAATTTTAAAGATATTTATGACGTAGCTTAGCAGGAATGGGGAACGAAACCCCCAATAAGTCTGTTGAGCTTGGGGATTTCCCCTTTTAAATATTTTCGTTCTTACAGACTTTTTGTATATTATTTGGGGATTTGGGTGCCTAAAGTAAGACCACCCTCTCATAAAAAAGATTGGAAAAACCTCTTAGCTCTTTTTAGTCACATCTTTGGGCATGGTATAGGTGTGGGTGGGCATCCCTGACCTCTTTTAACAAATCAGTCAGTGATAACGCTCACACAGAGGCACTCTCACACTCGTACTCACACTTGTAGCTGTACTCCAACCGCACTTGACTCACATTACAGAGAGCGATTACGTGAGCGACATTGAAATCGGATATAGTCAGGTCTTTACGCATGAGCTGAAGGCTGACATATTTTAATTTCTTTCATTAAACATTTCAAAGCAGCCTACACACACACACTCCCGCGTGAACATGGAGTGGAGTGAAGTGGCGTGGAGTGGCGTGGCGTGGAGTGGTTGTCCCCATCAATTTGATTGGATGTCAACCGATTCAACTGATTTTATTGCTTGGCCAAGTTAATGAGCTCCAACTTGCAGCATGTCCGACATGCAGTCCACTCATTATCGACTGCCTAATGTTAATGCAAAATATTTGTGTATTTTGCATATATTTAATTTTATTTTATGAGTTCAGAGCAATTTTTAATGCAAATACAGGCAAGAGAGCTTTGGCTTTGGCTTTGAGCTTGAGCTTGGGCTTGGGGCGAGGATTTGTTTCCTCATTAAGATACAACAAAAATTAATTTAAGTGATTCTTTTGGTCAGGCGCGATAGTTCAGGTCAATTAAATTGTAAACGTAATTAAAATGGCATATCAATCAACTGGACCATTGATTAGCATACACAAGTTTTTGCCATTATGTGTGTATGTATGTATGTATGTATGTATGTCGTATCTTTCATTCTCGAATAGTAAATCAACAGAAATGTCTGCTAAGATCACTTGGGTTTGACAAGTTGCCTTTGGTCTGGTCTGGGTCTGTGCTGTGCTGTGCTGTTTAGAGGTCCATGCCATGGTGTGGTGGGACTTGGGTTGGCGGGAGGCGGCGCTCCGGCTCCTAACTCTGGCACAACTCACAGATCAGTGCTGGGCAAAACAGGTCTTACAAAAGATTATTATCGCTTTTATGGTGTTTTGATCGTTTTTACAGCATTTTTGTATGTCTTTATGATTGATCTGGTGAAGTTTTCAGTCTATTTTTTTTTTGTTTGGGCTAAACTCTGACTGGCTGCTGGTCTTTATTTTTATTTTGGGTGAGAGTGTGGGAGAATTTTTCGGCAAAGCCAGCGGACGCAGCCAAATCGGATTTGATAATTTTGATAAATTGGTATTGAAAGTGAGCGGTTAATATATGGTAATTTTACGGGTAGTACCTCGCACGGCTCTGGCTCAGAGCGAGTGATTGGATTGGATTGGATTGAAACTGGGCTGGGAGATCTAGTCGTATCTTTATTGGAATCAAACTCCACCCAGTTCTGAAGATCGTTTCTCATGTTTTTTTTTTTTCTGGTTTCAGTTCTATACCGAATGTACTCGGCAACCCTGTACCCTATATACGATTACCGTTACGGTGACAGAGTTGCGGCGGCAATGCATTAAACATGAACGAGAACGTTCGTTCGACAGGCTACGCTACCAAGATTCGCATTGTTTTCCCCCACCTGTCATAATTCATACAAATGTGCAATGAAAGGCAGCGTCACCTACCACCTACCACACTGTGGGGGTTGGGATTGTTGTTGTCGTGGTCGCCTTTGACGGCCTACGAATATGCAAATTCCAAACACTGAAATATTGATATTGAACGGCTGACTGACTGCAACAGAGTATGCCAGAGACTAGAGACCAGAGAACAATCCAAGCGAACAGCCGCAAAAAGTCACAGCTAATAACCCAGCTAACCCAGCAATGAGACTTCGGTTCGCATTTATCTCTATGAGGAATGGGGTTGGTTATTGGAAACGCAGCAGATAACAGACAAGGGAGTACTGCGGAGTGGAGCACGTTTACGAGTCATTTGCAATATCTCCAAAGCTGATACGCTCGTTTAAATTAGTTGTTTATGTAACACACACATTTCATTTCAATTCAATTCATTTGTTGGTGTTATTATTAAAACGAGATTTCCAACTGCATTTGCACACAATTAAGTGCAACAATTTATGATAAATTGCAATTTAATCAGAAGATAAAATATAATCGACGGCACAAGACAAAAGCCCCCACATTGAAAGCCACAGTCAGTCACAGCCACAGCCACTGCCAAAGCCAAAGCCAAACCCAAAGTAATTTCTTTTAATTAACAATATGTTAATCGATTGGTGGGCTCCCTTTTCAGATACAGCTACAGGTTACAGCAGGCAGGCAGGCAGGCAGGCAGACAGACAAAATTTCAGGTTCAGATCTCACAGTCGCAGTATCAATTTCAGGTTCAACAAACAGTGGAACTAATTTGCAGAAAGCAAAAGAAGGAATTATTATCGGGATTTTGCCAATGAAACTTGGTATTGGATTGGATCCCCCGCCCTCGAAAGCCGTCAACCGGCTGTCGAGTGTTTGTCGCTGCATTAAGCGTATCGGATATGATTGAACGTATAATTAATGGTCGAGGGATTAGCGACAAGTACAAGCCACACATATTGGATGGATGCTGTACAGCCGCTGGCAACAAATTAATCAACACATGCGATACGATACGATACGAATACGAGTACGAGGCGGGGTGTGTGTGTGTGGGTGTCTAGACCATATGGAGATATGGAGAGACAGAGACTCGTAGAGATGTGGAGTGGTAGCACAAAGCAAATGGAGCTGAGCTGGTTCTGAAAGGAGTTTGGCCCCAGAGCACAAAACATAAGTCAATACATCAAGGCCACCATTCATTCGCAGCGAGGGGGGGGGTTACGGTACAACTTATCAGATTCGATATCCTTACCAGCGCATGATGTAAGCCTTCCCATCCGTCTGCCGCTTTTTTGAGTTGAATAAATCCGAGAACAACAATCAAATGAAATCAATTGAATTTAATAATTTCATAACCTGTTCAGCATTAAGGTTCATTTCACATACCATATGCAAAACATCAGGCAAATGAACTTCCCACCCGATGCTAAAAATAATCAGCTGCATATTTCGACTATAATTAGAGCTTGGTTCAAAAAAAAAAAACACACACACATTTTTAATATTTATATCAGCATAACAATGACAAATTAAAGTAAAATGCATTCCCCGAAACAGGAAAAACAAATACATACATACACAATATACACAGTTAACGACGATTGAAACCAGGAAAGACAAAAAAATAGACGAAAAAAATAAACAATATATGTGTGCCATATTTATGAACTACGACAATGGCAATTGGTGGAGACGTTCCATATCCGGTCGCCGCTAATCCTGCTGCGCCGTGGTCTCCTCCAGATTGCAGAAGACATTCCGCATTTTGTCCAGATCGGGGGGCGCCGTATCCGGATTGCGTATCCACATGATATAGGCCTGCTTGTCGGTGCGTGTCAGGGGCTTGAAGTTGCGCGGATTCTGTGCCTCCTCGTCCTGCAGCTTGGAGTTGTAGCGTGCGTAGAGAAAGATGCGGTAGCGCCAATTGTCGAAGGTCTGTTTCCACTCGGTCACATGCTTGATGGCGCCCTGGGGCACCGCATTCAACAGATTGGCCAGCTTCATCCAGTAGGGATCCAGCACGGGATCGTTGCGCCGATGATCGTTGATGAACTGATGTTGCTGCAGAAAGTGCACGTAGAGTTCTTTCTGTCGCTTAGACATGCGTTCCTTGCGTTCTGTGGAATACATTACAATACAATACGACACATGGATATTGAGAATCGCGCGGGGACTCCACTTACGTCGAATGTTATTGCTGGTAGTCTGGCCATGGGCCATGCTGAAGACCTGCTGTGGGGCTGGCAAAGCGTGCCCTCCCGCGGCTGCCTGCTGCTGCTGCTGTTGCTGTTCCTCTTGCTGCTGCTGCTGCAGCAGGGCCAAATGCTGTTGCTGCTGCTGCAAGTGCTGATGTTGTTGCTGCTGCTGTATCATGTACTCGTGCTGGATGCGCTCCTGAAGCAGCTGCTGCTGCTCTTCCTCGTGCTGCTGCTGCTGCTGCTGATGTTGCAACTGATGATGATGGGAGGTTGGTGGCGGTGGCAACGGCAAGGCCGATGGCAAAGGCAATGGCGGTGGTGGCAGCTGCTGTGAATGCGGCGAATCCGGCAGCTCGTCCTGTGTATCGTAGTCCATCTTCGGGCTGCAGGCCTCATAGGCGGGCATACCCAGATCCGCCGAGGCCGCTCCACTGCTGCTTGCCTTGTCGACGCGGTATTTCATGCTCTCCTCGTGCTCCTCGTCCTCGCAGGGTGGCATGGCCAAAATGGGAGTGGTTGTTGTTTCCAATACGCTGCTGGGCTGGCATAGGTTCGTGGGCTCCTCCGGTGTGGGCGAGTCGTTCAGTATTTTCTGTTCCGCGCAACGGCACTGCCGATTCAAGACGTAGCTATCCAAAGCCACATCGTACACTGCAAGAGGAAAGCATAACATTAAAACAGTTGCACAGCGCACAGCGCACAGCGATTCTAAGAACTAGACAATGAAGATGTCAGGCGATGTGCCTTGGCGTTTGTTTTGTAGTTTTAGCTTAAACATATTGTATTTTGCGCTTAGCATTAGTTAAAGTACACATTAACAGTTTTGTATATTGCACATTGCAGATCCCAAATCAATAATCGTAGCTGTTGGTGGCCGTTGTGGCCTCGTCCAGAGGCACAAACAGATCCATTTTCTCATAGTCCTGCGGTGCTATGTGCTTGTGGCTTGTCCACATGGCATAGGCCTTCTGATCGGTGGCAGTGAGCGGCTTAAAGTTCTTCGGATCACTCGTCTCCGACATGCTCAGCTTGGAGTTGTAGCGTGTGTACATGAAAATGCGATAGCGCCAGGCATCGAACGTCTGCTTCCAGTCCTCCACATTCTTTACAGCGCCCTGCGGCACACTGTTCAGCATGTGCGCCAATTTCGCCCACAGCGGTTCGGTGAGGCCATCATGCCGACGATGGTTCGACAGCATGCAGGGATTGTCCTCGAAGAATTTCACATACAGCTCTTTTTGATCCTTGGACATGCGTTCGCCACGTTCTTTAAAGGAAAATATGCAGTTTGATTAGGCATTGGTCAGGGAACAAGGACAGATGTTGCTCTCACTTCTAAACCGACTCATCAGCCCCGGCGTGTAGGGCGACTGCTGTGAGGGATTCGGCGCATTCATTGGCGGCAAACTGTGCGTGTAGTTCGGAAAGATTTGCTGGGCCGGCAACGCGTGCTGCAGTGCGGCTGCCTGCTGTTGCTGATGCTGTTGCTGCTGCTGCTGCTGCTGGTGATGATGCTCTTGCCGCGCCAGAAACCGAGACGCCCTTGCTATCCGGTCCACCTCCGACTCGGACTCCGCTTTGGGTATGATGTCCATGGGATCGATGGACTGCGTCAGCGATTCGGGCGTTCGCTCCGCATAGGTTTGTGTGAGGCGCAGCTTCTGGGAGCTATCCGCATGATCTGAGCTGGAGGTGTTGGCCTGCTGCTCCAGTGGCGAATCCACTGGCTCATGGCACACGCCCAATGCTGGCGAATTTGGCTGCGAGGTGGGCACATAGTCGTGCGTGTGATGGGAGGCACTCTCACTCGAACGCTGCGGCAGTGGCACATGGTGCTGCAGAGGATGATGCTGCTGCTGCTGTTGCTGCTGCTGCTGCTTCAGAACAGCCATCGAGCACGAGGGCTCATAGGACAGCATCTCCTTGGCATGACCATCGTCGAGGGCTGCAAAGGGAAGCATTTTACAATTTGGGTTTTATTACAAATGGCAAATTTCCATAGACTTACAAGCAAAAGCACGTTTACGGCTGCCGCGTCTATATATACACAACAGATCTGATCTATACATAGATACATATATATATATATATATATGGTTTTGGGGTTTCTTGACTCCGAGTCGCTTAAACGCTAATTGAAACGCGGCTTAGCTGCTATACGCTATACATGTGAGTATTTACCTTGACTGATTTCTATAACGAAATTGGTAAGGTCGTGCCTTTGGGCCAGATAGTGCAGCAACAGCTCGTCGGGTATGTTAAAGCCAATTTTCTTGTTGCGAAACTCGAAATTGTATATCCCGAAGGCGGCACGCACTGGAAAATGCAACAAATATTATTTGTATAACCATTTCGGGGGGGGACTATGCTCGTCGCCGCCACTCTGCTATACACACAGACTCGGAGGGCAATGCAATTAAGTTTTACGACCTGACTTGTCCGTGGCCGCCCGCCCCATCCATCCCCATCCAGGGCGCAGCCATCCCATCCAGCTATCGAAATATGCTTACCAACGTTCTTCAGGTCCCATATGTTAAGATTTCGATTCTCCTCGGGCACGCCAATCATGAGCAGCTTCTTTGTGTCGCGAAACTGAAACGGAATTATAATGCCCGACCGCAGCACCATTTTCAATGCGCCACACACGATTTTCACAGTTTTTCATAAATTTTCCACGTTCTTTTTGTGGTTATCTTCCGTAATTGTTTTGGTCTCTCTGTCCCTTCCTTCGTTTGCATGTTTTACTCGTTCGTAAACAGCGTGATTAGGGATGGCAAAGAAACGTCAAACTGTCGTGAGCCGTGCTGCAAAATGTCAAGTGTCAACACTGCGCCGCGTTGGCATTTTACAGCACTCTTTAGCAGCCCACAAGCACGTTCATTTGTCATCTCTAATTTTAGTTATTAATAATAACAAAAACAAACGAAAATGCTCGAAAATTGCCAAAGATACCATATGGTACTGGGTCTGGGCGCCCTCACAGTCGTGACCATACTGGTGCTCATCATAGAATCCCGCTACGCAGCTGAAGGTCCTCGCAGGAGAGAGCAGCAGTTCCTGATCGAAAACAATTCGACTTGCTGGCGCCACGAACCGTATACAGTGGTCCAGGAGTGTCATCCTTGCTCGGAGTTCGACATTGTGAGCCGGAGTTTGGGCGTCTGCATACACACCCACTACAAGGAGTTGCTACGCTGCAAGAGCGGCGAAATTGTGACCAAGAGCTGCGACCGTGTGGCCCTCATCGAGCAGCACAACTTCATCAAGTTCGAGTGTGCCTGCTTTGTGCTGGGCGTGCTTAGCTACCTCATTGGCTATGCCAGGGATCGAGTGCTGTCCCGCAGAACCTACCTGAAGATTGAACGACAGCTGAACCGGGTGCAGTAGCGCGGAGTAGTTGCCGCCGCTCCCGCTGCCGCCGCTGCCAATTGAACGATTGATTGATTGATGATACTCAGTGGATGTGGGGAAGGTACATACATTATTTAATTTGTAGTATTAAGTACATTATACACTTGAAATACCTTGTTAAAATTCATTTCGCTAATACTAGAGGGAAAATATTGCAAGTTGTGGAATGCTTGTTTGTGGCAGGGGTAGGACGATGACGCCACCACACTCCCGCATTTGGTGGGCGGTGGGGCGGCGCATCTGGTCAACACAATTTGGTGCTAATAATATGTATAACATTTTGATTCGTTAATAACAATATTCGGATACCTGCAAGACATCTTTTTGGATTGTTAAAACACCCAAATATGGGAATTTCTTTGATCGATTGCAGTTTAATACCCGCCCGGTAACACTTGCGGCGGCCACTTCAATTGCGCCAGTCGGGTATTAGGTCGGGCTCCACGCCCTTGGCAGCCGTTGGCATCGCTGGTGGTGCCACTGTGGGCAAGGCTGGCGGTGGCGGTGGCGGCGACATTTGCGCCTCCAGTGTCTCCTCGCTGGTGGTGCTCGCATTGCTGCACGCCTTCAGCGAGTTGTCCGTCATGGGCAGTGGTTTGGCCACGCCGATGCGCACCACTCCCTTGGAAGCACCCTTCAGGGCCTGCACGGCCTGGTCCAGTGAGGCGTTCTCGAGATTAATGGAATTGACAAACAGCAAGCGATCGCCTGGAATCAGACGTCCGTCCAACTGGGCCACGCCTCCCGGCACCAGGGAACGGATGACAATCAGTGTGTCATTGGGGTCCAGCGGATCCTGGTAGTCCAGTATAGAGAAGCCCAGGCCGCGGTCTCCCTTGACCAGTTCGATGATTTGCGGATTTGATGACCACATGGCCAGTCCGGTCAGTGGCTCCAAGGAGCGCGATTTCAGCTTGGTGAACGAGTTGGCAGCAGCGGCCACCGAATCGGCGTCGGCCACAGAGCCAGCGGTGGCCAAGCTGCCATCGGACTTGGCCTTCACCAGGCGATCCGTGGCAGGCAACAGATTCTCAAAGTTATTGCTCAGCTTCTTCAGGGTGTCGTCGGAGAAGGGCAGCAGGGAGGTGTTCTTGTTGCGGCCGCACACCATGCGCACATCCAGCGGCAGCTCCTTCAATATGGCCACCACCTCCAAATGATTCATGCCCAGCAGACGCTCGCCATTGACCTCCAGCAGCTCGTCGCCGGAACGGAGCACCGCATTAACGCCCACCGGACCGTCGGGCAGAATGGAGCGTATGTAGTGGTGGGGTCGCACCTCGCGTCCACCCTCCACATCGACGGTTCCCTCCAGCGAGATGCCCAGGCCGCCGACGGCAAACTTTTTGATTTGTGCCACAATAACCTCCACATCGGAGCCGACAATCTTCTGCCACTTGCGAATGATTTCCGTTTCCGCCTCGTCGGTGAGCTCCGGATCCGTATAATACTTGTGACGTGTGATGACGGCACCATTCTTGGCATGCACCGGCGCCTGCAGCACAATGAAAAAAAGCGTTTCTAAATGTTCCTTCAGCGTATTGCATTCTAGAGATGACTCACCTCGAGTTTGTCGGCTAGGGGCACAACATCCGTGGGTATAATCTTCGTGGAGCCATCCAGGGAATCCCTGACAGCCACCAGCTGCTTTCCCGCACCGAACGTACTCAGCGTGGTCGTCGTGGTCATTGCGGTCGTCGATGGCGGAGTGGTCATGAAAGCCTCCGGCGCTGGCAGGGCTTCATCTTCCAGCTCTCGGGTGAGGCTGCGGGAGGGTGTTGTGGTGGCCGATGCAGAGGATGTGGTGGTGCCCACGGGTGTGGGCAGTGGCGCCCGAGAGGGTGTGCCTGGGGCACTGGATGGCAGTTTGTCGTTGGCAGCGATGGCCTGTTGCAGTTGCTCGTACTTGGGACCACGCAGATAGCGTTCCAGTCGTAGGTTAACCACCTGGCCAGACTTCTTGAGCAGTTCGACCGCCTGGTGATTGGAGTAGCCCTGCAGGGACTGCCCGTCCACCTCGATGATGCGATCGTTGACTCGGATGCGTCCACTCAGATCGGCCGCTGATCCCGGCGAGACGCTCTTCACAAAGATGCCCGACAGCTCCTCCTTCTCGCACACGTAGCCGGCAATGGTGATGCCCAAGCCGTTGGCGTCCTTTTTCAGCTCCACCTGCAGCTTTTTCCGTTTCGGGCAGGGCCAGCAGCTCCTCCAGATCGATGGTCGGATCGATGAGCATTGACGTCTCGCCGCGGTACACAAAGCGATCGTCTTCCGTCGTGGTCTGCGGCGTGGAAGCTGTGGAGCTCTCGCCAAAGATCTCCGGATATCCGGTGGAGATAAGGTAGCGCTCCAGCTCGGCAGGATCGACGAGAACACGCGTCGGAACGACCGCACAGCCCGGCTCTAAGGCATACTGAGGTGTTGGCACATTTTGCTCGATGGGACGGGCCACAACGAGACGGACATGGGTCCCCGACTGACGCAGCACGGCAGCCACCTGCTCCGAGACCATCTCGTGCAGGTTCACGTCTCCAATTTGCAGGATATGATCTCCAGAGCGAAGGCGTCCGTCCCTATCCGCCACGCCGCCAGGCAGTATTGTCTTGACAATCACACCCGAACTCCTCGCTCCAATGATGCCGAATCCCAGGCCCGTGCCATCGTTGACCAACTCGATGGCCTGGATCTGGGCATAGTCCGTGGCGTACAGATCCGCTCCAGCCGCCGTCTTGGAGTTCTGGCTCTGGGGACGCTGCTCCTCGCCCGTGGACTTGTCCGGACTGCCGGGCGCCGAGTGCGAGTTTGGCGATCTGGTGGTGGCCGATATGGACTGTTGGTCGTCAAAGTCGTACATCACCTCGCCGCCGTTCAGGCTAAGGACCAGATTGCCAGCCACATCGATATCGAAATCGTTGGGCAGCATGGACGGATGCTGGCCCAGCTGGGCGTTCAGCTCGGAGAGAGAGTCCTGCACGTGGACAATGGTGCGGAAGACGGGGTCCTGCAGGATGCCCAGAATGGTGTTCAGGCTCTCCGCCGTCTGCATTTGCAGCTTGGGGTCATCGCTCTCGTCGATGCCCTTTTTGACGGCCTCGATTTGCTGCAAAGCGCTGGAAATGTCTGCACTCAGATGCATGGTCGTTGGTGTTCCACTTTTGGGCGCGGCCTGCTGCAGCCACTGGAGCGTATTCTACTTCCGTTTTGTTTCGATTCGTTGGTGGAAGGGGGGCGTGTGCTGTTGGCACACTTTGTCCGTGGTATGTACAAAAAAGGGCAATCGAATCGTAAGTGGAGCAGCTACCGAACCTCACTCGGTGCGTCACTGTTCGCTTCTCAATGTGTGGCTCCACGTTCTCCAATAGATTTCACACTGCTCAAATGGGCCTTGTTATGCGCTGCTTTTGCAATTGATTTTTAATTATCCCACAAAATGCATGTCTAGATGGAATGTTGTCTGCCGTTCGCCAGCACCTGAACTAGTCGCTCTTGCGCGGAACTGGTTGAGGCATACGAACTGGTTCACTAATGAACTTTGTTTTTGGCACGTTTTCACTTGTATTTTTAAGTACTATGATACTTTATATATTGTTTAGTATGTATATGCGTATATTTAAAATTTAAAAATATCCATTTATAATATAAAAATTGTAGAATGTGAAGCTTGCGCTGACTAATTTCGTGCCACTGTAGTTCAATGAACTGATTGCAAGGAACTGTTTACTTTTCTGCAGCCCTGGCGCTCAGCTGTTTGCCATTTGTTATGAACTTTAAAATTTAAAAAATTAAGTTTACTAATTACTAACATGCTGGAAGCTGGAGGAGGATGAACAGATCACCCAGCCAGTAATATGAAAGATTATTAAATTTGCAACATTTGTTGCTGGCGGGGCCTTTGAACTCAAACAGATTTAATTTATTTGAAAATTACTTGAAATTTGTTTAGCTTTGCAGGGCACATATCTCCCTACAGCATGCTCCTCTCTTCCTCCTCCTGCAGTTCCACTTCCATCTTGTGGAACTCACGGAAGAACTCGCGCGTCAGGCACTTCATTGTGGGCGTCAAATACGTGGGGAAAATATCTGCAATTAAATAAAACACAGTAATTACTTTTTGGCGGGAATTCGAAGACGGGCAGCTTGACGCACAATTAAACTCAATTATGAGGTCGCCGAATTGGTCAATTTTCTTGTTGGCCTCCTTGATGGCAGTCACTGCATCCAGATTGCGGCACTTGGGCAGACCCTCCAATGGAATCACCTTGCTGTAGCCCGGTTGCACCACATCCGTGATGACGATCTTCAGCTGGCGCTTGTCCAGCGTGGAGATGAAGAAAATGAAGCCAGTCAGTGCCTGGCTTATGTCAATGTCATAGCGATAGACAAGATCGTGAAGGTTGCGACGCTCAAAGTCCGGATGCGGCCTGTCGGCGACTATAAAGATAATGTCGCCCGGAATGGAGGCGGGATAACGATCCCCCTCCTCCTTGAAGCAGAAGCGTGTGCCAGCCGTAGTGCCTGGGGCAATGGTCAGCTTCAGCGTGTGCTTGCGCTTCTCCAGTCGCGACTCCTTGGCGTCGACAATCTCCTGGCGCCACACATGCATCAGCTTAACACAGCCCGAGCGCACCTCCTCCAGGGACAGCTCAATAATCTTCTCCGTATCGGCATCTTTGCTGCGCACCCCAATGCCCATATTCTTGGTGGCATACAGGCTGGGCGGATTGGTTATGGCATCGATGACATTGGCATACGGTGAGTAGCTGGCAAAGACGCCTTCGTAGACCTTCATGTGTTCGCCGTGATATTGATACGGCGGAAAGTAGCCATTGGGCAGCATCACGCCCTGAAAGAGACCCGCCTCGCCGTAGCGGTCGTAAATGGCGCGATACAGATCGTTACCCAGCACATCGAAGGCCATGTTGACGTACGCCCATTGCTTGGTCTCTGCCATGGGCGCCAGATGCGTCAGTCGACCCTCCTGGGCGAGGGGCACAAAGTCCTGCGCATCCTTCTTGTCCCTGTGCGGACAGAGACGTATGGCGAGGCGCCGATAGGCCAGTGTAATCTGCTCCTTGGTGGCACTCCTCGGCATATCGAGCACCGCATAGTAGTCCAGCTCCGGACGATTCATTTTGCAATAGATTTTTGGTTTATTTGTGGGATTTAATTACGTTACGAATGTGACAGAGGAGAGGCAGACGACGGGACAGGCGACGGGCGACTGGGTTAAGGCAATGCGTACTGAGAATTTAGCTGACTTTATTCAAATTATATACAAAAACTCAACTTGGAAAGGCTTTGGATGAATGAATTTGGGTATTATATGCATGCGTGCGTGCGTGTGTGTGTGTGTGTGCGCGGGGGTGGTGGGACAGGACGTTAAGATTAGACTTATAGTGAAGATGGAACAGGCAACACGATTTGCCGCAGCCAATCAGTCAACATCGTCGGTGCTGACGCCAGTGTAAATGGGCTCCTCCTTGGCACTTTCCGACTTGGCATCGTCGGTCTTTTCCATGCTGGCACCGCCAGCAGTTTCAGCACCAGCACCAGTAGCAGTAGCATCAGCGTCTTCCTCATCGTCGGCTCCTTGTGGCATGTCGGCCGCGTTTGGTACCCACAGGCCCGAGTCGACGCAACGCTTCATATGATGCTTGGCCACATCCACGGGCATTGCGGCAATCGTCTTTTGCAGCAGCTCCACGTCACGCGACTCGAAACAGGCTTTCAGCTCCTGCAAGGCGAATCGTCTCGTTTGGTTTAAAAACATTTATTTGAGAAATTAACTTACGTCGGGCAGGGATTCAAAGACATCGGCTGGGTCCAGGCCACCGGGGCCCATGCGTTCTTGACGGTCCTCCTCCTCTGCCTGCGCCATGGCCTCCGCAACCTTTTCCTGTGCTCGCTTTTGGATTCGCTCCTTGAAACCCTTGATCTCGCTCTCAAACTGTTGGCGGTACTCGGGCAGACAGGACTGGATCTTTGAGAAGAACGAGCTGACACAGGCGCGTGGATCCACGTCCAGCTGCTTGGCCAGCTCGAGGATGTACTGCATGCAGATGCACTGATGGGCCACGTGAGCCATCAGTTCGTGCTTCTCTTCCATCTCCAGGTTGATTGACCAAATGACCAGATAGTTGGCCGTCTCATCGCACACCAACTGCAGATGCTCCTGGAGGAAGCGCTTGGAGTCGTCGTATTTGCGCAGCATGCCGTATTGTTTGCACAGCTTCTCGTTCTCCTTGACGAACTGCTTCATGCGCTGCTCCCGCTCCTCCTCCGACAGGTTCTCGTCTGGCTTGCGACCGGCCTTCTTATTGATGACGGTCTTCTCGAAGCCCGGCTTGCTGATTGTGTCCACATTCCAGGGCGTTTTCTTCTCCTTCTTCAACACCTCGTTCTCCACGCGATCCAGTTCCTTGCCCTCGTTCTCGATCTTCTCCAGCTCTTTCTACACGGGATTGCTGGTGAATTACTGGCTGAAAGCCATGAATTTGGGCAGTAACTTACCTTGAGGGCGGCTTCATCGCCATCTTTTTTGCTGATGCGCTCCTTGACATCCAGGAGGCGAGCCTGGATGCTTTGTCGTTTCTTCTTCATCTCCTCCTTCTCCTTGTCCATTTCCTCCATGCGCTCCACACGCGCCTGGTGCCGCCATCGGAACAGTGAGGGCGTATCAATGTTCGGGTGCGTGTCGTCCTCATCATCAGAAATCTGCAAAGTGCACGCGGGCCAGACGCCGGCTCGTAAACACGCCTCCGTACGCTATTATCGCTCGCACTCACCTCAATGTTCTTCCATTTACTGTAGTCAACCATTTTGATAGCTTTGTTCACGTTAATTTTTCGGTAGAATGCTTTTTTGCTTTTATTTTTTTGTGGAATTTCTGGAAAAGTCGTATCGATTGTGTGTGGCCTATCGCTATCGCTATCGTGAGTGCTGTCAAGTGTTTCGAGGGGCTAGTGCTGGAAAGTGTGTGATGGTGGATGCGCGCCATTGACACAAATTCGAAATTGGGACATTAGGCTAAGGTTAATGCATTCAAAAGACAAACAATGCAAATCAACAGGAAACTAAAACTCTAGCCGCAATGTAAATAGGGCGTGGTCAATACGGGGCGTGTCCGAATGCATGCCTAATGCCAATGTCTGGTGCTAAAAGGCCATGGACAAGAAAATTTCTCACAGTTTCTCTAAAATGGCCAACTATTACAGACGTAAAAAGGATGCGGTATTCCACAATGCCAAGCCCATCAACAGTGGCAATGCCCAGGCGTATTTGTACGGTGTGCGCAAGTACTCCATTGGCCTGGCCGAGCGTTTGGACGCTGACTACCAGCCGCCACCCAATGAAAGGAAAAAGAGCTCGGACAGCACGGCCTCCAATAATCCAGAATTTACGCCAGTCAGTTGAATCATTCGAATTTGGTGGCTTGTTTTGTGTAGATTATCCCTTTTCCCTTTTTTGTTTAGAGCGTTTTCTATAGGAATATTGCGCCTGTAAATTGGTTTCTGCGCATCATTGGTGTCCTACCCATTGTCCGACGTGGTCCGGCCCGTGCCAAGTTCGAAATGAGTTCGGCCTCGTTTGTCTACTCGGTGGTGTTCTTCATGCTGTTGGCGGTGAGTCCTTGGACTGTGGCAAGAATAAATTCACAAAGGTTTTACTCTTCCCTCCCCCCCAGTGCTATGTGGGCTATGTGGCCAACAATCGCATTCACATTGTACGCTCGCTGAGCGGCCCCTTCGAGGAGGCGGTGATTGCGTATCTGTTTCTGGTCAACATTCTGCCAATTATGATTATACCGATACTGTGGTACGAGGCGAGGAAGATTGCCAAGCTCTTCAACGACTGGGATGACTTCGAGGTGCTGTACTATCAGATCTCCGGGCACAGCCTGCCGCTGCGTCTGCGCCAGAAGGCGCTCTACATTGCCATTGTGCTGCCCATTCTGTCGGTGCTGTCGGTTGTGATTACGCACATTACCATGTCCGATTTGAACATCAATCAGGTGGTGCCGTACTGCATTCTGGACAATCTGACGGCCATGCTGGGCGCTTGGTGGTTCCTGATTTGCGAGGCCATGAGCATCACGGCTCACCTGCTGGCGGAGCGTTTCCAGAAGGCGCTCAAGCACATTGGTCCCGCCGCCATGGTGGCCGACTATCGCGTCCTCTGGCTACGGCTGAGCAAACTCACGCGGGACACGGGCAATGCCATGTGCTATACGTTTGTGTTTATGAGCCTGTATCTGTTCTTCATCATCACCCTGTCGATTTACGGCCTGATGTCGCAGCTGTCGGAGGGATTCGGCATCAAGGATATTGGACTGACCATCACGGCTCTGTGGAACATTGGTCTGCTGTTCTACATCTGCGATGAGGCGCACTACGCCTCGGTGAATGTGCGCACCAATTTCCAGAAGAAACTGCTGATGGTGGAACTCAATTGGATGAACTCGGATGCCCAGACGGAGATCAATATGTTTCTGCGTGCCACCGAAATGAATCCCTCGACCATCAACTGCGGCGGTTTCTTCGATGTGAACCGGAGCCTGTTCAAGGGTCTGCTCACCACAATGGTCACGTATTTGGTGGTGCTGCTGCAGTTCCAAATAAGTATACCCACGGACAAGGGCGACTCGGATGGCGGCACAAATGTCACAGTGGTGGACATGCTCATGGATAGTCTGAGCAATGATATGACTCTGGTGAGCGCCACAGCAAGCACAGCCACCACAAAGCCAACGGCTGGCACTAAACAGGGTCGTGGGCATAGGGGATAGAGCTGTATACGCACCATGGCCAAATATTAGAATTATTTAGCTGCTTTTTTGGTTGAGGGTTTCCTCTGTTTTTATTTTTTTTGTTTTTTGCTAACTTTATTTAAGTGCTGAAGTTTAATTAACGACATTCACAAACTACACGGATTATATATAGATTTAGATTTAGATTTAGATTTATAGGCCCGGCTAAGCACTACTACCACAAAAATAGTTTATGAATATGCCAACAAAAGATATGGCTGATTCGAGTTGATCGATTGGGATGGATGCACACACACAGGGAGGCCTCCTCTCGATCCGTTTCGTTGGCTATCTAAAATAGTACTCTGCTGTTTCCATATCACACAAATTTTGGAACAAAAAAAAAAAAAAAAAAAAAAAAAAAAAACAGAAAAGAAAAACCAGAATTTGTAAGACAATTTTCAAGACACCTTTTTGGATAGGGAAGTTTAAGAACTTGTTGTTTAACGCTCATTTAGTTGTAGGAGCCCAGGAGCTACGATCTACTTCTGTCCATCTGGGCATTCGGTGAGTATATGCTTGTAGCCATTGCTGCCCAAGTACATGTGCTCGCGACGGAAATGATAGGGAATCTGCCAAAGAAAAAAATAACTTAAATAATTGCCAGCTCTGGGATGTGGATCGCCACTTACGGCTCCTGGTGCCGGACAGGGTATGGCCACAGTGGCAATTTCCCTGAGCTTGTTTATGGTGCGCAAACTCTGATAGAAGCTGTGCATCGAATACCACTTGATGCAGTCCATGCTGAGCAGAGAATAGCAGATGATAACTAGGATTAAAGGGATTAAAAGAATTAGAGTCCGTGGAAATTCAATATATATTTGGAGCAACTCACAGAAGGGCACATTGCCGCAAAATAGCATTGTCAGCTTGGTGTCGCGCAGCATAAAGATTAACACAGCGCAGCCCATAATGCAGAGGAACTCGGTCACCAGCCAGGGTATGATCAGACCCGGTCGACTCTTGTAGACCCCAAAGAACAGGCAGATGGCGCACAGAGCATAGGCGGAAGAGACACCAACCATAATGTACAGGAACTTCTCCATGGCGTCCGACAGCTCGGCGGCCGAGCGCAGTCTCAGATCGTTGTGAAACGGTGCCATAGTGTAGAAGCCATTGTCCTTCTGATCCAATATATCCAGCTCAAGCAGACGATGGATCTGCTCCGCATGTGCCAGGCACAGCAGCATAAAGAACAAAATACAATGCGAAACCAGCTGCGGGTAGAGAGAAACAAAGAGAAACATTAGAAGAAAAAAAAGCTCGAGCAGCGATCTTTTTGCGCATTGAAATTCCCAACTGGTTTTGGCTCTGCTGCCATGGAGTTGCCGCACATTAAGCTTCTTGCTTCAAAAAGGGTATCCGAGTCAGGGTTGCTAGCACCAATTAGCAAGCCGAGTCGCACTGCGCCATTGGGACCATCTTGCAACCTTCGGGTGGCGGGTGGCGAGTTTCCAATCTGCTCGCCCCTTCGATGGATCCATCCCTGTGTGCCCAGTGGGGTATGGCTTTGCATATCCGAGGCTCAATTTTTGAATGTGGGGCTTGACAGCTGCACCTTGCAATGGTCCGTTTGGCAACGGACCTGTGCGCTGCGCCCCACCTGATTAATGCATTGATTTATATAAGGGAATATTCCCACCTATCCTTTTGCTAGTTTCCATTCTGTCTCCGTTTCCTTTGCACTCACCAATTGAAATATGCTCGTCAGCATGGCCGTTGTCCTTAGGTTCCTGGGTGTTAGCGGCGCCATCAGACGATCCCAGAGGCGACGGCAACAGCAGCTCAATTTTCCCGTGGCAAGCAGCATTTTTCGTGGATTTTCGTTTAATGTTTTTGCTGCCCAATCAATTTATGGATTTTTTATTTCTTGTGCACACAAAATGCGTCGCAAACTGTTCCGCGGATGTTTCGTTTCGTCATGCAATTGAGGTTTTGGTTTTGGTTTTTGGTTTGTTGTCTCGCTTGTCGCGGCAGGGAAGGTTAAATTGGGGCACCCAGCACCACCACCCACGCAACCGAAAAAGCTTTTCCCCCACAGTGCTTGGGCTTGTGGGTCAAATTGCACTAGAAAAAACACGACGCGTCGGACGAGCCAAGGTCTGGCTGGGCTTTCATCAATTTGGTTTGACTAACACTATTCTCTAAGGGGGGCTAGGGGGGGGTGCTTTGTTTTGGGGCACTTTTCCCACGGAGTTTGAGCTTTTGTGCGCGCCACTCTCTCTGCCCTTGTGGCAGGCATAAATAAGGTTGCCACAAGCTTCTGCTTCGTCGTTTGCTTGCATTTTTTTTCGGGGTTGATTTTTATCGCGCGAGTTTTGAAGAGCTTTTTGCCGTTGGCCAAAGCTGCCGCCAGAGTTGCCACATCGCGCCACTAAGAAAGCAATTAAACTTGGCGCTTCACCTACCTCCACTCCCCACCCCGCCCCACACTGCACTCTGCCCGTTGCTATGATAAATTTTTGCATTTTAAAAGTCAATTTACACTGAACTATAAAAATGTAACATAAATTTTGCCAAAGCAGCTCATAAAACTCCCGTCATGGAGCTCTCTGGACAAGGCAGTCGTCGTCGTCGGCAAGCGAAGGGAATCAAAGTCGTGTCGTGTTGCCACTGGGCAGCCCATACTCATCCTCATCCTCTGCAGCGGCAGCCTGTTCAACGATGGCGCTCCCGCTGCACGGCCAGCTACTTGTGGGCCCTTAATTGATTGTTTTTCTACGAGCTTCGAGCGGAGGCTGCCCTGCCAAATGGAAACCGATGCCGATGCCGATGCCAATGCTGGTGAGGATGTGGGACTCCAACTATAGGGCTAAGATCAGAGAGTGCTCACAATGTTGGCCTGGCTGCATGATGAAGACCTCAGGGGCAATATATTCCACGTTGTTTTCTGCCGGCTTGTTATCATTGGGCGTGTTTTATTAACTTTTAAGCTGCCATGCACGCGAGGGGCCATAAAAGTGCAACTGGCGGTGGCGCAACAGCAGCAGCAGCAGCAACAACAACTAAAAAAAAAAAATCCAAAAGTCAATTAAAAATTTTTTACATTTGTTTGCACACAAAGAACTTCCTTCAGTGCAGAACTTGGAGGAGTCACAGAACCAAACCAAACCGAAACGAACCTGGCGCGATAATCATAACTGCAAAAAAGTAAGAAAACTACGCGCAGGCGTCGCCCGGCGATAATTTATGGCCCCAGTGGATCCAGCTGGATCCAGGGGCAGTGGCAGGGGGCAGGGGGCAGACCAGGTTGCAGGTGAGTCGAGTGTATTGAAATATCATCTTGCAACCATTTGCCGTTCAATTTGCGTTCGCAACGCTCTTTTGATTGGTTTTTCCAACCCCATGCCCTGCCGAGCACTCTGACTCCCGACTCCCTACTCCGACTACAAATTGATTGCCTTAAAGTAACTTGTAAAATGCATCTAAGAGCTGGATGGGCCAACTTACCCTCTGGAGGAGGGTTCTTCCTCTTGCTCTTCCCCATCCTCTGGTGGTGGCTTCTCTTTCAGCATAAAAACAGAAGCAACATTACAAATGTGTGGCGTTATTGCCACGGGGGAGGAGCGCGCAAACTGCAGCAAAAGCATTCAACATGGAACGGAACGTCGACTGCTTTTGATTAAAAAAAAGAAAAAAAAAAAAGAAGAAACCCAAGGAGGAGTGGGAGATCAACTGAGATTCGAGAGGTGGATCTGTAGAGTGGTGTGGGACAGGGGGGGGACTGTGGGGGGCACTGTGTAGCGCTAACCGAAAAGCAATCGCCGTTTGTTAACAAGCATTTCAGCGCATGACAATTGGCATGCACACCTCCGGGCCATTAATATGCAACCGATGCTGACACATTTGGAGCTGCAGCCTCTTGTCATTGCCCGAGAGAGTGGCGAGGGGCAAGGCAGATTTAATCACAGAAAATCTTATGAACATAAATAACATTTCCGCGACTTATTTGCACAATTTGTTTGCCTGTTTTGACAGTCAGGCTTGCAGGCTTGCAGGCAGACTATCCAAAAGATTGTTGGGGTGGGTCGTGGAGTGGCACGCAGACGTGGCCATGTGTAAGCTGTGCAGCAATTACATGCAAAGCAATAAAAGGCCATTGCATTTTTAGTTTTCATATCCAAGAGATCACGCATAAAATCAACCCACACACACACACACACACACACCACACACACAATGCTTCCTCAGTTACTTCAGACCATGCTATCATTTACATAATTTTGGCTAAACATTTCACACCGCTCAATGCATGCCCAGTGGCAGCCCCCAGGCCCCCCAGCACCACCACGGGGAAGCGTTGTCACGTTTTCGGATACGGATTCGCATGTTTACCCAAAATATCAATTGTCGCACATATTTGCATAGGCCAAACACAACGTAGAGAGGAGCATTTGGGTGGGGGGCCGTATTGTCATCTGCATGCCGTTCCGCCTCGTATAAATTTGCAGCCCCAAAGCCAACCCAACGCATCGCATCGATGACTTTTGTCGCGCATTTTTGCGGCACGGCAACTCTTGCCGTTTCAGTTCCGTGGTGATGATGATGATGAAGATGTTAGCATTTGCGATTAAACGTGCACCCCCTGCACAGCACCCCCCTCGTTGGCTGGTGCACACACTCAAGTCTCAAGGGGGGGTGGTGGTGCTGTTCAATTGTGTCAATTTAACGCCTTTTATGCCACACCAACTCTAACCTAGGGCGCCCCACCCCTGCCCAAGGCTCGGTGGTACATTGAGTTGGTCCTGCCGCACGTTGGGCATATTAATTATTGCAGGGGATGCCAAAAGGATTCAAATAGTTCGGCAGCATCAGAGCTGTTGGCTGTTGGCTGTTGGCTGCTGGCTGCTGGGGCACACACACACACACAAGTGTTAATTACGCCCCGAATGCAATGTGGGCGTGGGCAGATGGTTGTGGTCCATCCGATCGAATGAATCCTCATTCGTGTATTTGCAAAATGCATGCTCGCTTTACGCTTATCAAACATGATTATTACTAGTCGGCCCTGCCCTGCCCGTCTCCGCCTGTCTAAATATTGGAAAGTGACAATATGCCAGCGCTGCTTAAATGGTTTACAGATGCCGATGAATGGCGGGGCAAGTTGCTCGTATGCGATGATGAGGGATACTCGTACTTGTGCAGCAAACATTAGCTGCAACACGGATTAAGGCAGGCTGCTTGGTGTCAGATATGGGCGGGGTTTTTGGCTCCAATAAATTGCTATTTAATTTGGAGTACTCTCTGTTAAATAATATGTCTCTGGCATATAGTAGGAGACCATTTAGCAGGCATATGCCAGCACTGGGGCTACAATTCGTTTGCCCCCCATTCATATTTATTTGTAGCTAATAGTTATGCAATATTTAACTGCCCTTTGGCTATATCTAATCAGTGTTGTCCTAAAGGTACAAATATAGCCCAAAAAAAGTTATCAGCTTTGGCTTAAAGACAGTCGCCACGCTGCTGCAGGGACTCGGACCAGTCTGCGTGTCTGTCAGGAGCTGTCAGGCGCTGCTGCGCTGGTCTGGCAAATATCCTTGATATCATTTAGTCAACTGGAAAAAATTCAATCAGCATACTTGGCAAATATTCAACAACGTTGTGGATGTTGGATGATGTCGACAGGCAGGCAGGCAGGCAGTCAGGCAGCCAGGCAGGCAGGCAGGCGATTGTTTGACTGAATGAGCATAGTGGGTGGTTAGGTACCCTGCCTGTGGGATGCCTTATGGGCTGGGGTGGGGTTTGGTGTAGCAGTCCCAGGGCTGCTGGGGACCGTGTTCGCTGCATAAATCAACAGCAAATAAATGCTGATACGCTGAAAGTTCGTCTTGGGATGCTTTTGGCTGAAACAAAAAATCATGCGAAGCGGAAACGAAAAAAAAAAAAAAAGTACAAAAGGAACAGAGCACAGAAAGCAGAACACAGCACACAGAAAACAGAGAAAGAAAAGCGAGTGGAAGAGAGGAAAAATTCGCATTCGATAATTGAATTTTGCCGTGGAGGAGAATAGGAATAGAAAAAAGAAAGCAAAAGAAATAACTAAAAGAGAAAGAGAGAGGGAGAGGGAGAGGGAGGAGCAGCAGTGGGTAGGTTGAATCCCCCAAAGCAGGCAGCGTGTCCAGCGATGCATGCGTCGCACGTAGCCCCGAGGAGGCAGGCAGCCAGATGGCGGAGGAACTGAGCAGCTACAGCTGAACCAGAGAGATGGAGCTGCTGCCATATTATGTGCACAATAAATAGACGTGATCAGCATGAGCAAGGTGAGGGAGCATCGCTGTCGTTTCTCCATCGTCTCCATCGTCGTTGTCCTTGCGCTTGGCTGAGCGGCCACATCGCTGGCTGCATGCTGAGAAGTAGCTGCGATTTGAGGGGCAGTGTGGGGGTTAGGGGAGTTAAGGAGAGTGTAGCAGAGCCACATGCCTCGAGTGGCAGGAGCAGGAGCAGGCAGGAGAAGGCAGCGAAGGAAGCACTTGAGAGGATGTTGACTGAGTTTTTCTTCAGCTTCTTTTTCTTTTTTTTTTTTGCCGACTGTTTCCGGCTTTTGTTGCACGAAAAGTGCTCGACAGAATCTTTTGTCCGTCCGTTCATCCGTCTTTGTGTCTGCTTGTGGGTGGTGTTCACTTTGGGGGTGGTATGGGCTAAGTATGCCCTACCCCACACGACCGCCCCTCGAGATGTTGAAACTTCCGAAAAACAAGGCGCCGCTAAACTTTTTTTTATGCTAACTTACTTTGTAGTTTCTTCTTATTTGCAACTTTGATTTTTGTTTATTTTTGCTTTCAACCCTCACACAGCAAAAACAAAAAAAAGCAAAAAAAAAAAACGAAGCTCCAAGCGGGGGTGGAATAAGCACACACACAACCCCTAAGAAGGCTAAGGGAGCGCGAGAGAGCGAAGGAGACACAGAGAAAATGGCGGCAAGCGCTGCTGCCTTCAACTTTGAAACATTTCTTGACATGGAAAATTTCCTTGTACTTTGTTTTTTCTCCTCCTCCTGCTGCCTGTTCGAGGCTTTAAAATGCGCCATTTTCTTGTTTGCAGACCCCAAGGCCTACCCAGCAGCCCCTCCCTGCCAACCGGAAGTTTTATGAATTTTCTACAAAGCATCAAAGTTTTTTTCTGCCATCCTGTGGATGTCCTTTGGGTTTCCCATCCTCGTTTTCGTTTGCCTTTTTGGGAATAATGTCTCTGCCGCTGCTGGTGCTGATGCTGGGGAATCACTGCAGTGTGAATAATGACAAAAAGCCGAGCCAAGGAAGTGGAGGAAATTGTTTTTGGTGGTGCTGCGTCAGGATATATTCATAAAAAAAATCATCAAGAAATTCTGGAGCTGAGAAATGTTTGCGTGTCTCTCTTCTTGCTGTCATGCGGGCTGGAATCAAACGAATTTCAAACATTTCACTTAAAGACAATTAAAACCTAACTAAAAATGGTACAGTGACATTATGTCACCCTTTCTTTTAGGGGGTTTTCGATGAAATTACGAATAACATCAACTAATGAAGTTATTAGGCGCGTCAATGAAGGTCAACGAATTGACATTTAATGAAGAGAAGGGCCCGGCCCGCACTCGGCTGAAATGATCTTTTAATTGCCAAGGAGAGCACCTAACTGCAATTAGCTTTAAATTTCGAATTCTTGTACGCATATTGCAGGGCGGTTGATAATGATGTTGCCCCGGACAATTGACAGAGCATGAAGCGTGGAAAGTAATGTGTGGCAGCTAATTAGAGAGTGTCATTTGTTGAAAGGGTTGAAGAAGGTCATTAAAACAGGGAAAATTTCCTAGGAAGGCGCACAAGTTGCTCATAAAATGATGTAAAATGTGAGTAACAATAATTTGCACAGTCTCATTATCACAAAATTTGGAAATTTGTTTAAATTTAAACGGATCGAAACAATTCATGATCATTTTTAAGCTATCGATAGTATCGATAGCAATATCAGCTGAGCGGGAGGAATATCAACGTCTTGTCGTGTCCGTCAGTATATTTACGGTATAGTTTGGCATGGTATATTTGGGTATATTTCTGTGGGTCAGGCGGTATATTTTATTGATAGAATGCAAAATTGAGCGTGCGGCGCGCTTTTTTTCTGTGCGACTTCGTTTCGTTGTTCTGTGTCGAATCTTCGTGCTTTGTGTTATTTCTAATCAATGCAAAATTATCTGGAAATGGAGGGAGAGAAAGAGGTAATAGAGTACGATACTCTTTGGGAGTTCTTAAAGAATATCAAAATGGAATCTGTGTTTGAGGACTTGAAAGGTAAGACACACCAAACCATTCCTGTACACATTTGTACCTAGTAACATATGCAATATGGGCAATAAAAATAATTATACACTTGCCTACACTCGAACATGATTGAACATGATCAATCCGCAAGCAAAAGCTGAGCGCAACGGCACAAAAATAAGACGCCAAAAACGCCGGTTTTACAGCTAAATACACACTCACATGCATACATACACATGTAGATGCACGTTTTTTTTTGCTTGCGGATCTATGTATTTATTTTATAACTGTGCTTTTGCTTGCCGAAAAGACGCATTGATTATACAATGTACGTACATTGTATGAATGTAAAATTATTCAAGGCTGTCGCAAAACATTTTATAACAGGGTCCGCGCTTGTACTTGTGCATATGTATGTACATATGCATGTGTGAGCACATGCGCCTCCTGTTTATATCAATTGGTTAGAAGAGTTCGAATGCATGTGGGGAGGAGATTATTAATTTATATGCACATGTGCATACATACTTACATATGTACATATTTACTTCTTCGCCCTACGTTTTCTTCATTTTACGTCTTGTCTTGAACTTCAGAAAAGTAGTTAGAGTTTCTTCCCATTATTGTATCTATCGCTGACTCTCTTTTAGCATTAATTAGACTGCAAATTAGTTAAAAATAAACTTAAATTTTACCCCTTTTACCCGCAAATATATCCAATTTCCAGCTGCAGAAGTCACATACGATCGCTTGAAGTTTTTGAACAGTGAGGATGTCAAAGACGCCATTCGTTTAGTCGGTCCCCGTGCCGAGTTTCGTGAAAAAATTTTAATGATGAAACGGACAGAGGTAAATAAATGTAGGTACACAGATACAAAGACCTACAAACATATACTAACAAAACATTTGAGACTTACATACAAACTACATACCATTACGTTTTCGCTCTCTTTTGATTACAGTTTGGAAACATAAAGGGATACACAGACTTTAGAGTACAGCACAAAGTAATTTGATTACAAAAAATCACAACTTTTTTTTACTAATTATTTTTATTGCCTAGAATTTGGAACAACTTATAAATAGATCTCCTGAGGGACTGACTGTGCTTCAGTCTTTCAAAACTAAAAACTCACTCAGTCAAGAACAGAGAGATTTGATGGTCAAACTTCTCATAGGTGAAGTCGACACCAATCGCAATGCCATTAAAATGCAAACATTATGCACTTTACTTGACGAAATAGTAGCTGTATTTCCATCTGAAGAATCCAGGAAGGTAATTTCCAAGCCCGCGAAATTGGAGAATTATTTTATTTGCTTACGAAATTTGCGTTTCATTTAATTTTTTTAGATTTTCGGAGCTTTGGAACAACATCCTCTATTTTTTGGTCCAGAAGGCATTCCAAAGCATTTGTATAACGATATATACTAAATAAGTTTTCACATCAGTACAAAATACATTCAATAATATCCAATCTGTTCGGAATTTGTTACCTTAAGGACAATCAAAAGAAATATGTTTTATGTTCCTGTATTTTTTGCATCTCACTCAAACGAAAAAAGAGATTATTTAAAAAGTATGATTTAATTTGATGGTTATTAAAATTATTTTGGCATTCTAACCTCTTGAACTTTTAGTTTATTTAAAGTTTAGCCATTTGCCTTGCTATTTAGTTAGTTTTTTAATTTGTTGGGTTTGGTTTCCCATGAGAATCAGCATAAATTATGCACGCCCACTTGCGAATGCAGTTCGTGCGTGTGTCTCCCCACCCGCTGTCTCACATCATCACTCTCTGGGCTGTTGCACGTGCCTCGCCTCTTGGCGGCATGGGCCGTGTACACAGTACAGGTGCGAGGCGACGCGACGCACAATTAAGCGGCAAGTGGCAAGGCGCGCGGGATGCTCAAGGACTGCCTGGGCTGGGCTGGGCTGCTTATTGAATTTTCATATTTTATGCCTGGGTCCTGGGACTCGCTCAACTATGTAAAGTGAATTTCATAAACGAATTAGGCATCTCGCTGGCTAGAAACTTTGTCCAAACAAACAAATCAACGGCAGCAGCAAAAAAAAAATACAAAATAAAGTGCCACGCCACGCCCCCGCCTCCGCCCAGGAGTGGCGCCTCAGCAGGGGGTCCGGATTCCCTTCTGTGGGCGGGTCCGGGACATAATCGAATTTATTTGTCTGAGGCTGAGGGTTTTCTTTTTGGCCAAAGTTTTTCGCAAAGCTTGCAGCGGTTTCCAGCAGCTACTCCCCGGGTTCTCGAGTTCATCCTCCCCATGGCCCGTCTTCTCTGTCGTCACATCCATGGGTCCTAACCACATTTGCACACGCTCGTCCTCACACGAGATTTGATTTTATTTGGTAGCTGAAATTTTGTGTTGCGGATCCGGATCGGGCTGCTCTGCTGTGCTCTTCCAACTGCTGCTGTGTAAAATTAGCAGCATAAGATTGGATTATCTTTATGTGTTGTACAACTTGCTCGAGTCGAGTATCTGCTCTCAACTCTCAACTCGCATCGTATCCGCCATCCCCGAACCGTAGTTCGACCCTTTTTTTTCCAGTGGCACAGACATCCCATCGCCGCCCTGTGATTATATATGTGGAAGCACGTGCCACGATTAGGCGAACGGCGTTGCGTTGAAGCGTGAGAGGATGGCGGCAGGAGGGGCGGTGAGTCAGAGGCGACACTTTTGTTGAATTGCTAATTTGCTTAAAGTCAGCCTTTCTTTCGGTTGAGTGGAGGCCAACGGTAGCGGTAGCGGTAGCAGTTCCCCCCTCTGAATTGGATTAGGTCGAGAGTGGCATCAGTTTTCGGTCATTGTCATTCCCGATGTGAGCTGATAACGGAAATAATGGTTGTATTATGGGGTTAGTCACACGATTTAATACGATTCAATGGCTGTATCATTAGAACTGTTTACACGGGCCTCAAAACGGAACGAACTTAAAGAGATGTCTTCATATGTACATATGTACATATATCTGATATCAGTTAATTTTTTCCCTGCCCGTAATTCATCTCACAGCTTGGAAAAGACTTTCCCAGCTGCTTTGGCAACCACACGAAACCCCTGTCTAATTGGAACCCCATTGGCTTACTGGCTCTATAATATAGCCATCTCCAACCGCTTCTCGGACTGCGGCTATAAAGTCAATTAATCGACTAAAGTGCGGGATAATAATTCAGAGAGCTCAGAGAAACCGCGACAACCGCCAAAAAGCGGCGAGCACCTCGAGACGTCTCTATATAAATGGGCGCCCCGGACTGGGCAATGGGAATACATACATACATACATCTCTATGCAGGATGGGGGTATGGGGTATGGGTATGGGGGGGGCTCTTGCCAGTCAATGTTTGTGGTGTGTTGTGGTGCCTCGCGCCTTTTTGCTGTTTGTTTTTGATGTTGATGAATGTCGGTTGCCACAACTTTCTGCTCTTTCTGCTCTTTCTGGCTGTTGTTTTAGTTGGGTATACAAACGCCGGGGCAGGGTACCTTTTTATATTTTCTGACCGTTTTCCGTTGTTCTCGTTTAATGTTTTCATTTTGTGGATTTGTCGGTGGTTATATTGCGTTGCGTGCTGCTTGATGCATGTTCCCTCACATTTCATGGACCTGAAGAGTGTGCGAGAGAGGGAGAGGAAGGGAGGGAGATCCACTTAACATCGTGATTGATATGTTGCAATAATTCTTATCAAACAATGACCAAACGGCAATGAAAAATCGACCGCAGCGCCTTTCCCATAGATGGATATCCACAAGCCGCCACCACCCCACTAAAAAAAAAAAAGCCAAACAAAAAAAAAAAAGCTCAATGAGAAAACATTCCAAAATTTCGTGTGTGCACAATTCTCACTTTTGTAAACAGCATTAAGAAATATTAATTTTCATTTATCATTTTGATTGAGCGATCAAATCACAAGAGACGAAGACGAGTCTCGATTCCCTCGCTGTCACTTCTCTCTCTCTCTCCTTCTCTCTCTCACTCTCTCAATCTCCGTTTGTTTTCTCGTGTGATTTCTTTATTATGATAGCAGAGATTCTCTTTTAATGATCTTTCGTCGTCTTGATTTATGATCTCCAAAAACAAAACCCAAAGTCCAAGTGGCAGACCAAGTCGAGAGCCCATCCAAACCTCAGCTTTTGGCCGCAAGGTGTCGAAACTGCAACCGTTGGGGGGCAGGGGCAGGGGCCATCGCCATCCCGTGGCCTGGGAAAGGGAGTACACACGACCGCTTGTGGGCGTGGATGGGCCTGAAAATGTATGTTAAATCATTTCCCAGGCTTAGACGTAGTGTAGTCTTGGGAGGTAGGAAGTCTGCTCAAGAAAACCAAAAGGTGATTGAATTCGATTGAATTTTAAGCTTTAAAAGGCTACGGCAAATCGCATTATATAATTTATGTGTATGGCAGATTGAAGGAAGCTCGAAATCCGTAAGATTCCTAACTTTTACGGATAATTTTGGAATTATTTGGAATCATTTTGAAGTGTGGAAATATCCCTCAAGCTAGGAATTTTTCTGACCTCTGAAGCACTGCTCCCGCCCTGCTTGCACCCACCTCCAACACCCCCTTCCGTGGCACACGAGTGCCGTGCCGTCAATTCTCTCTCTCGACTCTCGACTTTTGTTCTTTTCTTTCCTGTTCAGCCCAAGACTTAACTTAATTATACCCTGTAAATGGGCGTTCAAGTTGTGCAATCCCTTTTGGCCTTTTGAGAACCAGAGGGTTGAGTGGTGGGAGGGGTGGTGTGGTGGGTTCGTCTGATTTCCTGCCGCCAGCGAGTGCAAAAGAACCTTTTGTAAGCCGCTTAGATCCCGAGGGGTTCCCGTTCGGCGAGAGAGAGGTCCCTGGGACCAGTTTTATCGGCTAACAAATGCTGCAAGCGTGCAAATTAAAATTCGGTTTTTGTGGTTGCCACACTTGCATAATACCCCGAACCCCACACAAACACACACACACACACATAAAGATACGTAGTGTGGTGCCACCACCAACCAGCGTCACCAACGTGGCAAACAACCCACACTCCAGAGAGAGAGAGAGAGAGAGAGTACCACACTTAACCACATAGAGACATGTGCTCTATAATTTATTTTGACATGTTTGCCAACACATTTCAATTGATTTTATTGTTGTGTTTGCCCGGCAGAGTCGACTGCGACTACTCGTATATAAAAATGAAATAAAAATAAACTGGAATCAGATGAAATGTATCACAATTATTGAAATATGAGAAGCTTGCACCAGAACGCCCTGCACACACACCGACAGATATGTGTGTGTGTGTGTGCATGTAGTTATGACCGTGTTGGACTCCCTCATCTGCCAAAAAAAAAAAGAAAAAACCACAAAGCAGACAGAGCCAGCCAGCCTGCTCCTCCCTAGGCAACTCCCTCGCTGGCAAATAGTTTTGCGGATTTGAAAATTAACAAATTGAATTAAATGCGCGACTGGGCAGCAGAATAGAACCCAACCAGAAACCAACCAACAACAACCCTGGCAACCAAGGGTACTGGTACCCTCTCCTCTGGCACTCTGGCACTCCGGCACTCTGGTACCCCTCTGTCACTACCTCCCTCCAGCCAGTAGTTTAGTTGTATTTTCGGTTGCATTTACGCCTGTTTGCATTCTCTGGTTGGGCTTATGAGTCTGTCATAAATGTAACAAACAATTTTGCATATTTTTGTTGTCTGCGCGGCGATAATCATCGCGATGATAATCGCCACATACGAGTATGTGTCATCATGTGGCAAATTGCGGCAATTGTTGTTAATGATTAGGCCATGCAAAAAAAAAAAATTATACAGATCAATGGCCTTTGATTGCGGTTACAGTTTGCTGCTGGGGTTTGCTCTTTGGCAGGTGGTCTCTAGGGAGGCAGGCAAGCCTCTCTCTCGCTCTCTCTCTCTCTATGGGGGGATGTAAAATCTAAAGGGTAGCCTTCTAGTAACGCATTTTAAAGCAAAACAGGATTAACTTTTCTTGTGAGATTTTTGTGTAAAAATTGAAAATATTTTGATATTTTTGCATATATTTTAAAGCAAACAATTTGCATGTAAATACTCATACACATATTGCATGTATGTATGTAAGGGGGGGAAAAGTTCTTGTGTGTGTTTGCTATGGCATATGTCTGTGCGAGTGCCAGTGAAAATATTCGACAATATTTTCCAACAGCCAAAGCAAACATCAAAAGGATCAAAAGCAAACGGAATGCCAAATGCTCTGAATGAAATCAGTTAGGAGGGATTACGGTTGGGGAATGATTCTGAATGGATTTGATTTGGGAATAGATAAACTGAACTGATTGGAGGATTGGAAGTAAAAAGGATTATTAATTATATATCTCATTATTGTTTCGATTGAAAGGTTCCACTACAGTTCGTTCAGCAAGGAAGTTACGAAGGAAACCAATAAGACTAGCTCGCATTAGTTTTTATCTTCCATCAGCTTCGAGATACCCTTTCCTCTGTCTCTGTCTGCCATTCCTCTAGTCCTCTTTGGCTGGCAGTAAATATGCATTTTGTTGAATTTACCATTTACCATTTCCCATTTCTCCATTTGGACAACCATTTTGTTCATTTTTATGTTGTTTATTTTTGGCAGCTTTTTAAAA